GCTGCACCTCCAGTTACCAGTCCGTCAAGCTCCTGAAGTTTGCGGATGACACCACCCTCATTGGACTGATCTCTGGTGGGGATGAGTCCACCTACAGGTAGGAGTCTAACCATCTGGTGTCCTGGTGCAGCCAGAACAACCTGGAGCTCAACACTCTAAAGACAGTGAAGATGGTTGTGGATTTCCTTCCGTTTCCTGGGCTCCATCATCACCCGGGACCTCAAGTGGGAGCTGAACATCAGCTCCATCACCAAGAAGGCTCAGCAGAGGTTGTTCTTCCTGAGGCAGCTGAAGAAATTCAACCTGCCAAAGACGATGATGGTGCACTTCTACACGGCCATCATGGAGTCCATCCTCTGCTCCTCCATCACCGTCTGGTACGCTGCAGCCACAGCCAAGGACAAGGGCAGGCTTCAGCGGGTCATCCGCTCTGCAGAGAGGGTGATCGGCTGCAATCTGCCGTCCCTGCAGGACTTGTTCGCTTTCAGGTCTCTGAAGCGAGCTAAAAAGATTGCGGCCGACCCCTCCCACCCCGGACAAAAACTGTTTGTGCCCCTTCCATCTGGCAGGAGGCTGAGGTCCATCAGGACTAAGACCTCCCGCCACACGAACAGTTTCTTCCCGTCGGCAGTCGGGCTCATCAACAGAGCCCGGTCCCCCACTGACTGACTAACATTCCACCGGTCACTCTGCTTCATACCGCACATGTCACTTTAACTGCAATTTTTCACTTTGTCGTCACTCGTCACTTTGTTACTTGTTCGCTAGTGCACTTTACGCTAAATATTTTTTTACTTTTTTAATATTTTAATTTTTTAACTCTAACTTTATTCTCGTTTTAAACTAACCCCATAGCCTTATTCTACTAACCCTTTGCATTAGCATTTCATTTTACTTTATTTTATTACTTGTGCACTGCTGTCTTGTTGTCTATTGTTACACTGTCTACTGTCACGCACCAACAGCCAAGACAAATTCCTTGTATGTTTGACATATTTTGGCAATAAATGTTTCCTGATCCTGATCCAGATCCTGATACTGTATGCCTAAAAGTTTCAACATCCAGAGCGCGCAGCTTTGAACTATTTAAATAATTTATTATGTTTGATGTAATGAATAAGCTGGCTAAATTGAGATCCAGAATTTAAATGTAAAGATACAAGTACACATACATACACAAACTAAAATGGTCTACCTTAAAATGAAAAAGAAAATCGTTAAATTGTTAGTATGGACATACACTCAAATGTTAGTGCTAGATATTTAATTGCAGAAAAATTGTGTTATATTGTTGAAGAGAGTGTATGTTAATCACATATCTATTAGGCTGCTCTATTTAATTACAATCCATCTAATGTCTTTATTTGGTATTGAGTTTATGTATTGAGTGCGTTGCTCCAAATAAAATGCAATGGGAAGTGGGGAAATGTACCGCGCTTGTATCTCGTACGTCTTTTTAGATTAAAAGTATTGATAAATATCTAAATGATTTTTATCCCAGCCATGGTGTTGTCATAATATTTGTATAGTTTTAATAAATTTGTCATATAAACCAAATCTGTGAAAAAAAAGTCAAAAGGAATTTTCTTGATTGAGGCAATTTCACTTTTTTTTCCTAAAATCTGATACTGTTTTAAGTAACGTGCTTTTGTTACTCTTATTTGTTTATAAGTCTGTTGTTTTTTCTTTTATGTTTGAAAATGTTCTCCCTCAGAAAAGAGATTAAAAAAATAATGGCTATGGTTCAGTTATTTAAAAAAAACACAAGGAGCAATATCGGAGCTGTGTAGTTATCTGAAAATAATGCGTGACCTCCAGCCAATCAGCATCCAGAACCTGAACAGATTAAAGTCTTCAGTGGTTCAAAATATTTCCTGTACCACGGCCTTCTGATCGAAAGGCTGTGGTTGTTCACAGATGTCAGTGCGACACAAAAAACACAGACACACACAGACACACACACACACACACACCGACATAGACACTGATAGCATCACCACAGAAGTCTACAGGATGAGTGGGAGATGACGCTACTCCACTTTCTGCAGCACACCTGTAACCACTGGGACTTGTGTTTGTCTAAGATGCCTGGATGCCATTTCCAAGTCAAATGGCATGTTTCCTCAAGTAGTACTTTGCTACAGTCCCACTAAAACCACAACACGTTTTTTTTACATCTCTGTTTGTGTGTGCACATTAAACAGACAGAAGAGGGGGTACTGCAGTGAACCTTTCCCACACATTTTTGGCAAGTTGGTTCACGCTTTTTCACAGACTCTACTTTCTAGTGCTACTGTCCTTATATTGTTCCAGCACTTCAAAACTGGACAATATATCCTTCAACTTGTCCTTATTTCAATGCATGAAGTCATGATGGTTCATGTTGTTGAGTCATGAGGATATGTAACCCCTCAGAAGCTCATGACAGATCTCTTGGACGCATTCAATACCTTTTGCCATTGTTCACATTCATGTGAAGTTCGTTCGTCTATCTGACTGTGACATCAGAGTTTTCTTTCAGGCTGTAGTGAAGCGTGCATCTATACAATAAACCAAACAGCAGCACCATTGGTGTAGAGGCACACCCACAGAAACAGAAATTCAGTAGAAAGCGAGCACACTCAGTTTGTGGCTTTTCACTGCCATCTCTCATTCTGGCTTTCCTCTCGACTTAACCTCCCCGAGAAGAAGCCCACGAAGTGCTTTACATCTCTCAGAAAGGAGAGCTTTAGTCACTACACACACTACACACTCAAAGGGATTTGATGTGATGGATGCTATTTTGTCAGTACATCTGTGAGTCAACATCTGCCAGCCACAAATGTGATTGAATACGTTTTAGTTTGGATATTCACCCACATACAGTGTGGAAAGTTGCAGATGCCTCATACTGCAACTACTATGATGTGTCTGTTTATTACTCACATAGTCACATATTTCAAATCCCACATTAATCACATTCATACTCTAAAAATACATGTGTACTAGACTCTCTTCTTTAGGTCTTTGATCTGAATAACTCAATCAAGTGGTACATTCACGCATCATATTTGCCTCTGTGTGTTCGTACCGCCTACATTTCAAATGACGATTTTATCAAATAAATGAGTTATCCTTTAATTTGTGTTCATGCAACATATTAAAAGTACAAAAGAACAATACATGGACATATTTCTTCACCCGTCACAGAATACACAATTAGCATTGAAATAAAAATAAATAATGAAATGTTTAATGTCGTGTAATGTGTGTTAAAAGATGGAGCTCGGAGACCTGTATTAGAGTCCTGCAGTCTGTAAACATGTCTATGTTTTTTGGTTTTGGCTAATCTGTATTTGTGCTTTATTATTGTAGCTATATCCTCTTACTCTAAACCAAAGTAAAGTAAGTGCTTTATAATGAATTAACAATAATTGCTTTTCAGGAAAATTAACATATTAAAACAGTTTTATTCAAATTGAAGATTTTGAAACACACCTGTCTCCCTGTTGATAAATGAATCAACAAGTGAAATGCAGAATATCCTTGCTTTATTCATCACAATGCTACACAATGTAATGTTGTATTTCAGTGATAATACAATTCAATGTTTAATAGATGCTATCTGCAGTACTACGCTCATAATCTCAGGACAAACATGTGACGATGTTCTTGTTTTGGGTCATGTCTATCAGCCCCCAGAACAAACGGTGTTAGAACTGACTGAACTTTCTGAAATGAGAGGAGGAAGAGGAAAAAGACGTAGGCCGTCATTGTCACGACACCTTTGGTTCTCTCTAAATAGCGTTGATATCGCCATCGAAACGTTGGGCTAGTCATACCTTCAGAAACATGGATACTACGTCTGAGAATTTTGGTGATGATGTTGTGATCTCAAGGTGATGAGATGAAAAATCAGCGACATCTCCGGCTATTATCAGCTTTTGTAAGATTTGCCGTACCGGACTGTATATTCAGTAAATATTTGTAAAACGTCTAAGGCTTAAATTGGCTTCAAAAGGAGAGTTTGTAGGATCTTTAAACAGTGTCTGGAACCAAGCGCTGTGATAGTCCTGCATTAATGCGAAGGGGCACCTTGTTGCCTCCGGAACAGTGAGACATCAAATCCACCATTTTCCATCCTGAAGAAGGTCTGAACGCAGACTACGTTTCCAAACCAGACCAAGCCATATGTTTTAAACCTCTCTCTCGTTCCACAATGGAGCCAACACCATGAACATAGTAAATGTCAACTCCCCCCTCTTCGTAACAGAAGCCGTTATGGCATGATCCTGAGACTCACATTGGTTGTAAAGAAATACGAAGTTTAAATGTGTATGTACAGCACTTATCGCATATTACACCAGTTAAGACAAATAGAGCTTTTTCTTCCCCTTTCAATTGATTCATTCATCATCGACCTGATGCTCCATGTTGGTAAAACCAATAAAGAAAAAAAACAGATTAGAAGCCCACGAAGGGCTTTGCGTCTGTCAGAAAATAACTACATGCTCAAAGGGATTTGACATGATAGATGATATTTTATCAGCACGTCTGCGAGTCAACATCTGCCAGCCACAAATGTGTTTGAACAAGTTTTAGTTTGGATATTGTCTTCTTTTTTTGCCAAGTGTTCTTACATAATGTGATGAAGTTACGTCCTTTTACTGTTTCCTGCATTCACTACAGTTTACTACCGTTCAACTCCAGAACTACAATCAAATGGGACCATAACACACGTTGTTTGTGACATTTTGTACAGATTTTGAAGAATAACTACTTTAATTTTACTGCACCGAGCATGGAGTTTATTCAGAATTAATCGATTAATTGAGCGTGAGACAATCTTTGTACGAGGTGCTCATTTTGTGCTGTGACATATTTGGACTGTTACAACTGCACACAGACAACATTCAATGTGTTTGATCTCACTGAACATATTTTATAATCCTACACCTGTAACAATCCCCACCAAATTATTATTATAAGTTTTGGAATAAACATTCAAGATTTGTGCTTACCGTATCACCTCCGTACAGAACCTCCTCTTTGCTTCTGAGATACTCAGAAATGGTTCAGAGGGGGAGTTATTCCACAGGAAATATGTTTTTTCGTCAACTCAAACTTTCAGCAAAAAGTATAACAGACGGCCCGCATTTGAAGAGGACTAAACGGTGGTGGGATTTAGGTTTCAAATGTTTTTGAAGTAATAAAAAAGCCAGGAAAAAAAGAGTTGTACTGTGAGTTGTCACAATAATAATACCTAATTATATTTGATTTTTTGAAAAGTGTAGAATTCAATTTGAGGTTTTAGGTTAGCTCTTTGAAGGAAGAACTTTCACATCATCTTACTATCTTAAAAACTGTTTCTGGTTGTTGGTGTGAGTAATGACACAAGCATAGAGGTATTTACTCACCTGGTCACCGCCTCAGAGGAAGAGGGCACATAAAGGCGCGAGGCATCCACTCAGTATTTATACCCCACAGGAAAAGGAGGAAAGCTAAAGGCCAGCTAATCACAACACAACAAACTGCAACGCAAACTTTTTCACTTTCCCACTGCCGCTCTGACAACCTAAAAAAACATGTTTCCTGGAAAGTGAGCTGATTATTTCATTTTAGCGAAATGAAGAAACCAGCCGTTTGTGGTTTCGATAGCACAGGTTACATTTTTTTTAATTTTTACATATTTAACTTTCTTCAGTCCAATGTGCCAAGATTTCACTTAACAGTAAAATGTATTTTACTGTTAACCTCCATCCTACATACATGAATCCTAAATTATTTTTCAAATTTTTCTACATTTCCAGATCTGTCAAGATGGTTTTCGAAGGAATTACATTTACTAATGTAACAAACACGCTCTTTATTGTCCAATGGAATTTCTTGTAAGCACAAATGAAAGAAAACATGCAATTCAAAAGAAAAAGCAAATTTTCACGCTGGTATCCTGGATGCTCAGATTGTTGAGGTAAACTTGTATGTATTAAAATATGCCTTTTTACAGTTTTTTGCAGTGTTCCCAGATAAAGTTCAAGACTGTTCAAGACCAGTGAGGTTTAAATGAAAAGAGGCTTTTTGATGTAGGTTGAAAACTGGAATATTTGTGGGATATGTATTCTCCTGTAATGGTAGGTAGCCTGATGTAAATGTGTATACTGTCCTTGCTGCCTCTTCGGAGCACTCTCCTTTTATCTGCTTCTGCAGCCTGAGGTGCTTTTCTCAGATAGCGTAACTTTTTAATGTGAGATCAGTAAGGTGTTTCTAGTGTATCCAGTAAATACGAGCCAGGGCGCATTCTCTCAGCACACATTTTGTTCTGTCACAGCAGGAAAAGCACAGGTGTCACTAATAACATCCGCGATGGCTCCGTTCTATTCACGTGTCCCAATCGACTCTAATAGTGTGACACCGAGCAGCATGAACAATACCCAGACGACGAAAGCATAAACCTTAGTTTTTTTGACAAATGTTCAACGTTAAACAGTATTTTCTGTGTTTTTGCTTGTTGAAGTTTTCTCCGAGGTGAGTATATTTTGAATCACTGCTTACTTTTCGCTCTGGATTGGCTTTTTCTATGTTAGGCCACTGAGTAATTTTATCTGGCAGACGAAAAGAAAGCTCATTAATACATTTTAGTGGAGCTATTGAGGTTTTTAATTTGTTCATTTGGTTCAGATAAACTGTTACACATGATGTGTGATGATGCGTTTGTGTTTTCAGGATACCGTGCATCATGTATGGCCAATTCTGGCTCACTGAATTGTGTTAACAGTGTGGAAAACTCTTGCACCTCAGTGTATGATGATGAGGTAAAAATGTTGCATAGATTCTCGCTGACGAGGTTCTGGGAGAAATGCTTGTATAATGTAAATGACAACCCTTCCTGATTGAGAGTAAGATTCATATTTTGTCGAAATGCTGATGATTCAGTTCTTCCCTAACGAAGGAGGTGAGTGCTTACTCAGCGGATACACTGATGACTGTTTGTTTCACATTCTGTTCTGAAATTGTAGAATTCTCATTCCATCTGTGTTTTAGATATGGTAAAAATATATAGTAATAATGTGGCTCAAGTGTGTGAACATAAAAAGTATTAACTTACCACAGAACTACTCTGCTCTGATCTATTCTATCTTTATCAAAGTCAAACGTTGGAATGTTGTGACAACTCAACATGTTAGATCGTGGGTTGGCAAACATGTGACATCACTGCATAACTTTATATTTACACTTAGGGGACAGCTTTTTAGTTCTGCTTCGCTAACAGTAATGCAGTCTACCTCAACAGCCCTGCAAAATGTTCAGTTTGTGTTGAAGCTGTTTAAGAGAGCTGTTGTTGATTCTATGATCTCTATGGAGGCTGTAGTTTGTGTTGCTGTTGAATTAAATTAAGTAAAAGCATTTTGTCCTGATCATTAATATCCGTTTAGGTAGACTCTCGCTTCGCAACTATGGCAGGACCATTCTTTTTTCAATGGAATCCTAGTGTAATGAAATCACATAATAAAATGTAGTGCTACACAATTAAGCAATCTAAACCGATTAAAATAGCACATATGAACTCAAATGTTTGTGACAATCTGATTCCTTGAAATATGGGAAAATACTGTGCACTGTGATATATTGTTATCGGGATAGGACAAAACACAAATAGTAAAGAACAATTTCAATCCAAAAACAACTTTAGTGACCAATCTGCCTCTTATCTCAATTTCCTCAAAGAACTTTGAAGTTTTGTACGTGTAAAGTAGTTAGTAATGGGACTTTCCCAATCAAATTGCATTTTCTTTTTGCACATTCAAGAGGCGTACAGGGCTTGTGGGTTTGCATTCAGGATGACCATATAGCATTTTACAAGTCTTCGTGTCCTACTTTACACTTCTCTCACACAGTATCGTATATCTGTAGTTTAAAACAACCGCAGTTGACCTATTTCTCGCTAGGGCTGCATGTTTTGTAAGTTACAAATTCAATTCCAATTCAATTCATTTTGTTCAGCCCAAAATCACAAATCATAAATTTGGTTCGGAGGGCTTTACAATCTGTATACAACCACAGATGGTAAAGGAAAAATTGCACCCTAAAAATCTTCATTGGGGAGGAAATTTGAAGAAACCTTGGGTAGAACGGCATAGTAGCATCCCTCTACCAAGATGGCCAGCGTCAATGTATGTATAAAATGATTCAAATATTGAAAATAGCAAGCAGAACAATGACTATTATAGAAAGTTTACAATGATAACAAAAGCTGCAGTGGTGTCAGCAATTTTAATGTGACTGAACTGAGTCAGCCCTAACTATAAACCTGAGCCAGCCCTAACTAAAAAGCTGAGCCAGCCCTGACCATGAGCCCTAACCATGAGCATTATCTAAGAGGAAAAGTTTAGTCTTAAAGAGGTGTGTTGGCCCCCCGGACTGAAAGTGGAAGCTGGTTCCACAAGAGTACTCACTTCTCTCTGTGCTGTGATGGTTCTTTTTGTTGTAGTGTACAGGGCCCTGGGTCCTTATTCAGAATTTCTATCAGAATTCTTTACAAGTTTCTCCTCCTACCGGAATCTGCTCCTCTGGGTTTCTACAGTTGATGCTTAACTGATAGCGCTGTAGCCACGTTTAAAGAGGTGATTTGTTCTGCATTAAGTGCAGTATCATGTCTCAAGATATCAGTGGACTCCTGTGAAAACTTATGTCTGGACCCTTTTCCTGCCTCCTGCCATGGGCCTGCTACTACTACTGCTGCTATTATCTTTATTGTTATTATAAATATAAATCACATTAATATTACTGTTACCTTATACCAACATTACCCGCTTTGCTTCTTTCCTGAAGTCTTTGTGCTTTCTCTCCCCACAGGCTTGTGGTGGATGTGGATGTTGCTGTCCCTGCAGTGGTCCTGCCATACATCTGACTTGCAATATTTCAATTTTTTCTGTCATAGTTGAAAGAATTGTACATCTTTGGCATTGTACATTCTGTACACATGAAATCCATTATAGTCTGTCCATCCCGGGAGAGGGACCCTCTTCTACCAGTCTCTCTAAGGTTTTTTCCCTTTTTTCCCCATCAAAAGATTTTTCATTTTTGGGAGAGTTTTTCTTGTGCCGATGTGAAAGTTTTGTTTACAGACTCTAAAGCCCTCTGAAGCAAATTTTGTAATTTGCAATTTTGGGCTCTACAAAATAAAATGAATAGTTAGTTAGTCTTCAAATCCCAGGATGTTTCATAATAGCATACATTGGGATTTAACTACATAGGTTTTACTGCTGAAAACCACAAGCTTCCCCAACCAATCTGCTCACCTGAATTTTAAAATGAATGTGACATGGCATTACACACCTACAATGAATTAAGGTAGTAACCACAACCCCTCCGATCCTTGTGCCTTACTCTAGGCTCAATTATGTGGACTGCTATGCACTTCAGACCATGCACTGTAAATATATATTGTTATACTGCAATATGTAGATTTGTATGTAGATGCAGATGCATCTGCAAGATAGCCAAAGATTAGAGCTGATAGACTTATATACCCAATACAATATACCCAATATTTCCCTTTAAATTTTGCTTGTAAATTTAACAAATCAAACAACGAATCTAATGACAAGTTAGTTATCACTAATACCTTTGCTATTTTCAACCTTGAACCTATTGTCCCATGAAACAAAGATTTCTCAAATTTCTACTTTCTGAACAAGAAAGCGGCAGAGAGCAGCCTGCCTGCATTGTAATCCCTCCGGACATTTTTGGCACTTATTGTTGTCGTACAGTAAGTGTCTAAAATTATCATTCGACTCAACGAGAAGTCTTATTCTGTGATCTCAGAGTTTGCTGGGGAGACGGGTACTGTTCCTCTGGTTACTTTGACCCTATGAGGCCCACAGAGGAAGGAAAAGAGGACCTGCTGTTACCCAATATTGAAATTTGGCCACAAGACTTCAACAAGACTTGGTGAGACACAATGAAGTGGAAAGTAAAGGTTTTATATTTCTCTATTTCTCTAAGGGTTATTTCAACAATGTTTTCAGACACTAGTAATAACGTTCTGAACCTGTCAATGGAGAACACAATCATTTTTTGTGAACTCAACGTTATATTGAAATTGTAAATCACTTCAACCCCAAAAATATGGGAAAAACATAAAAAAAAACGAGCCAGGTTGAAAACTACTAAAGTTACCCTTCAGACTTGCAAATGCTGGGAAAGCTTTTCACAGTGCTAATTTAATTGGATTAATCCTTCATTGTCCACTGAATAGGGTTTTAGTGCTGTAGCCCCATAGTAATTTATTGTTGGATATAATATTATTGTACTTACCAAAGTTATCTCTGATGTGTCAGATTCAAGCAATTTTAGCGACTAATGCTGTTGACAACGCTTTGTGCACATGGCCTGTCTCCAACACAAATCATCTCTCTCAGTTTGTCTCTACCGTTCTTCAGTCATCTGGGCTGAACCTCAAACTACAAAATGATAAAGAAAGATCAACCCACAGTTTGGGTTGTGTATGTGTTCTTCCACATACACATAATGTAGCGGAAATTATGGCTTTTCAGTCTTAGAATTTGGGTTATTTAGTTTAATTTTATTATTATAATATATTATATTATATTATTATAAGACTACGGTCTTGATCTATTCCACATGAAAACTCCTCTGAGATTACTTAGGCGCTATATAAATAACTTATATAAGTTAAATAAACTCAACATTATGTTGCCACATTATTTAAATATACAAATAGATTTCTAATTTTGGAATCTGTATGTTTCTCCATTTATGACAGGAAATGCCTGTCCATGATGTCTGTATAGGATTATTAGGAACCGTTTAGGTAACAAAACCATGTAATTAGGTTCCGAATTTTTTATAAAATATTTGCACCATTTCTATGGAAAAGATTAGAAATTATTTAAAAACTTAAAAGCGTCATATGCATGAACCTTTCATTTTGCACATTTTTACTAGCTGTGTATCTATGGTGTGTCTCATTTCTCCTACTTTAATCAGGTCTCAAAATTTAGATCTCAACAAAATTACCTGACCAAAAGAGGGTAATCATGAAGATCCGATTTGAAGTAAAGTAAAGAAAACCCTTATAATTATCGAATTGACTTTATTCAAGTAATGCTACAATGTCCACAGATTGCAGTAATTAACTTCAAATGACACATAATACTGTATTACTACTAGACTAGTACTATACAGTAAGTATGGTATAGTAACTGCTTAGGCAACTGAGCCTTGATAATTTATTTGTTATGTTTTAAATGTATTAATGTCTGTGTGCTCTGCCTTTTTGAACTCATATCGGCCATATAATAAACAATGAACAAGACTACCTTTACATTCATAGAAATTTACTCAATAATGGAAAGAATACTGTGTATTGTGACTTGAAAGCACCAATTTGGGCTCTTCAATACTAGTTTATAAAACATTTGTTTTAGATGAGATGCTATTCAATAATAAATGTCTCATTTTGATTTGAAAGTCAAGACCTGTCATTTTCAGTATCAAAAACCTCAAATGGTAAGAGGAAGCATTAACAGCAGCCAGCGGGGGGAAGCCCGTTAACATGCTGGATGACATTCTAACGGCTGTAAACAGCTTGCTCTGAGGTTACTTTTTTGTGTTGTCAAAGGTCATCTCAGCTGAACACAACAGAGGAGCAGCGGAAGCCTGAGTCCTTTCAAACCCCAATTCTTTGTTATTATTAAGCTTGTCAGGCAACCTGTTTTGAAGGGACATACTCAGATGGTCTGTGTATTTTTTGCACCTGTTTTTGAATGTGAGTAAGACGTTTTGCAAATATGGCTACGAATTAAATTAAATTAAATAATGCATGTAAGATGCGGGTTAGAAACATAATGTGATGAAGGTTTGAGCTCTCCCAGTTCCTCACCCGGTATTTTCCGACTGCTTTGACTTTTCAAAGCAAAAGTTTAAATATGCAAAACTTATGATTGAACTAAATTCTTCCCTTTGAACACGAAATGAATCACATGCTTCGTTCTCAGAATGCCCACACTTCACATTTGCACAAGGTTGACGCATATTACAAAGCTTACATATAACTGAAGTATTGCATCGTGTGTTAGATGTCATTTTTTAATTTATCTGACAGTGATAATTAGGTCCCCTTCTCTCAAGTATGTGCTCAAGTCCTTTACATCACGTCAGATTTACCTTCACATAAAAAAATGTTGGATCTACTTACCTACATTATTTCAACCATTTGCACACAAATGTGTTGTTTAGCTATAAAAGTAATGTAGTATTATTGTAAAAAACACATATTTAGTTAATCTCACTTAATCATTTTACTTTAGACTTGATATTGATTTTTTGTATTGTATGTATAACCATAATCACATTATGTTGGATTTACTGACACCACTTCACTTAATATAATTGAGTTCAGTTTACGCAACACAGATGGAAATTATTGATGTGTAAGGTTTGTGTTAGTGCAACACCTTAGATGTTCTGATAAATTAATCAAATACATACAATTAGCTAAAATTCACTTAAACCTTTATTATAGACAAGTCTGGAAGCATTAGTTGGACTATTATAAATTATGTCACATGTGTATACTTTTGTATAATATGTATGTGTATCCACACACACACACAGATTCGCAAAAAACGGAAGAAAAAAAAATCTATGAATATCTATGTATGATAGTTTTATTGTATAATGTAATTGTACTGTTTTAACCCCACATGTGAATCAAGTAACAACATTCAAAATAGCGATAAAATGTTATCTCTATCAAAGGCTACTTAAACACTACCAAAATCATCAAACATCTGATGCCCAAAACCGCTTCCTCCATTTCTCCCACTGCAACAAAATCAGCATCCTCAAAATGGCAGAAAGAAACTGTATTAATCAAACATCTGTAGTGTCTTTAGAGAATCACACTGGTTAAAGTGTTTTACTTGTCAAGAAATCTGGAAAAAAAAAGCCCAAAGATTTATATTAGCAACTACTTGCTTGTGACACAAAACTTAATTTTGTGTAGAAAGAAGCTTCAAAAACTAATAATAAAGGAAACACAGGGATTGTGGTACTGTAGGTGAACTCTGCATTTAGCTGCAACAGATTGAAAGCAAATCTCACAGGAAACTCGTTCGATGCTCAGGCAATGCTAGGGCGATTTGGAGGCGTTGAAGCAGGTTATCTTATTGTGAAGGCCAAAATTGGGGTCCCGGATATGTTGACAGTATTGAATGTGATTTTGGCGACACTTTAACCAATGTTTAATCTCTGCAAAAAACAATATTTACAATGAAGATTGACGTCTGCGCGGATTAGGGTCAAGTTGAGTCAATTTTAGCTTTCCTAATTAAAACAGTATTTGGCTCAAAAGGTAAGGAGCTAATGCTTATTTTAACACCGTTAAATCACCTGAATTACTAGATTTTATCAATAGTTTTATTGGATAGTTAGCTAAAAATTGCCAGATTTAGGACTTGCACCTTTTCTGGCATGGTGCCGATGCCTTCTAACCCAAGTTTGAGAAACAATATCTTTCCGTGCATCAGGTGGCATTAGTCTGAATTCAATTCATTTTATTTTGTATAGCCCAAAATCGCAAATTACAAATTTGCCTCAGAGGGCTTTACAGTCTGTACACACACAACATCCTCTGTCCCGAAACCCTTCCAAGAGGGAAAGAAAAGGGAAGAAACCTTAGGGAGAACGTCAGACGAGGGATCCCACTCCCGGGATGGACAGACTACAATGGATGCCATGTGTACAGAATGAACAATGTATAATACATGCAATTCCTATGACAGAAATGATTCACGTAATTGTGAGTAGTAAGCCAGGCGCACAGCAGGACCACTGCAGGGGCAACCATCAGATTTCACTTTTCTTTTTGAAAATGTGTTAATTAGTATTTGTTTGTTGTACGCTGCAGGTCGATCAAACGGGTGTTCGTGTTATTTATGAGAGGCAGTATTGACATTTCTTTTACACAACAGTCTAGTTTTACACACTTTAACACACGTTTGCGTGTTTCTTGCATTTGCCGACGGTTTTCATTTAACCCGTTTTTGTGCGTACGCATGGGTCCGAGCTTGCGTGAAGGACCGCACATTTTTCCGTCAAGTTTGCTTTTTATAAATACCAATTATTGTGTAGAGAGCGGCGTACACCTTCTTTTGTGCGTACGCAACGTTTATAAATGAGGCCCCAGGTCCAGAGACTCATCAATGCAGGGCATGAGTATGAATCCTTCATAGTGACTCCATTCAATGTTCTTAAGTCGGTTTAGGTGGCACTTGATGGGCCACACGTCATGCGGGACAAGATGAGGCCCCACTTCAACCTCGCTACTGGCAAAACTTCCCTCAAACTCTTGCAGGAGCGGCCACAGCTGTTCCTGCTGCTGGTGGTTTTTGCCCCATCAGTTCCTGCTGCACACCTCTTTTACAGCCGCTAGCTCCCCCTCCTCCCTCTCCTGATACAACATAGGCCGGGTTGGGGTTGTGAGTGTCATGCTGGGGACAGATGCCAGAAAAGTACGCCGGAAAAGTGTAACAATGAGCTTGACAGAAGGGGATGGTTGCAGTCTTTACTACACTTGCTGATGGTGCAAGAAGTTCGTCGGGAGGCACCGTCGGGGTGAGTATGGCCGTCATGGGAGAGCCTCCCCATGAACCTCAAAGGCAGTGGCCTTCAAGATTTCTAAACCCAGGACACATTCTAAACTGCTGCTATCAACACCGGGTGAAGTAATGAAGGAAAACGGACACTGCCGGACGGACCCTGCCGACACTGCCAACATGCCTTTGCCTTTTATAGCTGAACTGATGTGGGGACTACTATGTTCCAGTCCAGGGCCATATCACGCCTCACCAATGTTACTGTGGACCTGTCCACCAATGCGAAGCATGGCACGGTCTCTGTTGCTGATACGCCCCAGCGCGACAATAGGTTCCAGGCATTCAGTGTCTACTTTTGAGGGGAGTAGTGTCTGGCTCCCCCAGCTGTGCTGCTGGGTTACTCCCTCTGCTTCCAGGTCTTGAGGAACCAGGCTGGAGTAATGGCCTGGGTCCAGATATCCTCTTCTATAAGGGCCCAGAGCTGTTCCCCTGTGGCCCGCTGACTTTGGGCACTCTCTGATCAGGTGCCCAGGTTGTGTCATGGATTGGGTGTTTTCTGTAGCGACACAGCCTAGTCCTGTGTGAACTATCGCAGGGTGAAAGATGTGTCACCATTCAATGCGTACCCAATACTTTGGGTGGAGGAACTCCTGGGCCGACTGGAAACTGCACATTTCTGTACGACACTGGATTTGACCATGGGCAGATTCCTCTGTTGTAAGAGTCCAAGGAAGAAATGGCCTTCTTGACTCTGTTTGGTTTATACCAATTCACCCCACTTCCCTTGGGCTGTTTAGTGCCCCAGCTACTTTCCAACTCCTCATGCAGTAGGTGCTGCTTTTGCATGCTGCATACGCTGCTACTTCTCTATTCCTATCATCTCTGCTCGGATGATGGTATTGTCCACAGCATCAGCAGTGGACGCGTTGCTGGGGTCCTTGCTGGACTCACCACCAACCCAGGGAAGTGTGCCGTTGGACTGAGGGAAAGATGTAGCTGGGGTACCACATGGGTGACCGGCCAGTGCGCCCTCAGATGATTAAGACTGGTGTATTCTCAGCCCAAGACAGAAAAAGAGGTGGGGTTTTGGGGTGTGGTGGGTTGTTGCATATGGCTCATCCTTAGCTTTGCAGAGTTGGCCAGCCCCTTGACTGACCTGACCCTGAAAGGTGCCTCAGATCCGGTTCACTGGTCAGAGCAGTGCCAGTTGGGTTTTATGGGGGTGAAACAGAGATGGGTACCATTTTCTGTGATTTTTGACATCCCTGTGTTTGTGTTGCTCTGTACTGTGGCTCTGAAGTGCAAAACACAACGGCAAATAGGAAAACACAACGACAAATAAGAATGATGGCGATGAGAGAATAAAAGAGATGGCGATGTTTTACGAGTGTCTTAAAAGTGTCCTATTATATATATATTATAATGAGATATGAGTATCTAATGAGATACGATGATGACTTTGACTTACAGGACATTGCTATACATCCAAAACGCCCATGGTTTGACATAATTTATGTGGACTAATTGGAGGTTAGGTGTCTTGCTCAGGGACTTCGACTTGTGGTCCCCCACAGGGAGCAGCCAGGATTCGAACCGCCGACCTATGCTGCACAGCACACCCTCCCTATCCCATGCGCCGCCTTCGCTGTCATTTCAGCAGCCGGAATGTAAAGATTATGAATATTTGTATTATTCAAATAGTTCATTGCCTAAAAGTGATTTGAGTGTTAATCGTGACCGACTGCTCCTGAACGCGACAGACGCGTAATCTCAGTTCATCCAGAACACCTGTGCAGTTCAACATCGGAAGAGTTTCTCATTGCCTTGTCTCTCCAAGTAACGTTGGTAAGTGTTATTTGCCTAGCATGATTGACATTCTCTTTCATTCTCTTTCCTTACATCTTGTTGTCTTCCTCATCTTTGTACTTAATATTTTACCAATGACAGTGTTTCTAAATATTTTATTTTGGTTTATTTTACAGAGGCACTGGATTAAGGACGCCAGCCGTTTGCTGTGGTCAATTGAAAGTGTTCCATAGCGTATTGTTGCAGTTGGTTTACCTTGTTCCCAATGATTTTATGATTATTTTTTTTATTATTGTATACATGCGGCATATTTTATGTTTTTTTATTTGTTACAAATGTCTAACATTTTTGTCTTAAAGGCATCTAATAAACTCCAAGCACTATGACCGAAATGAGTTTGGTTGTCTTTCTTTAATTTGTGGGGAATGAAATGCAAAAGTATACGGTTATAAATAAACGGTAACATTCTGGTATTTATAACACAAAAACAGTAATCGTATGGTAACAAACTGTAATCCAATATACGACAACATATACGACGACATACCATCTGAAGACATCAGGACCGCAGAGAGCCTTCACATCTTCAGCCGCAAACTAAAGACACACCTTTTCAGACTCTACCTCGACTAAAGACTAACAAATTGTAGCACTTAAATTGTACTTGTAACGTCACTCATCTATAGCAAATTGTAAATTGGCTTATTTGAGGAAATTGCACTTTCTTGTTTCTTGTTCTCCTGAGTTTGTACCCTATGGTTGAATGCACTTATTGTACGTCGCTTTGGATAAAAGCGTCCGCTAAATGACATGTAATGTAATACCGAATATTACGATAGGGCACTGTAAATAAAACAGTAAGTTACTAGCGTCGACTGCCAGTAATTTTACAGTAAAAATGGTTCAGGTTTACGGTAACATACAGTAATCCATTTTACGGTAACATAGTGTAAAAAAACATTTACGGTATTATACGTAAAATAACGGCAAATTCCTGGCGTCCGTGCTGCCTGTAAAATACCGTTAATTTACGGTGACATTTTTTAGAGTTTTGCCGTTCTGATTTGCACTTCAGAGCCACCGTAATAATTACCTTATAACAGACAACAAAGTGTTACAAAGATGTTTTTCAAAGAATCATTATTGAATCTTGGTCATGAGTGTATTCTTAAATTATTTGCATGGTATAATCCTATACATGTTTGGAATTTGTATGTGAGTTGTCAAATTATTTTTTTAGACAATAATTTTGAGGTTTTTGAAATTTGGTTAGCGTAAAAACATAAACCTCCTGATAGTCAAGTGTAATTTAGTACAGTAGCCGAGTAATAATTGTTGGTTGATTCAGTAGTGTTTACACACATTTACATTGTACCCTCTACAATACAACCATACCAAACTGTAAAATCTCCAGAGACAGATATAAGAAATCCACTCAACCTTATCATAAGCTCCTGGCTTGATCCAAGTCAACTCCTCCCATTCATTTAAAAGTGTGTAAATGAACCCAGGAACTCACGGCACCCGACCCCACGTCCCGAATGGGTTGCAACTTCTTTGTTTTTAATTAATTATTCACGATACATCTATAACATTTATGTTTTTCTTCCTAAAAAAGACTGCCCCTTTTGTGGATTTTGCTTGCTCCCGTTGGAGTTGTTTTGAGTTTTTTTTTGTTCACCAGTAAAGAACCACCTTCTTTTCAAGTTAAATTTGGTCTCCAGTGTAAAATCTCTGCGTTTGAGTCCTCATCCAGCCATAAAACCTCACATTAACTTAAATTTTTCAAATATTACATTTGAAGTTAGGAGCATTGCAAAAACTTACATTCCCCCATTTAACAGGAGGTTTCCCAAATTGAATTAGTGCGCAGGAAAATAAAAATATCCTACATGTAGAATAATGATGAAATGTGCAAGTTACACAGCGCTTTCTTCTCTGCATAAATCACATTCTTATTCCTACAGTATAATTGCTTTCTGACATATCCTTTTGTTAATTAAATGAAATAAATGTTTTTTAAGTGCTAACGTACTGTTCAGTTCCCGCATTTAGGTTCTCTCAGACAAGAAAAAAACATTAAGCAATGATTGATGTAGATTTACTTTATTCTAATTTCATTCATTAAAAGCTTTTTGTGACATGCATGAGTGCCACGATTTAGTTTACCTCTTTAACTCTTGGTTTCTTAAAACTGAACGATAAACAAGATGTGCAATCTACTCAAATTTATCTGCATAGAACATATTCTTATTTATTTTAACCATATTCCCATTCGTACTTTCTTATTCCAACATATCAATCGGTGATTGGTGTGAGTTTGCTTTGTTTTACAAATTTTGTCAAAACAGTGTTGCTGGTTAGTGGGTTGGTGATGGAGCTGAATCCAAATTGTGAGAGCAAGGAGTGTGCCGGACACATTTGTTCATTCCAGGAGCGGAGGAGTTGTGGTATTTGTCAGTGCTCAGCCTCCAGCAGAGCAGACAGCTGTTGATGCAAAAAAGCCTACCACACAAAAGCACCAGCGACTAGCAGTGCGGAGGGCAGTGATCCAGGCCATACTGTGAGGTATTTCCATGTCATCACTACTGCCATATGTTCCCGAGGCCTATGTTACATCCGGCCCTGTGTGCTGCAGACACTGATCTAAGTACCCTGCGTGATGGCCATTAGAATACATGCAACACCACTGCAGCTGGCACGCAGCACAACATTCTTTATCATCATCATAATCAGGACTGTGTGGGTATTGCTTGTTGACTATTCTATTTTTTGGGGGGCCTTAAATAGATTTATTGCCTTTTTTTTTTGTAGAGCCCAAAATCACTAATTTGCCTCAGGGGGCTTTACCTTTATTTTTTCTTGAAATAAAATGCTTTTTTTTGTATAGCACCTTGATTTACTAAATTTAGACACCAAGGTAATTCAAATTGCTAAACATCTTTAGAAAATGTGTCAATACTGTCCAAATGTGGTGGGGTTCTGAGGGTGGGGAAGGTCTGCCCACATCCCCAGAAAGCTTCGGGCCGCCCCTGACCATCAAACGGGATTAAAATCACTGGCACCAGCAGCAGATGACTGGATGCTGCGTTTATTCCCGACGCCTGCACAGCTTCGAACAAAGCCGCCAGTGACACCGACGGAGCCGGCGTCTCCCCGCGGGCTCGTCCCTAACCTTCTCCCGCTTGGAGCCGCTGATGGGCTGCGGGACAGACGAGCACTGGACTCGGTGTCATCCCGCAGCCCGCTCGGGCTCTCTGGCCTCACTGCGTTGGCGGGCTAACAGAGTCCTCGTCTCGGCATGCTAAAGGATTCCACGAACAACAAACGCGAGGCTTCTCTCGGCTCCGGGGGAGCAATGAGAAAGGAAGAGCGGCGGCGGATCGAAGACGAGCAGGAGATGCTTCACGCGGCGTCCGCTGCGGGGAAAGAGGAGATCGGTAATGCTACTCGAGGACAATACCACACGTAAACCATGTCTGAATGGTGAAGAAGCCCCAGTCTGCGCTACCACGAGCACGGGGATCTAATGGTTACCGGCACGAGCTTCTGGGGGGGTTGACATGACATGCACAAGAAAAAAGAGGAAACGCAATCGGGGGTTCTTTAACAGCTTTGTTATTTAGGGGGAGTCTGCAACAGGCTTCCCGAAGCACCTTTTGCAAAGATTTGCAGCCCCGATCCTGTTGCCAACACCCCTCAGGGGTTCCTGCCTTGCTTCTATAGATTCCTCCGTGGGAAGGACCGGGTGGATCGCTTGAGCCCACATTAAATGAGGACTGCAACAGACGGCCCGCCTGCCACAGTGTTGAGGACAAGCAGCCCACAGCCGGTAAGCAGCACATTATGACTACCATTTTGTCTCCCAGTCACTGGTCTGCACAATAGCCTGCCTGTGCATTCCTGCATGCCATTCGTTTGGGTGGAGTGCAGGTTGCAGCCTCCTGAAGGCCCTGCTGCCTTTTGTCTGCCTGCACAGGGTGACCATTCGGCACTACGCCGGGCCGTTCCTCATGTCTGATGCATACAGCAGGATGCAGTGGTCAGGGTGGCACATGAGAAATGCTGCAGGTCCCCCCAGCGATAGGGCCTCACTCAGCACTGGGACAACCAAGGGATTTAATAGCGTTTGTTGTGATGTGCCTCCTGGAGAACACAGCACAGCGCCACCTCCTGAAGGAATACCGTGTGTGTGTGTGTGTGTGTGTGTGTGTCGTTTTAAGCCACCCAAACATCTTAATGCAGGACCGCAGCAGCTACTGGCTCTCCAGTTCTCATCAGACCTGTAGGCTCTGTATCAGGAGGCCTGATGCTGGGTCCCGCTGTCAGAGACCAACTCTGTCTACATTTCATCCAGTGAGCTTTGTCGCCTCCTCCCACCGATAACAAGCCAGAGGTATTGCTGTTGCTACCCAGTTCCTGACAGTAACTCTGCCCTCTGCCGCCAACCAACTTCCAGCTTCGTAAAGCTCCTCCTTCAAGACACAAAGTCCCTCTCACAGTTCCTCTGTGCTCGCAGCCTGTGGAGCTTTGGGGACTGCAACCTGATTCAAACAGTAGTGTGTAGTGTAATTTATTAATTCACTTTGTCACTTTAAGTCACTTTGATCTGGATTTGTGAAACATCTTTGTTGTTCATTCCACTGGTTTCCCTTTGTACTCAGCTCGTCCTTTAATGATGCAAAGTCTAATATTTAGCTATTTTCAAATAAATTTTTCTCAGAGGCTCCACTAATCCTCAAGAAGAGCTGATCTAAAAACATTCTTTGATTTATACTGACATAATAATCAAAGGGGTTAATTAAGTTGTGTTTTTTGGCGTGACCTTAATATAATGTAAATGGGAAACCCTGCATGCTATTCAATTAAATTCATTTTATATAGCCCCAAATCCCAAAGTGGCCGCAGAGCGCTTTTCGATCTGTACATATACGACATTCCGGATTCCACAGTTGATGGCGTAGCACCCACCCGTTTGTTCCCCTACAGGTCAACACTGTTGGCTTTGTCAGCACAAAGTTTATAGTGTCAGCACTGAAAGGACCATTACCTATGAGCTGCTGGCGCATGTTGAGAGCCATTGAGAAGCAATTAAAGGCCCAAAATCATAATGCACACTTAACCATGGCTTTAGTACCATGGCTTGATGTACACTTATGGCGCCTTTCCACCGAGCGGTATGGTACGGTACGGGTCGGGTCGGTACCCTTTTATTTGTGTCTCCACTGGCAAAAGTTGACAATGGTACCAAAAATAAGCCCCGTACCGTACCACCTTTTGGGTACCCTTCCGTTGGGGTACCTGGCACAGTTGTTTGGTACTAAAGGGTGGAGCTAGACTCACTGCAGAACGTTTATTAGTTGTAAGAGTGTCGTCATTTGCCGCAAGTGTGTTTTTCCTTGCAGCATGTAGCCTTTGCTCAAACAAAGATTGTCGTCTCCTTGTGACAAACAGCAGAACATATCGAGAAGCAAGAACAGGATCGGCTGTACGTCCTCCATTGTTGTTTGCGGTTAGCTTTCAGTTTCCGCGCGATCGAATGACGCCAATCTACTTTCTGTCATATACCACGCCTATCAAGTGACGTTACCACTACTTTCTGGAATACACCACGCCTATCAAGTGACGTTATCACTACTTTCTGGAATACACCACGCCTATCAAGTAAGGGTACTGTTGGCGGTGGAAACGCTCGCCAAATCATGGTTAACAGAGCCGACCCGTACCGTACCATACCGCTCGGCGGAAACGCGCCAAAAGTGTTCTTTATTTTCTTCACTGAAACCTTCTTATGCCACAATCTTACTGATGCACAACGTTGCGGGTCTGAAGTGCTGTAGTTGTACCCTCAGCTTTCTGAAAAGTAAGAGTGACGTGCTCAGAACCTAATGTGAAGCAATGCCTGTAGATGAATTCCTTCCATTTTACACTTTATAGTCGGCTCAAGTAGGAATCACAAGATTTTGTCATGTGTAGAACCATCACATTAAAACAGTTTCCTGTATAGGCTTGCTCTAAATCCGGCGCATACTGACTTGGCCCCTGAGACATTAACCCAGTGAAGAAGTGCCGCCCAATCGCGGTCCCTACTGCAGCTCTGTGTTTAGACTCCAAAGCCCCAGTGTAACCCTTTACTGCACAAAATCCAGCTTTAGTTGCTGGTTTGACAAACGTACGTAGGGTTTACTTACCAACCTCTGTTACAGTGCAGCACTGTAGACGTTTTGCTTCCCAACCTTTTCATGGTCTATGACCACCCTATCAAATTATAAAGTAAAGGTCAGCCTTCTTTAACAAAATGCTTGTGGATCATCAAAGTGAGTCTTGAAAGTCGTTTTGCTGTTTGCCTAGTGAAGCTTAGAGATGTCACTCATGCAAATATCTGAGTAACATCAGACAACATTATCCCCAATACATTACAAACATTAATTAACAGTAATTCTTCACAATTGTCCTTTCACAGACTACCAGTATGTTGTAAAAGGTTTCCACATCTCTCATTTCTAGACTTGCCTAAATATCATTATTTGGATTTTAATTTCTTAATCGTGTTTTTGTTGTTCTAGTCATGTGATGGTATACAACACTTTTCATAAAACAACTAAATTGCCCTGGAAGTATCACTGATTGGTAGAGATAGGAGTGTTCTCAGAACATTGGTGTTGTACTACCCAAATGATTGAGATTACTTTGCAGACATTAAACTGAGATCCATCCAAACTCCTAATTCTTTGTCTTCAATTGTTTTCAGGAGGTGAGAGAGCATCGTATATCTACGAAGGGACCCTTTTCGAAATGGGGCGATATGGATGGAGGTTTCCCTATTCCTTGTGAACTGCAGAAAGGAGGCAACCACGAGGACGGCGAAAGGACCAGCAGGCGGAGGAGGTGGTGGAGAAGTGGTGGCTTTGGTGTTTGACAAAAAGCTGATATGGGTGGGGGGGCATTCGAAATGGCTAATAGAAACGAGAGCGGCGAAGGGCCAGCCGGACCCATAGCAGCGGTGGTGGCTACGGCAGGAGGTATGGCAGCGGAGAGCCCGTCCCCGGCTGTCTCTACCTATATCAAACTGGTGCTGCTGGGGCTGATCATCTGCATCAGCGTGGTGGGCAACCTGCTGGTGTCTCTGCTCGTACTGCGGGACCGGGCCCTGCACAAAGCACCTTACTACTTCCTGCTTGACCTGTGCCTGGCCGACACCATTCGCTCAGCCATCTGCTTCCCCTTTGTGCTGGTATCTATAAAGAATGGCTCTGCCTGGACCTACAGCGTGCTGAGCTGCAAAGTGGTGGCCTTCATGGCGGTGCTTTTCTGCTTCCATGCCGCCTTCGTGCTGTTCTGCATCAGTGTAACACGCTACATGGCCATTGCACACCACCGCTTTTACTCGAAGCGCATGACGTTCTGGACATGTGTAGCGGTGGTGTGCATGGTGTGGACCCTGTCGGTGGCAATGGCTTTCCCGCCGGTTTTCGATGTGGGCACCTACAAATTCATTCGCGAGGAGGACCAGTGTATTTTTGAGCATCGCTACTTCAAGGCTAACGATACCCTGGGCTTCATGCTAATGCTGGCTGTGCTCATTCTAGCCACACACGTTGTCTACATGAAGTTACTCCTTTTTGAGTACAAGCACCGTAAGATGAAGCCAGTCCAGATGGTGCCGGCCATCAGTCAGAACTGGACCTTCCACGGGCCGGGGGCTACGGGCCAAGCAGCAGCAAACTGGATTGCGGGCTTTGGCAGGGGCCCGATGCCCCCGACTCTGCTGGGAATACGGCAGAACTCGCACAACCAGAACCGTCGCCTGTTGGGCATGGAGGAGTTTAAAACGGAGAAGCAGCTTGGCAGGATGTTCTACGTGATCACCTTGCTGTTCCTGGTGCTCTGGTCTCCCTACATAGTGGCTTGCTATTGGAGGGTTTTTGTCAAGGCTTGCACAATACCTCACCGGTACCTTTCCACCACCGTGTGGATGAGTTTTGCCCAAGCCGGGGTCAACCCTATTGTCTGTTTCTTCCTTAACAAAGACTTGAAGAAAGGGCTCCTTTCACACCTACCAGCCTGCTGCAGGACTAAACCTAATTTGCCACGCGAGCCTTATTGTGTCATGTAAGCAGAGATGATGTTCAAAACACGGGCTATCAACTGATATTATGGGAGTTTCAGCCTCAGTAAATGTGACGTTTGATTTGACACAAGGTAATTTTAAGAAGCGGTGCAAACTAATGAGGGTCATGGTTAGAACACTGGAATGGTAAGCATGCATTTCCATCTACCAACCCATTTTCACTCCAAAAGCATACATAATAACTAGAGAAAAATACTTAAATTGCAACACATGCAAGTGATAATGCAGTAATTGTGGAAACCAAGCCAGACAAAGAACAAAATGACATGAAATGTTTCATAAAGAATGCCAAAATGGCCAATTACAAAAGTCTCTGATTGACACAAAGGATATTTGAGTTGGTTTGGTGACAAAGAGATTCCTAGCGACAAAGCAGCAACTGTATTCTACATTTCCCCGGTGTGCTGTATTAGTTAGCAAAGGCAGATGACGACAGGAGGACAGGAGGGGCTTGTTGTTTTCGCTCACTTGTGCAACAGAAAATACTACAAGGACTTAAGTTGAGGCTTGGAATACACCTTGATACAAAACCTTATTTCCTAATGCTGTGTTCACACCAAAAGCAGAGCGAATTATTCTATGCAAAGTCAACGCACAGAAGTGAATGGTAGCAGATTTTTCAACGGACTGCGTGGAGGATGCGAAAGTCAATCGCCGTTGAGATGCTCCGCTCGTCATCACCGCCGACCTGCTGCCAAAGCGTGAATACACTTTATGAAAGTGCCGCTCCCGGAGACAGACAGACTGGCTCTCCACAGCTGAGATTGAACGCCCTTAAGTTAGTTGGTGTTTGACATTTGTGTAATTTCCGCAACAACTACGGAGCAGAAATATTTTTTATTTCCATGGTGGATAGCGGAAATGATAACGGTCATTACAAGCTACGCCCCCCTTTTGGCAGCGAATGAAAGCAAATTAACTAGTCGGATGAGTAAAGCAAGGCGAAAATTTCCTTTGCTTTTGGTGTGAACGCATTAGAATGCGCACTGAGGAAAAGTCAGAAGTAACAGAAGTAACACTACTTAAAAAGTGAAAAGAGCTGTGGGCAATGAGAACTGCAGCCAGCACCACTGGTTGAAGGACAGTTTCTTTCAACATTAGGTATTAAGAGATCTAATACCAATATACAACCAGAACACAGGCCAGACTGATATAGAACCTCACACAGAGTTTTGAAGATATGAGGATATCTACTGCTATATTTTAGCACAAACCTAAAAATTGATAGTTGTCTATCTCTAAGAGAAGAACCGTAGCTTGAATTGGAGTTCAGGTTAAAGAAAGTGACATGGCACAAGGATTGTAATTTGTCAGTGAATGTGTGAAAGCATGACGCAGTCCTTAAGCTTTATACAGAAATTGTGTTTGGAGGTTTGAGATACCTCTTTGTCTCACACTGACACACCAGACAACCGTTAATCTCGTTTTTATTTCCAGAATTATGGCCTTACTTCATAAAAACATCCAACCAATGCAACAAAGCGTAGACACACGTTTCTTCTGTATGCACTGAAGTCATCCAAGGAGAAACAGAGCACTGTGTACACTAGTGACATTTGGAAGACGTGTTGGTCTTCCCATTCAAACCTGGAGTTACTGCGGTCATGGACAGATGATATTAAACAGGGATGGAGGCGAATATTCAAAGTAGTAGAAGTGGAGCCCGTTCTGGAGGGTTTTTTTTCTCCTCTTGGACATCAACCTGAGGGAGGAAGAAACGACTGGTCTTTCCATTTTCATTTCTGAGACTAAGCCAGAGAAGCGTGTGGATGATGCTGGACAGGCCTGACAGTGCTTTTTAGTTGCCTAAGCCAGATTCTCTTTTGTAAATGTACTGTGACCTCTGTAATATTTAGTGTGTATTATATTGACAGCGAACCAACTTTGAAATGCAACCGAAAAGGTTCCTGTGTGTGTGTGTGTGTGTGTGTGTTTCTATTGGCAGGTATGACTGTGAATATGAGCTAGATGGTGTACATGGATGATACAGGAACATGAGAGGGAATTACTTATTTAGAAACATTCATTCTGAAGATATAATTCCAGCAAATGTTTCCTCAGTATTTCTCATGTGGACACAAGGACCTGAATGTGTTTCCAAACCAATGAAGTTTACTCAAAGTCCCCTTTGTAAAACGTGTAATAGATTAATATTAATTGGATTGTTTTGTGCAAATTTAGGGATAATGGTGGTAAAAGAGCTTGCGATACAGTCAGGCCAAATATGATTGCATAGAATCTTTCTGAATGTTTCATGGGAGAGTTGATGAGACCTACTAGCTATAATTTTCATGACGATAAATAACCAAGAATTGTACATTTAAAACACTTTCTAATCAAATCACCACTGAACAGTATTTTTCTTTAAACGATGACAGCTAATTATTCTCTTTGGGTCTTCTTCATCAGTGACGCGAACACTGAAATCTGTGAACGCATTGACGCAGTCACATGATCAGGCATCTAAGAAGTAACCAACAATAGTGAGTAAATATCCAAACCCAAATTCTAATCAACTGGTATTATCATTTAATCCTAACATTTGGCCTGGTCACTTCAGTAAGAAGAGCCGCTACACAAGCTAAAGTTCACCAATGTTCAATCTGGTAGGAAAGAATAGAATGTGGTGGGACTAGGCTAAAGCTGTAAATGTGCCAAAAAACAGACTGACAAGTGAATGTCCAAACCAGTTTTTGTTACTGTTCCAGAAAAAATAAATCTCAATAAGATGTCTCAGCAGCTTTAGACAGCATTTCTTTGGAAATGACTAAATAAAACAATGTGATAGAGAGAGTGGGCCAAGCTTACAAATGATCCGCAAAATGCTTCTTTTTTACTTTAAAGTAAAACACAAAATGTAGAAGGTTAACCTCATCTCAGCGCAACCTGAAGCCACTATCATACAGAAAAAAGCCAGAAGGTTTGACGTATGTGAAAGGAATTTCTGACCAGCCGATCATAGAGGCAAGTCAGACGCTGCGGTTTCAGTTTGTTCTGTATTATTAAAAAAGAAAAGTTGAGCTATTACGCATGTCTCTGGCGATTGTTATTATGAGTTTCAATGTTGATTTTGTAATGAAAATAAATTTCATTTGAAATGATCAGAACATTATCATTATTATATCAGGGAGATACCATGATTTGTGTGTGTGAGGGTATCGACTTTATCGGCTGCAGGATGATGATACGGGTATGGTAGGGAATGATGGGTCAACACCACTTTTACAACTTGGCAGGTTGACCCAAACTACAAAACCTAATTTATGTCTAAAAAACATCTGATTGCAGAAAGAGTTGAGTGCTTCTCCGGGGAACGTAGACAACACACCGTCCAGAGTATAGCAACTATTTCAAAAGAAGGTGTTCAGTACTTCAATTTCCATTTCTGTCCTCAGTGCTTCCATTCCAACAGTCACCCCAAGTATTTACAGTGCATGCAGTAAATTCCCATTTCAACTGCTTTCTTAGTTCAGACATCAAATGGCATTTCAGTGAATACATATTAACCGTTTCCCACTCATATTAGCTCTTACACTTTAAGCCTTTAAGCCGTACTAGTCCCGTATTTGTAGCAACAACTCCAAAGTACAATGCACTCTATTTCTACAAAATGGTTATCTACGTGATCAATGAAATCGCAAACCAAAATGCAAATAGGACTTAAACGACGATCTTTTACTAAACATTGACAAAAAAAAATAGTTGCCTCTAACCTCCATGATTAAACTGCCGGTGGTTATACTGTTATTAGGATTGTCAATAAGTGAATTGAAATTAAGAAACATTATGGCATAAATGTTTTATAATAGGTTATGGTAATTAAGAGATTATTAATATTTCTTTAAATGCTTATAACTGTGATTATACAGTATTCTAAGCAGATTACGAGGTTTGTTACGCGTTATAAGCATGGGCTTTATAGAAAGTCATCGTTAGTTATCGACAAGTAGCTACCGACAAGTAGCTACCAAACTTCTAAATAATTCTCCGGGTGAACTTGTTTTGTGCTTTTATTGTGAGAGGTAAGAATGAAAGTGGTGGATCCGGTCTGTGATGCCTTTATTGGATTTGAAAGAAGTGAGACATTATTTTGTCTTGGTTTGTACTTTGGAGCCTTTGTGTTATTGCACTGTATGATATGTATATGTTAATTTCACACGTGATTGGTCCACGCTTTATTCAGGGTGCAAAAGTTGGGGAAAGAAAATAACATTTTTACACCCAGTAATAATGACATTCAGTGGCAAAGTATTCATTACAAAAACACTGGTTCATAAAAATGCCTCAAAATAGAGTTTGTTATTTGAATGGATCTTACAGGGATTCCTTGACAACTCAAGTAACTCAGTCCGTAATCTCCACATATTCTATGAAAGCCCCTGCTGGTAAGAAGTGTGTAACTCTTATACGGAGATGTGGTATGGGCTTGGATTTAGAAGAGAACTGACGGAAGGACTTGTTTTGTAGATCAGTTCTGTACAGACTTCTTAGGACTAAAGTCAACACAAGTTGAAGTTCAGTTCAGTTCATATAAGTAAAGAAAAAGGAAGTACAACAAGAGATAGTGTCTTCTAATTAATTAGTCACATACTGAATTTATTTTGTTCAGTTTAATCCAGCATGAAGCTGTCCCATGAGATTATATGCGTTTCATCTTTCAATCGTTTGCTTCTTGGAGGAAGTGATAGAAGGCAGAAAGATGTGGGGAGTGTTAGAACTGCCGATCAGACGATATGAAGAAAGAGCAACGTGTCAAACACGCTCTGTGTACCGTGCAGGTCAAAGCCCCATCTACTGGTAAAAAGAGAGGAACATCCTCTGAAAGGGAACTAAGCCTTTTTCAATTGGAGGCGGAACAGCGACAGGCAGCTGTGGCTTTCAAATCAAAAGGGAAACATCAGAAATGACAAGAAATCAGTTAAAGGGGGATTTAATATGTAAAATACACGACCAATGCCAAATGCTCAGATCTTTTTTTTTTTTTGAACTGTCCATTTAAAAAGAAAATCTGAACCTAATAAAAACACAAGGAGAAGATATCAGGTATATTTAAAAGTTACATTTCTCAATGCTCTCGCTCCATATAAAGCCATGGTACAAATGTTTTCTTCAAGAGTAAAAATAAAACAATTAAACACAAAGCATCCGTTTATTTACATTATTTCTGTTCACCTATAAGAAGTGAACTACTAATAGCTACAGCATTTAAATATGACTTTAAGACTCATCTAGTGACCCCGAAAAAGATACTTATCACTTACAGGAGTGACAGATCAGAACGCAAAAACCTCATTAGGATTGCTATCATTTCAGCACAGTCAATAACACATTTGCAAACTTTTCCCTGGTGGCAATGCGGACGGACTTACCTGCGGAGTTAGAAGACAGTCAACCCCAAGAACAGAGGGAGTTGAACAGTGAAGCTGGGAAGTAGTTTAAAATAGCACGCGTGTGATGCAACGGGGATCTCATTTGCTCACGTGTTTATTTATCATGTCTAGTAGTTATGACACTCAAGAGTTAAAAACTGAGATGTGTGAGCACAAACAGAACCCTAAGACATGAAGAAGACCGGACGTTAACTCTAATGTTTCCCTTCATTTGCTCTTTAATGAGACTTCTTAAAGTGACCTGTTTGTTTTCTCACATCTCAGCTTCTACCCTTATTTTGGTAGAATATATTTATAGAGCATTGAAAAAGGGGACGGACTAATAGACTGTATGTTTGTATAGAAAGAGGTTATAAAATGGAGGAATCAGGCCCGCCAGTAATCCAGCCATGTGCATCCAAGAGGCTCCACATTCAAGTAATGTGGATTGTGGTTTTCATCTAAGAAGGGTTTCCCACGTTCACATTTAAAAAGCTGTTTTCAGCTTTGATTAAATCATAACAATAAAAAAAAAGTACAATCTGTACAATTGTGTCCATCCTGTGCCGGATGCCGGTGGTGCGTTCCCAGCAGGCCTTTGTCAGAACAGGTATTTCCGACACGAGTCCGATCCACACCGGCACTCCACTCGAATCCTCTTCTTCGGCGAGCCGGCGAGCCCCGCCACACTGAAACTGGAGTCCATTTTGGTGCTTTCTGTGTCCACCGGATCAACTGGAAACAAACACAAAGGTGCTTGATGCATGAAGCCTTCACCCCGTATGGATACTCGTGTTACGGTGTAGTCAGCGGATATCCAGGCTGAGACTTCCTGTTGCATGTGCTGCTCACTGGAGGTAAAGTTAAACCTCATAAGCCCCAGAGGCCCCGTTGAGCCCCGACAACTCTGCCACACACCACCTCGTAAGCCATACTCATCACGAACAAATAGAATAATGCTGCACATCCTTCATAAACATTACAGTCTTGGCTTCAATCAAAAAAGGGCCGTTTGAAAATGCTCCAATAGAAATTATTTGAAGCAAATGTGTCCAGAAATTGTGCACAATTGTGTGTCAGAAGGGATGATTGCGAGGATTTGCTTACAATGCAAAAGGTAAATGTTGGATATTGTATCTTGGATGTTAAAACTTCTCAATCAATGTCACTTACTTTGCATCTTGTAGTCAAAGGTGAGCTCCTCTCCCGCCCGGATAGACCGCGTTGAAAATAAGGCAATTCTTGGTAGCCTCTCATCAATGTTGTCAATGAACACATTAAATACCTGCAGGTTGGGGTTACACTGCAAAAACAACACAACGTGCGTCAGGGGCTTTTCACACTACGCTTGGATCTGCTCATTGATAAGCAAACCGATACCTCCAATGTGAGGAAAGGAGGAGCCGTGCACACAAGGTCAAAGCGTTTGGTCCTTTACCCACGTGCCGCTGCAGGGATCCCTCTCCAATAGCATTCATTCACATAAAAACAAACATCTAAAAGGGTTCTACGAGTTACTCGACTTTCTCTTATTCATAAGAGGCCTTGTTTTACAGTAGACTCACGCTGTGGTTCACAAAGTGGGAGATGTTGCCTTGGTGAGCTGCATCCACTGTGTACACGTCCTCCACATAGTCCAGGTCAAATAGGTAAGTGGAGCCCTGGCGGTCGTACACATGACCCCTCCGCTCGGCCTCATCTGTTGTGATGATCTGAAGGAAACAAAGAAGGACACGGATCAGAAGCCTCACTCGCTTAAGGATGCATCACTACAGTTACTTTAAAAAAGCACAATACACACTTCAGACATTCACTGAATCACTTGTTCTGACTGGATATTGTATCTATTATTGAGATGAGTAGAGATCTGTGTGGATTGAGATTAGTAAATCAGGTTTTTTGTGGGTTTGGCAGGTAAACGGCAGCATTCTTGCTCAGTGGCAGCTAGATAAGGCCGCCAGGACCACATGCGCCAGTCAGTCGCTGCCATGTGGATGAAGGTAATGGACTGTTGGTGAGATAAACACCTGGTTGGTTTACACCCAACCTGTCAGTCCAGCTGCTTCCATCGTGGCATCCACCTTAAGAAGCTCAGTCCACCTTAAGAGAGCCAACGGTCTTCACTTTATAGTGCGGATTTTTCTAATTTAAGACAGTTGTCCGTGACTTTGTCTAACAAGCAGAACCTTTTCAGTTTTTTTTCACCTGATGACAGTTTACTGTAACCTTTTAGGTTCAGGCTTCAGTTGCACTTCGATCCACACTGTAATGTCACTTCTGGATGCAGATCAGTTCGATGAGGACGGTGAAAAGGACAGATTGGTGACTTCTGTGGGACCACAAGCGTCTATGGTAGTGAGCAGTCCGATTTTGTGTCCGACCTGTGTCCAACTAGCATGTTTGATGTGGTAAGTATTTAGACAGAGTCAAGGATGTTAACTACTAAGTTGTATTGTATCATCAATTGAACATAATATGGTGTACACTAAACATTTGGCCCTTTAGTTCATATTGAGATGTCCGACCCAGCATGAACAAAATACAGTTTATAAGATGACAGGAACCGGTGGTGGTGAGGTTCATATGTTAAGATCTGCTAAACATGCAGATAAAGTGATCTGTGATCCCCGGAGCAAATCTGTAATATCAATAAGTGTAATTGCCTCGCAGATGACAACGAAGCGCTGAAGTGGTCAGTGGATGTACAGCTTTATGCGCACGTGTCAGTGCGTGTTTGTGTTCGGTGATGCAGAGAGCGGAGGAAGGCCGTGTAGAGACGAGAGAATGATAAGAAAGTTCATTCGCACTCACTCAAGCGTGACGTTTCTGACGTACAAGAACCACAACAAATCGTGGGAGTTTTGGGGTCGGTAGACAAGCCAGATTAACGTTTAGAAGCACTAACAAAGTGGAACTTTCATATTATGTCCCCTCTAATAAAAGAACATCTACCTGTTCTATGGGAAAGGGAACCTGTGCTGTGATCTGGCCTTGTGGTCTTCTGACATCAGGACAGTTAAGTCGGTTTTGTAACCCGAGTTGTTTTTCTATGATGTGTGAGCTGCATTAAGCCAAGAGGGAAAGCTGGCGGACTGGGGTCTTACCTCTCCCACGTACTCCATGATGAACGTGTTCTTCTTGATGCGCTGCAGCGTGCGGACGCCCCACCCGCGGCCGTTCTCCGTCTTAAAGATGCACAGGTCGAACTGGATGCCCTTCTGCACCACTCTGTTAGGACAGTCGGGGAAGCAGCTGCACCGGGAGTTACACTCGTATATGGGCTGTCCCGCCCGGAGCCGGACCTGCCCCCTGTCGTTGTAGGCCATGCGGTGCAGGGAGGCCCCCGGGCAGCAGCCGTTGATTGGCTCCTCCAAACAGCTCTTACACTCGCAGCCCACAGCCATCTCGTCCAACACGATGCCCTGGCCTACTTTGTAGTTGTTGATGTAGGTGAAGTTCTTTGGGGGGCCCTCAAGGTCCACTTCGTTCGTGACAAAAATGCGCCCCGGGTGGTTGCGTGTCCGATTCAAATGGGCCTCCCAGCGCTGCAGACGCTTGCGGACTTTGGCTTTTTGGACGAGGAATGAGGAGACTTCCTTGTCCAGTTTTTTAGGGATGCCACATTTTTTGTGGCGCCTCAGCTTCTGATCGAGGTCCAGGTGGAACTGCTTCATCAGTTTGGGGCATTTGAGGTTCCTCTTGGGTTCCCAGGTGTTGTCAGACTCTGGGAATCCCTCCCACTTTACCAGGTAGAACTCCTCCTCCTGAAACACATCACTTCCATTAAATAAGGCAAAGGTTAAGTTCATTCACTCTTCTTAGGTATCATGCATCCTTTGCTGTGATCGCAGGCAACTCACAGCCCTAAAACAGCACATCCTGTTAAAGATATGACCAGGACGATTCAAACTATTCCTACCAAACTAATTATTTGGCTTTCACACAGAGAATTTCAAGCGTTCCCCTCTGATGTCGATGAATACGGGACCTACTCTACCGTCCTGAAGCGTGCCCGCTAAGTCGCCGTTCCGTGCTGCAGCAGTTTTATTCCCTGAGACCAAATATCGACACGTTTTTGAAAGAAACGGGGAGATGAGATCACTAACCCTTTATGGTTGCAGACCTGGCGTTTCTAGTTGATCTCACTGATCATCTCAACCTCCTGAACAAGAGACTACAAGGCAAAGAGACGCTGGTACCAGCGGCTCTTTGCCGTTTCCAAATGCCAAGCTCTCTGCTAAAACGGGAGAATATATCAGTCAGCTCTTCCATGACTTTCCGGTCATTGAGAAGGAAATCACACTGTTTTCACTGGATGCAGAAGAAGTGGAGGAGAGTCTGCAAATAGAACTGATGTAAATTCAGTGATGATTCTGTGACGAATCAGCATCATCTTCTCTCCCTACCTGACTCCTGCCGGAGCTCGTTTCCTCTGATGAGACGCCGCGCAAAACAAATGGTGAGTCTGTTGGGCTCAACATACATCTGTGAGCAGGCATTCTGTGTGTGAACGCTCAACAAAAGCAGAATGACCGACATCATCTCCGTGACGTCCTTCACATCTCAACCACAGAACGTACCCCTGACCAGCGCAGCATCACTGCTCCCAATGAGCGTGGCATTCTTCCCATTACAGGGGAGTTAAAAATATCCATACAGTTTTCATTTGTCGATAAGCCCAATTACGTAATAAATTCAGAGTGGCCCAGTCTGTCAAATATTGTCCTGTAAGTTTGGACACTCCTGAACTAGACTGACAATGCAAAAGCAGAAAGACACAAAGAAAAAAAGAAGAAATCAGCTTTAAAAAGGAACAGCTTCCCGTTTGTCTTGTTTGTCCTGTGTGTTTGAGAGAGAGAGAGCGAACGAAAGGAAAAGGAGGACTCTTAAAATCATGCTGCTCTATAACTTTCTGACCCGCAACACATCCTGGTAAGCTCATCCAGACCACTGGTAACCAGTGAAGGGAGCGGATAAAAGTGGGTGGATTTAGGTTGAAGCCCGGTCCAGCTGCTGCGATCTGGGTGAGCTGCAGAGGTCGGGTGGCGCTGGCAGGTAGACGTACGAGGAGCGAGTTACAATGGTCCAGGTGTGAGCCGACTTGGTCCTGGACCAGGACCTGCCCTTCCTTCTGAGTGACGAGGAGACGTATTCTCCTGGAGTTGTGCAGCACGTAGATTACAGAAACGTGTTGTTGCTGTAATGTTGGCAGCGAGGGAAAGTGGACAGAGTGACACACACCTTGGCAGACAGGTTGGCGTACGGACAAAGTGTCAAAGGTAACGGTCAGGTTGACATTCCGGTGGCGGGCGGCCATCCACTGAGAGATGTCAGGCAAACGGGGAGAGATTTGTGCTGCTAAATGTACAGTTTGCCAATTACGGGCGATTGCGATTGTGTTGTGGGCAGAATAGACAAGTCATTATTTCTGTTAATAAAGAATATGACATTTTGGTTTCCCAAGCAGTTTAATGAATGGGGTTAGGAATGTGTGCACAGCACACGAAGGAGAAAACAACAGTTGCATCAATAAGGAAAAATCCCCTGGAGCAGAGAGGTCACACGCTCTCGTTTACGGTGGTTATTACTTTAACACCGCACAGTGTATCCCGCGTAATAAGCAGTTGCTGCACGATGGGACACTTGTTAGAAAGCGGAAGCCAGAGGCGCGTCTGCACCTGGACAGGTGAGGCGAGGCAGCACGTCCCTGCTTTCACAGTTTACCTTCGTCCTCTTGTAGTCGCACAGGAACTCCACGTCGAATTCGTTGCCGTTGGCTCTCTTCACTCCGAGTTGTTGACAGTAGAGGCGCTCTGTGCGGCACAGGGCCTCCAGCTGATCCCAGGACATCTTCCAGGGAACGCTGCAATCTGACAGATCAACTCCGGTTAGCTACGCGGGAAACGCACCAGGGCGGTTTAACGTGGCTATTTACACTTCTCATTCCGACAACACAGCACACAGCCACGAGCGTCTCACCCCGATTGAATCCCATAACTTTTTAGTTTTAGAACCGTTCGAGGGTGATATCGACTTAACGGTCACATCCATTCACCTCACGGCAACGTCAGACGTTGATTACGGCGTCAAGTTTCTACAAGTATCATCCAAACACTTCTACGTGGCGCGATGCAAGAGCAAAACGAACTATTGAAGTGATTAAGTAACGTTATTATTTCCAAAGCTATATTCAGAGTTCATGTGAATTCACAAGCGTACAAAGCCCCCACAGTTAAACTGCATGAACTTCGTTAATGCAGTCCAGGGTAAAAAGACGTGCCTACTTGGGGTTTACGCTCATACATGACTGAAAAACAAAAGTAGTAGTAATAAGTAGTAGTGGTAGTAAAAAGTAGTATACCGGAATATAAAAAAAACAATATGTATTAGTTCTCATGAGTTACCTTTCAAATTTTCCACCATGTTTTCCACCCAGCCGCCAAAATAAAAAATAAAAAAACCTCGGTGGGGGATCCAGCCACGTGGTGTACTGTAGCGGCTGCTGATTGGAGGAGCATCCAATCCCAGCCCTCTCATTGGTCACTTTCGTAGGAGGGCCGGAAAAAGAGAGCTCTTTCGGCGCTAACGTTAGTGCAATTCACAAAGAAATGACAACGTACTGCCTGCGGTTTTTTGTTGATAAGCTGCATATTATAAACACAGCTAAACAGCATAGTTAGCAGAACTAGCAGAATCACGGCCTCGTTCAAACCCTGCATCCGGTTCAACGAGTTCCCTTTAAATGCCACAATTGCGTCACTGAATAAAAACGTAGGTTTCGAACTACATCCACGCTGAGCCCGTTTCCCCTGAAGACGCTGGTTCATGTCGCAAACCAGCGAGTCCGTAAACTATCGAGACATTTCAAAAGTTATACGGCCACAGTGAAATGTATACATGTAATGTGACGTTATGCCATTTGTATTATTTCCTTACACAATGATGCAAATACCTGCTGGGAAAAAACAACATGTGACACTTTATACAGCTACGAAAACGTCTCACCCTAAACTGCATTTAACGTTACATTTGAACGTAGAGTACTTTTCTAGTTCAGTAGGGTCCAGCTGGCCCCTCAGCAGCACCTCACACTGCACAGACCTCCTGCAAGGGTCACATGACTCATTACTTTACTCTGGGCCTGTTCCCGGCCTGGCCAAGTTACCGCAGCACAACATTTTTCTTGACCACAAAGTGACGGTTCTAACGTCCCGTCTCAGTGTCCCCAACCCTGACACCTGGTTCAGTGGAGTGCAGCGGGCTCACGCTGAACAGCTCATCATTCTAAAAGATTCCTGTTGACAAAGTGTTCAACTTATCCTGTGGATCAGTGGGAGATGAGGTCTATATGATCAAGACCTCGCTGTGTCAGTATCTGAATGAAATCCTCTTTGTGGAACAGAGCTTTAAACTCAGGTTTCCTAGAAGTATTGACAGGTAGGTTGATAGCGCTGCAATCTGCCCCCTCACCACTGGATGCTACCAGACCCCACACACTAGTATTCCAACTGTATATGCAGCAGTAGTAGTAGTAGTAGTATGTAGCACTGGCCCATGGTATGTGCTGCAGAAATACAATGACTTAACTTTATTAAGTGTACTTGAGGTAGGTGATTATAATTGATAGAAAAGATAGAATACTCAGAGCTCACGTTTACATCCTTGCTGGCCCAGTTTGTAACTACACTGTTTGGTTACATTTACAGAAACACACAAAAAATAAAAAATAGCAGCAGAACAAACAGATTCTGTTGTAACAGATCAAGAATGACAGTTATGGACCCTTTAAAAATCAACACGGATACTAAACAGCTCTGTTGGCAGCTCGCATGGTGTCCCTTTGTCCTTCTTTCAGTCACACAGTCTTTTTTTCTGCAGGTCTTTGATGTACATGAAGGTATGTGCTACATTCTCACTTTGCATCCAGGTCTGAAGATGTCGCTTAAGTAACTTCATCTTCACAGCCACAGCAGGATACATGCGTGTAAACCACCCCAGTACAGACGCCGTCCCCCACCCGTCCCACAGCCCTTCCCACTTCAGCAGATCCTCGTCCCGCCAGACAACATCCCCCTGGCACCCATTGAATTAGGAAGTACTTGGTGTCAGTCAGCCTTTCATTCTGCTCCAACAACGTCACTGGATTAAACGGTAGAAGAGCCAGCAGGCGAACACAACCCAGTGGCTGGCCCAGTTCAGTTCGGACCACCTCTGGATGGTGTGGATGGCCGCGTAACCCTGCAAAACAAGTGATGGACAAGCACAGGTTGATGGAAAATGGAAACCATTATACCTTCTCAGTCTTCTGTGCCAGTCTGTGGAATAGTGAGACTTAAAATCAAACTCTTGTGCGTATTGTGAATTCTTTGATAGTTAACATCATTTTTTCCTGGGAGTCAGTCAAGTTGCTCTCACCTCCTCTACTTCCTGTTCATCAACTCCAGGATCGAACATGGAGCCAAGGTAGGTAAGGTGGAAGATGGCCAGTAAGCTGAAGACCAGGTTCAGCAACATCACCCAATACTCCTACAGAGCAGAAGAAGAAGAATTAACTGAGAAACACTCACAAGCACTTCTTCATAGAGACTCATTATTTTAAACCCCACTGCAGAGGAACTGGACAGGTTTGCTGACTTTCAGTGGTTTAACCTTTGACCTTGCTCCTGTGATGCAGCGCGTCAAGCGTTCGACACGAAGAACCGCCGTCACATACAACAGCATCAAACCCACAAACCTTAAGCAAACAGAAAACTCGTGCCATGACTTTGGATTTACCTCGTGTTAACTGTCCTGGATGCCGAGCCGTCAGCTCTGACAGATGGCCACAGTTACCATTGATCGAGTCTTTTTTCCTTATAGGGGTGCAGACTTTAAGACTCCCTCCACAAAATACTGTATGTCTGAGAGAAACTTTGTACCCATATAGATATCCATAAAGGTGTGGATCCATATGGAAAGAAGTTTCACCTCACGCTTCCCTACAGTGGCATGTAAAGTTAAAATACAAAGATAGCCCGTCAGTAGGTATGCTTCTAGCAGAGCTGCATGGAGCTGAAGCTGTACCTTCTTGTGCTGATGGCTGCAATCAGCGGGGCAGGGCCTGGACAGGACACAGGCGCTGAAGATGGATGCAAGCTTCTTTCTCAGGACTGAGGATGAGAAAGAAATCAACCATGACCATTCGGGTGTCAGATACATACTGATTAATTTACGACCTTTCGTGGTTCAGCTTCCATTGTGAATACAAGCCCATGTGTTCTTCATACCATGTTCAACATATGTGATGAAGCCCAAAGAGAGCAGGACAGCTCCAAGGTGAAAGCTTAGACCCTGAAGAAAACAAACACGAGATTAAGTTAAAGCAGTGACAGTAAATCCTTCAATATCGAAAGAAGCAGTTTTCATATGCCCTACTGGGTCCAGTGATCACAGACAAGTACAGATGGTCTACGTGTGTGTTAGGAAACAGCACAGTCTCTCACATGTCATGCGCCTCATGTGTTCCCATATTCAAATGAAAGCAGATGAGTTTCAAACTAATACATTGCATCGTAGAAGGAGAGAAGTGTGCAGCGTTACTAACATGCAGCAGGGCGCTGGTTGTGTACGTCACCAGGATGGCAGGAAACGTCCCCAGTTTCATGGCGTTTTTAAAGGCATCTGATGAACATGAAACAGAACACGGTAAACACGACATGATACCTACATGCAGAACACGTTGTAAAGGATATTCAGTCCACTGTCATGACAAACAAAAAAAGAAAATAGACACTGAACATTTCATTTTGTCCAGCAAGAGCGAATATTTGGTACTATTCAGAAAAAACTAGACAAAGAGAAGATTCCGCTCACAGTTACCAAACAGTCATGAAAAACATGAAGAATGAAATCAATGAATGGAGATGTTTCACAATGAAACTGAATATTTGAGAGGTGTAAGGCAAATAAGTCAAATCCTTTGCATTTGATTGGAACACTAAAAAGGGGGGCGGGCGTCTAGGTCAGTGGTTCTCAACCGAACCCACCATCACAACTTAATGACAACCCAAATCAAGGAATGTGTATTTAATCTAAAGATGGTGCAGTATGATCATACTGCACCATGTTTAGATACACACACATTCATATTAATATGTATAATAATAATAATATACATATAGGATATCACAATATGCAAACACAAGAAAACAATATGAATCTAAACCAAAACAACGATGCTAGAGAAAGAAATATTCTATTTTACGTTGGATTAGCTGTATTTTAAAGCCACCCACCACTGGTCTAGAGCAGGAGTCGACCACCCCGGCCTTGGGCATTTGGTACCGGGCCGCAATTTTTTTGTCATTTGACTTTTATTCTGAAAATTGACTGTATTCTCTCAAAATTACGTGCACTCCCTGTTGATTTATTTCCCAAGCATTTTGGTATCACCTTATACAATTGGCCGATACTCGCTGCGGCCGGCAGAGAGCGCTAATCCAGTTCATCCGCATGTTGTGCGACATTTCTCTTGGAAGAATCAGACGTCAAGCCCAACTGATATCCAAACACACATGTTGTCTTGTCTCCATATTGCTCCGTTAGCTACTAGGGTCAACAAACACACACACTGACCGCTGAGTCTAGCCACTCATCTCTGATTGGATAAATCTCTGTAAATACGCCTCAGTGATGGATGAGTCTTTTTTTAAAGAGTCTCACAGAAAAGAGAAATTCATACTTACATGTTTTCAGCCATCGGGACATGGGAATGTTCCAGGACGTCACCACCAGCACCATGGAGCGAGGCATTTCCACACTGAGGGGCTTCACCACGCTCATATCCCTGCAATATAATACATGGATACATTGTATGGGGGAATATGGTGTAGACATGTTGCGTGTCCTAGATTAGTCAAGAGAAGCACATTTCTATTTTCTATTTCTTCTTTTCTATTTCTATGAAAACAGAATCTAAAGCAGCATGCAGATGCTGTGCCGTCATTGTTATTTCAGTGGGTTGATGATACGCTGATTAAGATGGATGATGAGTGAACAATACTTCAGAGATCGGATGAGGTGTTTGTGGCAATGCGGTAAGCTTCGGCTTAACCGGCCAGGCACATTTTGTAGTACGCCTCCCCCCCCCCTGCTCAGACTCAGCTCAACTTACCATCTGATGTTGTCCTTTTCTGCAGTGAAGCCTGCACCAGCCAGCATGCTGGTACCTTCGCTGAGGTGACCCACAAAGTAGTTACTGAAGTGGAAGGACACTGCATTCTCATAAGCATGCAGCCACCTGTGCAGCACAACACACAAGACACACTCACGTTAGCCTTGATGGGATTACAATTTTACATTAGACATCACTACGAGTTAGGCACGTTAACGGGGGTCCCTCACCCAAAAATCAAATATACATATTTGCCTCTTACAGTGGTTCCCAAAATTTCTGTCGGGGCCCCCCTCTGAGGACATTGTAAGACCTCTCTCCCTCTTTCCATCGCCCCCTTTCTCGCCCTCTCTCTGCCTCTTTGCCACGCTCATCCACTTGTGACCTGAGCGACCCCCAGTTTGGGAACTACTGCCTTAAAACGAAATACAAATAAACAGTGTCTAAAATACGCCTTACGTAGTTACGTTAATTAATTATTTATTTAGATATTATCATGGACTGCCTCTTTTCACCTACGTAATATTGTAAAAAATCAGGCACATCCTGTCTAAAAGTGATGCAGAGAAATTAGTTAATGCAGTAGTTCCTTCTAGACTAGAATACAGCAATTCTTTATTATCAGGCTGCTCTCTTAAGCCTCTCCAGTTGATCCAGAATGCTGCAGCACGAGTATTAACAAGAAATAAGAAAAGGGCCCATATTACTCCTGTATTCACTTCTCTGCACTGGCTCCCTGTTAACTCAAGAATAGAATTCAAGGTACTTCTCCTCACCTACAAGGCGCTATAATCAAAAAGGGATCTGAATCTGTTGAATCTGATTAATGATCACCTTATTAGCGATCAAAGTTAAAAAACTACATTTGTTCCCTTTTGTCTCTTCTGCTGATCCGATTTTGGACACTGATCCCCAATACAATCTGAACTTTGACGTTCATAATCCGTTGCACCTCAAGTACAGATACAGCAGAGCCATGTCTGAAGAAGCTTGATGTGCATAATTTAAGTTCCAAACTTGGGCCACAAGTTGAAAACATCTCCATCCACTAATGAAGACAAAGATGCCGCAAAATGTATTAAATGGAGTTCATGTTGTCAATGAACCCGAGAGTGGATTACTGTAGCATCATACTGATATTAGAATCAAACAGATGACCGCGTGCTTTCTAGCAACATGACAAATAAGAAATTCTTATAGTCACGGCAGTAGGCTTTTGGGAGTCAGTGGGCAAAAAGGGAAGTTCTAGCCCTGAGAAGAAGCCTTACCTTTCTCAAAATGTATCTTGGAAGCAGGGAAAGAAAGACAAAGAGTATGTATTGAACAGCTGTGTTGTTGGAAAACATCCTCAGCTGAAGGAGGAAACCCATTTCAATGAAGATAGGCCTTACTTCTGTGTGACTGTGTTTCCGTGGATGGGGATTAACAAAGGGAAGAGGTAAGGGGCGATGCAGGTGGAGACCAGCAGACACATCTGACTCTTCAGCAGGCTGAAGGAGGAGCTACGCAGCCACGACCAGCTCTGAGGAACAAACCGCCTCATCACCACCACATTTACGATACGTGAACAAGAGCAACCCCAGTGAAGCTGGAAACATGAACTACTCACCAGCTTTGTGCCCTCAACAGCGTTACTATACGTGGAGAAGCTGATCCAAGGGCCGAAGACTACAGTGCCAACAAAGAGGACATAACCCAGGTACTCAGCTGGGGAGGGCAGCCGGCCCACTGCTCCTCTGTCCAGGTCAAAGGCCAGAGAGATGGCCTTCATGGCCACCACCATCTGAGAGCCTGACACACACACACACACACACACACAGAATCCTGATGAATATTTATGTTGGAGACAAAAGTTTAGTGATCCAGTTTTCTTGTTTTTGGATCTCAAGCAGTGTTGTCATAGTACAGCAAAAGCAGAGCGTTCATCATTCACCATTTTGTTACATGATTTAGCGATAGATGGTGACGTCTGGGTGAATATTTTTGAGATCATTACTTTAAAAAGGGGCCCTTTGCTCGTCATGGTTTGGTTGGCTCAGGCTGTTGTAAATTGGGTTGCTACTGTGGAAGAAACATTTGGAAATCCAAGAATAATGACCCTGTTTTTTTTAAATGGCGAAGAAACCTGTCAAATAACCTTTCTTAAATATATTGCTGTGGACAATGTCTATTATATTCTTTCCAAGAACTGAACTGCTTCAGACAATAAACTTCTTTTTCACCAACAAAGTAGTAGCTCCTAGAATACTGCATTATTTACGGTAAGTAATAATAATAGTAAAACATTTCATTCACGCTACTCTCAAACTAAAGGATGGAACACTTACCTCTTATTTTATGCCAGGTCACCATATCAATCAAATGTAACTCTCTGAAATGAAGAGAAAGAAAACTCATTTTCCACAAACGTGTCGATTGGCAGGACAACACACACACAAAACCACTGAGTAACTACAAAAAGGGACGATGACGTTGCGGATTCCATTACAAAGTTCAAACAGAAGCAATGATGCAGACCAAAGACAGTTTATGACAGCTGCAGTTTGCAACACTACATCAGAGCTGCACAATGTTTTGACAATGCATGTAGTCACCACAATGGAGGTTCTTTACAGTGTTTTCTCACCCAACAAGAAGGTAGAGGAGGATGACAACTGAGAGGAAGAGGCCTCTGCTGGAGGAGTGTTGGCTGAGAAGCAACACAAGGTAACAGAGCGCACAGAGCAACAGCACCCACAGCATGTGCAGCTCAAAGAACAGGAAGAGGCAATAGATCCCAGACAAAGCCGACACGCTGTGCTTCAGAGTGGACACAACTCCTAAGGAACAGCAGCAGGAAGACATTCAGAATTACCATAAAATACAACATTCTTGTTTTCTTGGGCAGAATTTGTGTTGAAGTCTAGCAACTTCCAGGTGCAATAAACAAGTGTGACATGGTAAATCTACCGATTATGAATGGAAAGAAAAATATCACAGTACAATTTTGGATTGCCTGATAGGATAGCAGAAGGTCATCCAGGAGCATTATCTCATTGGGTCAATACTGACCATGTCAAAGCGTGCAGCTATGGGTGTGAATTGGATGCTCCTATGAAGGCTCACCCAGTCTGAAGCAGAGTCTGCAGATCAGGCAGAGCAGCAGCAGCCTCCAGACCTGCTGGAATCCCTGCTGGACTGTGCTGACACCACAGCTCTCCGCCAGCTGCTGCAACACCAGCAGCCTGCTGGACATGTCCATCCTGCAGCCCAACACGTACACAAACAACTGCCATCATCTGGTAAACAGCACGTATTACAACCTCCATCAGGTGGACTAACGTTGGGTTGGTTGAACACTAAAGCTCCACGGAGGGAGGACCTCGTTAGTTTATGTCATTATCAACAAGTCTCCTCCACGTAGCCCGGCTGTGCAGTCAAACTGCGCCACCTTTGTCCTGTAAAACGTCACCTTGTCCAGCGACACTAACGTTAGCTTCGTATGCTAGCTTCGCAAGCTAACGTTACTTCGCCGGGTAAAGTAACGCCTCGTAAGCTAACGTTGGCTATAACTCGTCTAACGTTAACTTTGTAAACGCAAGAACACAAGTTAACTTACACCACAGGAGCCAGATGCGTTCAGGAAGGAGGATGCTAACGTTTCTGTTCCCTGGTTGACTGATTGGTGGTTACGTTAACTTTAGATCGATAGTTCTGCTAAATAAATCAGCGCATTTCAGTATAATGCGGCTGGGCTGGAAAAAATTCCTCTTAGCCGAGGCTTCTTCTTCTTTCTTTTTGGGAAGCAACTTTCTGGTGCGCATTACCGCCACCGTCTGAAAGGAGTGTGGACAGAGATGATTCAAGTAGTTGTGGGTAGTAAGTAAGCCAGGTGTACGGCAGGACCACTGCAGGGACGACCACCATCAGGTAGAAGCACCATCAGATAGAACCACCATCCACAGAAGCCCGTGGGAAGGGAAACGACAAAGAATAAAACAGGTAATGTTGGTTAATGATGAGAGTAATAGTAAATGTGATTAATATTTAAAATAATAATGATGATATCCGCAGCAGGTGTCAGCAGGGTCATGGCAGGAGGCAGGAACAGGGTTCAGATAGAACCATGATCCATGGAAACCTGTGAGGCAAGAAAGCACAAATACTCGGTGTAAGAAAGCACAAATACTCGGTGTAAGAAACAAAGTTCGTGATGCGCATTCATGTGAAATGGGAATATCAATAGTATTAGAAGCGGTACGTGTCCGCGGGCCAGGCATCAGTCAGGACGAGGGTCCAAACGGAACTACAATCTACGGAGACCTGCGAGGCGAGAAAGCACAAAAAACTCCGGGGAAGAAACTGAATTACTGATGTGCATTAATAAAACGTGGATTATTATAGAAGTAGAGAGTGAGAGTGAGAGAGGAGGCGTGTGTCCTAAGAAATCCCGTGATGAGTAACAAGATGCTCTTGCATTACGAAGAGCCTTCTTATATGTTTTAAGGCTGTCTTGCCAAAATAGCCTAGATCCTTCTGATTTGGTGGGACGCCATAACCGTTCAAGTTATCTTGAGACAGGACACTGAGAGCACAAGGAATGACTTCTTTTAAATGAGGCTACAGTGGTATCCGATAAGCATCGACTGTAGAAACCAGGTTCGTGCAGTAGATTTTTGTTAAATTGTACATTAGTTAGACAAAGCGAAGATAGCCTTCTGTGTTAATTTATGAAGAGGTAAAACGGCCCAGTGGGCGACTGCGTTGTGGACTAGCCACTCTGCAGTTTTGAGTTCCCTATTTTTTTCAACGGAGCTACGTAAAGTTTTCGATCATCCCGTTAAAGGGCAAGAGGCCATGAGTTGGCTATTTTCGTTAAGACGAGGGTCTGGATCAGTAGCAGACTTTTCCATTGAATTCCCAGATTTTGGCTGCAGAATGTGGATGGGATGAGCCAGCACTAATGACCTTGTTCGCCAGGAATCTGTCTGAGGAACTAAAGGACGAGCTGGCCTCTCGAGACGTCTCTACCTCTCTCGAGCAATTGATTGCTTTAGCTATCAGGATAGACAATCGTCTCCAGGAACGGAGGAGAGAACGAGCCGACCGGACCCGTAACACAGTTTCATCTGCAGGCCTCAGGTTTAGCGTCCTGGCGCCCACCAGCGTCCCCGCCTCCCCATCTTGGAGTCCTGTCAGGCCATCTGCCCTCCCACCTCCCTCTGAAGAACCCATGCAGCTAGGTCGAGCTCGCCTAACCCCCTCAGAATGCCAGCAACGGAGGCAACTAAGACTCTGCCTATACTGTGGACTCGCGGGCCATTATGCTGCCCCCTCCCAGGCCCCACCAAAAGATCTAGCTCATCAGTGACGGAGAGCACCACCTCGTCGTCTCGCTCTCCCGTCCGGATGTCCTTTCCGGCTACGCTCAGGAGCAACACCCAGTCCTACCCCCTACACGTATTTATCGATTTGGGTTCAGATGACAATTTCATTGATGAGAACTTTTTCGCACAGACAAACATCCCTCTCTTAGAAATCCCCAAATCTGTCAACGCACTGAATGGCCGGTTAATTTCAAAGGTTACCCATCGCACTGTTCCCCTCTCTCACTATTTCTGGCAACCATGGTGAGACAATACAGTTGTATGTGATACCTTCCCCCCTGTCACCACCTGTCCTTGGCATACCCTGGCTTAAACTGCACAACCCCCTTCTCGACTGGAAAACATCATCCATTTCCAGCTGGAGTGTCTCGTGTCACGCTCACTGTCTCAGGTCCGCTGTCCCGGAACCCCATCAGGTTGCGTCTCCTCTGTCACCCCCAGATCTTTCCTCCGTGCCGTATCTGGATTTCCTGGTGTTCAATAAGGATTTAGCATGCACCGTACCCCCCTACCACCCGTATGACTGCGCCATCGATCTTCTCCCTGGAGCCCCTCTCCCCACCAGCAGGCTGTTCAACCTGTCCCGTCCGGAGAGAGTGGCCATGGAGACCTAGATCAACGAGAGTCTATCTTCTGGTTTGATCCGTCCCTCCTCATCACCTCTGGGAGTGGGCTTCTTTTTTGTAGAGAAGAAGGATGCTTCCTTACGCCTCTGTATAGACTACCAGGGCTTAAATCATATCACCGTAAAGAACAAGACTCCCCTGCCTCTTTTCAAGCGGTTATGTCACGCCCAGATATTTTCCAGGTTGGATCTCCGGAATGCCTACAGTATCACCTCGTCAGGATCCGAGAAGGAGATGGATGGACAACAGCATTCAACACACCCCTGGGTCAGTTCGAATACCTAGTCATGCCTTTTGGTCTCACCAATGCCCCCGCCGTTTTGCAGACCCTCACGAACGACCTCTTCCGGGATTTTTTGAACCGCTTTGTTTACATCTACTTAGATGACATCCTCATCTTTTCCCGGTCTCTCAAGGAGCATTGCCAGCATGTGAGGTTAGTTCTCCAGCGTCTGCTTCAGAATAGATTTTATGTTAAACCAGAGAAATGTGAGTTCCACGCCCCTTCCGTCAGCTTCCTTGGCTACATCATCGCTCAAGGCCAGCTGGAGCCAGACCCCGTCAAAATAAGAGCAGTCGCCGACTGGCCACCTCCCGACAACCGCAAGGAACTACAACGTTTCCTGGGCTTTGCCAATGTCTACTGCCGCTTCATCAGGGATTACAGTAAAGTCCAGCTGAAAGAAATTATGACGTGGGTAACCGCCAGTTGCTGGCAGTGGTTCTGGCTCTTCAGGAGTGGAGGCACTGGCTTGAAGGCTCCCAGCAAGCGTTTCTTATATGGACGGATCACAAGAACCTTGCTTACTTCCGCTCTGCTTGCTGGCTCAATCCTCGTCAAGCCCACTGGTGTTCCTCAGCAGGTTCCATTACACCCTGTCCTATCGTCCCGGAAGCCGTAATTGGAAACCGGCCTCTCTCTCACGCATCTACTCACCCTCGAGTCCCCTGGAATACGGATCCCATTATTCCCTCCAACTGTGTGGTGGGGGCAGCATCGTGGGAGATGGAGTCGGTGGTTAAGGAGACCCAGAAGGACGTTCCGGATCCTGCCGGTGGTCCTCCTGCTCGTTTGTTCGTCCCTCCTGCAGTCCGGTCATAGGTCCTTCAGTGGGGACATTCGTCTAAATTGACATGTCATCCGGTAGCCCACCGTACACTCATCTTTCTCCGCCATTGCTTCTGGTGGCCGGGAATGGCGAAGGATGTTCGTGAGTTTGTGGCTGCCTGCTCTGTCTGTGCCAGGAGCAAAGCTTCCCATCGGCCTCCTGCTGGTCTGCTGCGTCCTTTACCCATCCCTAGCCGTCCTTGGTCACATGTTGCCGTGAATTTCATCACCGGGTTATCCCCATCCGAAGGTAACACAGTCATACTCCCCACCATTGATCGTTTCACCAAGGCGTTGCATTATGTTCCCCTTCCCCACTTCAAACAGAGTCACGTAAGCTGGCGTCCCGTTATGTGGGGCCTTTTACCATTTCCAGAATAATTAACCCTTCCTCTGTCCGTCTAATCTGTCCTCCCTGATTCGATGAAGATATATCCCACGTTCCGTGTTTCCCTCCTTAAGCCTGTTTCCACCAGTGACCTCAGCTCTCCGCCCGTTCCCCCTCCACCCCCCCGGCTCGTCGATGATCACCCTGTTCCCAGGATACTGGACGTCAGGCCCCGAAGACGGGGTTTCCAGTACCTGGTTGATTGGGAGGGATACGCTCCTGGATCTCCAGCCGTTAGATCATGGACCCGACGCTCCTCTGGGATTTCTATGAGGCTAACCCTGGCAGACCCGGGAGAACGCCAAGAGGCGTTCGTTGAGAGGGGGGGTACTGTGGTGATTATGATTTCTTGGCCTTCACTCATTTTGTATATTTTGATCCTGGGTGCTGGCTGGCGCTCCTGTGTTTTCAGGCTGGGCGGGACGGCCGAGAGGAGCACTCTCTCACTACCCTCACCTGTGGCCAATCACCAATCTGGCACGAGTTATAGCCTGCTGTCTCCTGGGCCTCCTTGTCGGATCATTATCTCCTGGCGACGCGACACGACACGACTCGCCAGCACGCTTACGCAGCCTTCGCTCAGTATCCTGCACGGCCTTCCACCGTACCTGCCCGCGGCCCACTGCCGCCTCCCTCTTCACGAGCCTCACAAAAAATAAATAGTTCTGACCTCAAAACTGTGTCTCCGGTTCTGCATTTGGATCCAGTCCTCATCAACCCTAACACACACCATGCATGGCATTATATCTGTACCCCATTTTGTATGCAGATTCAGCATAAGAACTGCAATCTTTTTCTATTGTTCATTCTTAGCAATTGCAGTACCCAAACAAGTAGGTGCAAACAAGTAGGTGCAAATAGAGATTCAATCAATCAACTTTATTCCAGACACAGAGGTCCATAGAGAATACATACACATAAAAAAAACAATAAAAAAAACAATACAAACAACATTTAAGAATGATTCACATCATGGACATAGTCATTCTACCCTGGTCTTACAATATATTGTTCACCCATCCCACTTCTTAGTGGTTCACTCCCATCAACTAAACAGTTCAGAATTCTGTCATACATTGCAAATAGTTCATTTTTGTAGCTTACACTCTTACAGCTGCTATCCACACACATAATTGCATCAACAGGTAACTCAATGTTTCTCAAGTGCACATCAGTCAGTAACTTGTAATATTGCAGATTATCTTCTGAGAGTTTAGTCCAGTCCAGCATCTCACCTTGTTTATGGCTGTCACTACAAACAAGCTCAGGTAGACCCTTAATATTTATCAACATAGAGACGGGAATATGGTCTGCTATGGCCAGACCATATAGGATCTCAACCTCCTTTATACAACCATGTGCATCAGCTGTAGATATACAATGGTCCAACCAAGATGTAGTATGCCAAGCTTCACTCACATATGTAAAGCTATCAGCCCGCAGTAATTCCTTAGTGGACAAAATAACCTTATGGTGCATGCAGAATTGTGTCAAGTGTTGACCAAAAAGTGAGGTTGTATCTGATATATCTCCCAAGACAAAAATGGATGTATATTCACTTTCCCTTATATAAGACCCTATAGAAGCAAGTTTATTCAAATACTCATTCTCATTCTTGTGACATTCATATGGAGTCTATACATTTAATATTATAAAAACATTCTTATTATGGACCACCTTAATTCCTATGCACCAGTCCACATCTAACCTGATCACAGTGACCATAGGGTCAAGTTTCTTGTGCCAGAATATGGCAACACCTCCTGGGATCCTACCACGCAGAATTCTGGTGTTTAAGTCTGTCGTGGATTCTCCTGCCCCATGGAAATCATTATGTACAATGTTCAGGTTGTCCAGATCTTGAATCGCTAAAAGAGTCTCTTGCAGACACACCACATCAGCATTCTCAAAGAGCTTGTCAATAACAGTGCGTTGGGCTCTCGCTCCAGCATCCTGTCCATAATGCAGACCACGGGAGTGGTTGTCTTGTCTGTCTACTGTCGCGCACTAACCGCCAAGACAAATTCCTTGTATGTTTGACATTTTGGCCAATAAATGTTTCCTGATTCCTGATCCTGATTCCTGATTCCTGAATAAGACACAACTCTCATAGCAGTTTATCAATGTTTTAACAAGCATGTGACGCCCTTGGCTCAGGCGCCCTCATCTCTGTGTCAAGTGATGCTTTAACACATGCCCCAACCGCAGCCCCAGGCTTGCGATTCTCATAAAACGTCTTAAATAGGTCCCCTTTGGCCACAGCTCCGGCGCATACATTTCAGCTACTTTGCATTCAGCAGTAACTTTGAAAGAGCTGTAGCGAGTATACTCAGTGCCAATCTTCTGACAAGTCACATCTCTGGAAAGTTGTTCTTTTAAACGATTAACCAAGGTCTCTGAATCTAGGTCAGGAGCAAGCTTTGTCACAAACACGCTCACCCGCTTAGTTGTCACTGCATGTATGTTCTCCACGGCATCTGTTCCAATTATTCCGTAGGTCTTTTTTGCTCTCGGGGGATTCATAGTCCTGTTCTGTACTGCAGCAGCAGATCCTTTTCCAGTCCGTTGCTTGCGCTTGCCATACTTTAATACACGACTCCATGCCGGGGACATTGCAACCTCAATCTCCCCGCCAGCTGTGTCCTCAGAGATGGGCAACGCCGAGGGTCCGGGTGCCAGTTCCTTGTGACTTGGTCCATGGAACTGGCCATAGTTGTGGCTGCATTCCCCTTGCTGGAACTGGGTAGCTCAATCACATTCAGTCGTTTGCTAATGTCTGTAGCTATACCACGAAGGTTCTCACATTCAGTCGACTGCTTACTCACAGTATTTTTCATGGAGGCCGACTCCACACTTATGCGATCAATCTTACTAACCAGACAAGAGACATCGAGGCTATTAAAAGTCACTGATGGTAAGTCATCCAGGTAATAGGACACAAAGCAAGGAGCATTCTCACCGACCTGATTCAGTAGTTTTAGACAACTCTTGACGTTGTTGACATCTTTCAGTTGTCCTTTGTGAGCTATACAACGCTGCCTTGTGCCAGGACACAGATCAAACAGGACCTTTTTTGGAGTTTTCAATCCACTCAGATCCAATTATACGTGTATGTATCTTAGAGAGGATTGGACAAGTGCTGCTAGGCGACAGTCCCTGTCACACACCAGTTATTTTTAATAATTGAAACTTAGTTTCAAGATGTTACTTCGCAGAAGAAACAAATTAGCACGCAGAAACTGTAGACAACACTAACTTAGCTTATGGAGCTACAAGATAAATAAGAAGTTGCAAATAATTCACGGAATTTACATTACATTACAGGTCATTTAGCCGACGCTTTTATCCAAAGCGACTTACATTACACTTTAAACCCATGGCTTTTTCACATTTTTGCCCGGGGAGCAATTAGGGGTTAGGTGTCTTGCTCAGGGACACAGCCTGGAACCAACAACCTTGTGCTTCCCAGCACATTTTACCCCAATTTATCCCGCTAACATAACGTTAACATAAGAAAACTAATAATTAATGGTTCAAGAACATGTTATGTCTTACAACAGGGGGGGTTACATTAATCATGTTTCACTTACACTAGAAGCGGCGCGTCGTCACTACCAGACACCATTGTTTGCTGACTTCGGACGCGTCGCTTCGCAAGTTGCGTTGCGATATCGCTGGAAGGCTCGTGGGGAGGAGAAGGGGGAGCTGCGCTCATGTGATTGGTTGAAAATTAGGGCGACATCTGATTGACTACAGATAGGTCCATGTTAAAAAAAAACACATTTGTAGATCTGTGACGTGAGACGAGTCTCAAAAAACCCCACACACAAAGGTGAAGCGATCCGCAAATAAATGCAGTGTGATCCGCAAATATGAAATGGCCTTTTATTAATGTGTGCATTGAATATATATTTGTAAATCATTTTGTGTGCATCTGTAAATCGAATATATTTGTGAATTGTTTAGTGCGCATTTGTGAATCTTCCGGTTTACATTTGCAATTATTGAGACTGATCCGACCCCACAGCAAAGTGCTGTCCCGTTCAAATTTATACAATTTAAAGCCATCGCAGACTCTCACACTGAGCCACTTACCAGGTGGTGTCAGTTAAGTCCCTGAGGGCTCAGGGTTTAGGGTGTACAGGGACTAGGATTAGGCCTCCTTCTCATTTACTCTTCTTCTTTACTGGTGGTTTAGTGGGTGGTGGAGAAGCTTAACGGAGCCTAACTGCCACCTGCTGGACTGAAGTGATTAGCAGCACGAGTACTGTCCACTGAGGGCATTGGTGAAATATCAGGCTGCAACTGTCCGTTTTGTGTATGTATAGGCAACATTTGGGGATCTCAGTGTACTTGGTGAATTTGCTTACTATTCGGCCTTATTTCACTGTGATTTTCACTCACAGAATAACATGTTAAGGAGCATGGCTTCCTTTGCATACTGATACTACACCAGAGTACTTTCAATGACAAAAGCGAGCGCTACGTTCCCCAACAAGCTCAAACCCTGTGGCTATGCTATTTCCCCACAGAAAAAAGGTTCTGCTCTCTGATTGGCGGATATCACGGCAGCAATGAATGACTATTGGGACTGGCTGATGTTTGGTTGAAGATGTCAAGTACAGTAACGTGCACAGTATCATTTAGTTGATTTAGCTCACCCTTGCTACATCGTTTAGTCTGTCGGTATTGTACCTCTATGTGTCTCAGCTGGTTTGAGTGACTGGGTGTTGGATTGACCTCCATAGTCCGTCCTCCAGATGCCCAGCCGCCGTTGATATATTCTACCGTCTCCACCTCCATCAGCCCAGACCGAGCCGGGCGGGGCGGGCCCTGAGTGAGCTGCAGCCGGTTGCAGCTCTCCTGCGCTCCTGCAGGAGGCAGTGCAGCGGGGGCTCCTGTCCATGGTGCTGAAGATTCGGCTGGCTCTGTCCGGGGTGCTGAACATCTCGGGGCCGCTGGGTTCAGTGTGAGGCTGCTGTCCTCCCGATCGAGTCCCACCCGCAGCGTTTCGTTGATGAGCGGTGGTCGCAGTTCCCGTAGAACTGAAGATCTCTCCGTGCGGACATGTAGAAGCGGAGGGGGAGGGGAGCGCGAGGTAAGGCTTTATGTCTCCCTGACAAAGAGCGTGAAGCGCTTTCATTTGTCGGTATTTTCTGGGCCTTTGGGCCTCACTATGGATTCCACACCAGGCAGGGAGGACGTGATGAAGTGGTTTGAAGCCCCCCCGCCCCCCATCCCCCCGCTCCCCGTAAATTGCTTTCCGCTGTTTTTTCTTTCGCGGAGAATAATTTCTGCCCGCTCCGAATCTGCACGGTCGGGCTTTATAACAGATTATTGTCGGTGATGATGCCCGGGCCCTACAATGGCGCCCCGGTTTCGCCGTCAATCCAGTTAAAAGTGTATACCGCGGAACGCTGGCGGCCTTTGTGTGTTTGGTCGTGTTTGATCGTGTTTTGTAAGTGGGCGAGTTTAGGAGAGGAGCGAGGCCTCGTTCCGGTTCTCAGCCCGGCCTTCGTCTCTCATTGCACCGAAGCCCACTAAAGTTGGTGTTTGCATTTTGGATGGTGGGAGAAACGCTCCGCCAGTAGTAGCGGTCCATCACCATCGAAAGTGACGCCATGCTGAGTCCCAGTGCGCCGAAGCCTCCAGCAGGCGACCACTGCCGTCTGCTGTCAACACGCTGCACATTCCACGTCCTCTACATGGGATATTCCCAAGCTGTGTATATAATTCAGTATTTTACTAACTAGTATATACATATATATATAGTATATATATATATATATATATATATATATATATATATATATATATATATATATATATATATATATATATATATATATATATATATATGTCAATCATTTATATATATATATATATATATATATATATATATATATATATATATATTTATAAAGATATGGAGAGAGAGATTTATTAAAAATTGTAGGATACTTTTCAACTTCTTAATTTGACCCAACACACTGCCAGTATCATATATCCTTTAGCTCTCTGTTATATGATGAAAACTTTTCTCCAATGAATACAATAATTGCTTTTCATCAATAGCTCACAGTAAAGGCGTCACTTCTGTGTTTCATCCAATAGAAAATGAGTTCAACGGTGAGATATATCTGAGCCAGTGGTGACCAGGGGAGAGCCAATCAACCAGCATCAAAGTAACTAGCAATCTATCTATCTCTGTATGTAGCATACTATCTATCCATCCATCCATGAATTGACCCCCCCCCCCCGTTTTCAGATGAGCCAAGATACTGCAGAGACACGAACGCGAACCCGCTCCAAAGGAAGCCGGGGTCAGTATAGACAAACACACACTACCACACAGGTGCAGGTGGTTCTGAACCAATGAAGACTGTTGGAAGGTTTGCTGTGTGTAAAATTAGTTTCAAGTTACAGTAATTACAGTAAAGTTAAGAACATTTGACTCCCAACATACTTAAATAATTAGTACACTTTAGTATCACAACAGTTTCATTGGATTCACAACTCTAATTGCTAAAGTTAGTAATGCACACAAAACATTTCGTTCATGCTTTTTACTAGATTTTGTCTCAGTGATGATAAAACATGTTTTGCCGTTGGGTAAGCCGTACTAGTCCATTCATGTTTTATTCAGGCCGTCTTCTATACAGGTCTCTGTGTTCTCTGACAGCTTACTGTTATACACTAGCATGTCAGTGTTGTTCAACTGAACACCAGTGCATTTCACACTGTGTTCCTTACATTCGGATTTCAACACGTTCACCGTACAACACCATAAAAAACATACACATTTTTTGCATATATTGGGCTACATTATAGGTAGGATTCACAAAAAGCCACTACAGAGCAAAAGCACCACTGTATTTTACTCTTCGACCTCTCACTTCAGTTTTATTTCTGTGTCCACTGGCTCTCTTGTCACTTTACACTTAGTGTCGTCAGACCTTGTGGGACAAGAGACGAAGCAGGAGTTAAAGTGAGTGATTATTTGCTTCACTTAACACCATCATGATGGATAAAGTGTGTTGTGTGGATGAAGTGTGATTATTTGTCTCGCTGTGGGTCAGTAGCAGCTGTCCCACCCCTGGATGCGACGGCAAAGGTCACGTGAGTGGAAGATACTCTCGACATAGAAGGTAAGAACCATACTGTATTCTATGAAGCTTCTTGCAACATACAAATGAAACAACACATTTTATACTTTGTTATCATCCTAAAACAAGTATACAATATTCATCTCACAGTGTAAAGCATGCTTTATGTTGTCATGTTGGCTGTTAGCATTTACATTAGCATCATGCTCTCCTCAGCATACTGGGATGTCCAATAGTGAAGAAAAGGAAACTGGAGGAGGCTGAAGCTGAGGAGAACCAGTCTGCTCCCAAGAGGAGGAACCAGCCGGCCACAGAAGCAGGAGATGAAGGCTTCAATGCTGACAGTGACGCCGCAGAAGAGGAGGAAGTACAGAAGGAGGAGGAAGACGACTACAATCTCAAAGAGAAGAAGAAAAACAAAACAAAGGGCAGCCCAGAGTCAACACAAAGTGAGTGAAACCTGAGCAGAGAAAACAGCTCATAATTAGTGGTAAGACAGCACTCACTGATCAAATTCATCTCAACTGTGACACAATTAATCAGAACCCAATAACTCACCAACGGATCCTATAAAAACATTATAGAAACATCTGAACATTTTAGATCCATTTGGTTATCAGAACAATGTTGATGATATGACCATATCTGAGATGACCATACCCAAAGGCCGGGGCAGGAGACTCATTCCGTTACCTCATTTCTAGGCTGGCTGAGTCCAGAATAACCCTTTCAGTGTGAAGCTGTACTGTCACAATAGGTTTGCGCCTGAAAGCTAGCATCAGCATGCTAACATGCTAACAATGACAATTCTGACATGCTGAAAGAAGCCATGTTTGGCACAATGTTATAGTTTTGCCTGTCAGGACAAATACAAATGCAATAATGGTGCTAGATGAAAAATATCATCATTGGTCAACAACTGCATTGCTGCTTGTAAAAAAAAAGAAACTAGGTTTATGATATGTGCTGTCATACATTGTAAGTCACTTTCAACCACCCTATTACACAGATTAGGCAGTTAGAGGCTTGTGTGCTTTTCATTGCAATAAAGTGCAGGTTAGAACAAACTAATATTTTGTTCATTGCTCATGTTGAGTTTAAAATGACTGAGCACTGACATCTTAAGTGCACACAGCTATAGGAAGATTTTGCAGATCTGCATGTTGCTGGGAGAATTGCCTAAACATGCTCACAATCCAGATGAAGGGAACTGATGGATCCGCCAAAATGTGATCATATAGGGAGGACTAAGACAGAGCCACAGTGACAGTAACATTCCTCTATACTTTGAATCCACAGCAGATGCTGTGGACTGCTCACTTGAGACAACAGAGGACATAGTGGGTCCTCCGGCTGAAGTTGGAGACAACGAAAGCTTCACTTTGGAGACCGAGAACGAAACAGTAACAGAGACAACTACCGAGGAAGTGAAGCCGGCGACAGACAGCGAGCAGCATCAGCAGGATGAAACAGAGGAGGAGCAGGAAGAGGAAGGCCAGCTGCTGATCAAGGACCAGTCATCAGAGCTACCTGAAGAAGCAAGAGGACTTGCAGGGACAAAAGAAGAGGAGGAAGAGGAAGTAGATGAAGAAAAGGAAGCGGTTGAGCAGCAGAAAAGGCAAGAGGGTATCGTACAAGAAAAAGTGACAGAAAGACATATGATGAGTCAGGAAAACTCTGATCACCAGTACTCCAGTGGGGATTATAACCACCAGGCCAAAGAATCAGCAAAGGACCAGAGTGTGAGGGAGGAACCGGAGGAGGACGAAAATGAGGACAAAGAGGACGAGGAGGAGGAGGAGGAGGTGGGAGAGGAAGAGGAGAGGGAGGTCCACCAAGAGATTCACAGTCCTTCCACATTGAGTCCACAAACTCAGGGATCTGAGGCTGAGATGTCACTCAGGGAAGAAAAAATCTGCACTCCTATGATTGAGGAGGAGGACGATGAAGATGAAAGAGAGGAAGAGGAGGAGGAGGGGCTGGGGAAGGACGTAGAGGAGGTGGTGGAGGAGGAAGAGGAGGACCGAGACTCTAGCAAAGCCTCTCCGACAACAGTGGTTATAGAAGTCCGCTCAGAGGAGGAGGATGACCAGGACGATGAAGAGGAGGAAGAGGAAGAGGAAGAGGACGATGACGTGGACGAGGACGAGGACGAGGAGGAGGAGTATGAAGGAGAGGAGCAGGATCGTGTCTCAGAGGGCTCAGGAATCACAGACGACTCAGAGAACTGGGATATGACTCGAGGGAACCTGGGGCTGCTGGAGCAGGCCATCGCCCTGAAGGCGGAGGAGGTGAAGGGGGGGCAGGAGGCCGGGAGCTCCCCGGACTACCAACCATACAGCACTTCCAGCAAGGGCTCCGAGCCTGCTTCTCTAGCCCGCCGCACTGCTCACTACAGCAAAGGTACTTCCTGTTACTACTGCCAAACACTTGGATGGAACAGTGGATTCCCATGTTCGGTGAACACCATCCATTAAGTCTAATATTATATTCATAACCCAAATCCATTTAGTTTCCGTAGAATTGTTGTTGATTTGATTGGCATTCCCTTTATCAGCGGCTACCAGTCTTATCAGTCTTGCCACTATTGTTAGTACTTAGGTGTGGACTTAAGTATTAATCCCAAGTATCGATCCTTTGGATTGATAGTTCAGCTAGCTGAAAGGTACTGACCAAAGAAGAAGGTATCGTACAAGAAAGAAGTTTGTCAGAGCCAAATTGGGCCCCCAGGCTGGGGTAGATTTTGGCGAGGCAAAAGCTGAGGGAGATTTGTGAAGCGGCCCCTTGACCTCTCACCTCCTAGTATGTAATAATCAAAAATAGAAATGGGTTCAATGGGTACCCAGGAGCCTCCCCTTCACAGACACGGCCACTTTATAATATTCCCAATCTTTTTTAACTAAATAGCAAGAGTTTTTTGCATGCAATATAAAGTAAAACTAACACAAGGAATAGAATATTGACGGACAGGAATTAATTAACTTCGTATGAGTTACCTGAGACCTTATGGATCCAATTCCAATTCCATTCCTTTTGTTTTAAATAACCTATAATCATGAATTACAAATTGGCCTCAGAGGTCTAACAGTCTAAACACATGAGACATCCTCTGAAACCCTCACATCGGCACAGGGAGAACTTTCCCAAAAATGATAAAACCCTTCAACTGGGAGGAAAAAGAAGAAACATTAGAGAGAACTATTTGAAGAACGGGAGTGGAGGATCCCTCTCCCAGGACGGACAGAATTCATGTGTACAGAATGAACAACGTAAAAGATGTACAGTAGATAGATAGAACCACAATCTTTGCAAAACTCTGGGGAAGAAGATGAATTAGTGATGTAATGAGATGTGAATTCTTATAGAAGGGGAAAAAGAGGAGTTCAGTGTCATATGAAATCCTCCGGCAGTCTAGACCTATAGCAGCTCCACTAAAGGCTGGTTCAGACCAACCTGAGCCAGCCCTAACTATAAGCATTATCAAAGAGGAAAGCATTGAGCTTTATTGTAAATGAGCTGACTGTGTCTGCCCCCCGGACTGAAAGTGGAAGCTGGTTCCACTAAAGAGGAGCTTGATAACTGAAGGCTCTGACTCACATCCTTCTTTTTAAAACTCTAGGAACAACAAGTAACCCAGAATTTATGGAGCGCAGCTCTTTAGTGGGGCAGTATGGTATTATAAGCTCCTTGAAATAAGACGGGGTCTCACCTAAGTGCCTTGTAGGTGAGGAGAAGTACTTTAAAATTCTATCCTTGAATTAACAGAAATGAGCCTAATTGCATTCATGTGTGATGATGTCACTCCAAAAAGAGTTTTCACATAGGGAGACTGAGATTGTACCATAACGTCAATGTATAAAACTCCTTGGTGTGGCCTCTATGATAATCACAGTGCCATGAAACCCTACAACTACAAACCAGACCGAATGCTATCCGAGGATGTTTGACGTGTTTACTAGCTAAAAGCTAATTTTGCAGTATTGTAACACCATGGATTTTTATGTGGTGTTCCTTTAGTCTCAAAGTGTTATTAAGAAATACTTTTTACAGATGGTCATGACGCCAGAATAGAAACTTAGGAGAAATAGAAGAGCATCCAGAGCATAGCTATCATATACTTTTATCATAATACCGTAAGCCCACAATACACATTTTCACAATTTATTTCAATAAATAAATGTGAATAATGACTAGATGAACTTTACACACAGTGCTGACCTTCATGTCAAATGAATCTTTAAAGATCGTGATGACACATAACATGTCTATAATAGGTTAACCTTTTCAGCCCCCATAAAAACCCATCTTGACCATCTGGGCTGATGAACACTCTGCTGCTGCTAGTTTGTTGCAGTGATAATAATTTGAGTTCTGTGTGTTCAGGCACACGCATAAATTTACCTTTAAATTTGCCCATGAAATACAGAGAATAGTAAAACGAAATGTCTCTTGGTGAATTACTAATTCAAATGTATCCAGAAGCCTTTAATGATGCACAAAAGGCATCGATAGAGATAGCAGCCAGTGTGACTCTAGGTCTCTATTATTTGGTAATAGGTCAGAACTAAATGTTGAGGTATATCCACCCATTGTTACTACTTATTCATTGCTGCCGCCATCTAAATCACACCATCCTCTATCCAGAGAAGAAGGAGGTGAAGTGTCCAACCCCAGGGTGTGACGGGACAGGTCATGTGACTGGGCTGTACCCTCACCATCGCAGTCTATCTGGATGTCCACACAAAGACCGAATCCCTCCGGAAAGTGAGTATGCGCCACCTCTCCCAACACGCAGACCACCAGTACAAATGTGATGCTCGGATGCATCTTGTGTCACTTTCAGGGATACAGCAAATGTTATTCAGCTCAAACACGGTCCTTAGATCTCTATTGAATGTGATATGAAATAGCTAGTGTGTTCTCACCCTTACTACCAGCTTAGTAGTATCTCCACCACTACTACCTCCTTCACTTTTAGAAGAAATACTGTACTATTGCTAATACCTTTCTTAACACCGCTTTTTTTCTAATGCTTTTGTTACTACTGCTAACGTATGAAACCAAACAGACTGACCTGAGTGTGTGTCTGCTGTGTGTCGGTAGTCCTGGCCATGCATGAGAACGTCTTGAAGTGTCCGACTCCTGGGTGCACAGGCCAAGGCCATGTCAACAGTAACCGCAACACACACCGCAGGTTGAGAAAACACACAACGACAAGCATACACATACACAGAATACACATGACAGCATAATAACTGTGGCCATGGAAATGATGGCAGAGTTTTCTGTGTGTCAGGCAAAAACTAGTCACTTCAGAAAAAGTTAAAGTTAGTGTTTTTTAGTTTAAAGATAAATATTTTGATTCAGTTGTCCAAGTCAAAGTCATCAATGTTCCTATACGCAGTCTATGGTCTGGCAGAGGTTTAGTTTTTAATTATGGCCTAATGGTAGTTTTGAAGCCCTTTGGGGTCAAAGTGCAACTAAATATTGAGTGAATCCCAGACGAGAAGAAATCTTTCCTAATACTACTAACACATACTTACACTCTATTTAGAAGGCTTATTAATATTTCAAAAACCTGTCTGCACATTAAATGTCTACCTACTCATGACCCATTGCATATGTCCCCCGTCAGTCTGTCCGGCTGTCCCATCGCAGCAGCAACTAAGCTGAACAAGGGCCAAGACAAACAGGTTATTTTACAGGCTTCCCCCAGCGAACCCTCTTCCAACTCTGACAGGGTGCTCAGGTGATTGTCTTTCTTCAATTTAGTGTTTTAAAGCATGGATACATTTATTGTCAGAGAAACGCGATTTGGATCTCCGGTAACGTCTTTCTCTTAACTAAACTAACTAAGGCCCTCTCCTCCAGGCCCATGTGTTTTGTGAAACAGCTGGAGATCCCTCAGTACGGCAGCTACAGGCCCAACACAGTGACCACCACGCCGAGAGCTAACCTAGCCAAGGAGCTGGAGAAATACTCCAAGGTGTCTTTTGACTATGCAAGCTTTGATGTCCAGGTGTTTGGAAAGCGTATGCTCATTCCAAAGACACCCAGCAGCGCTGAAACATCACCCAAAGCCTTCAAATGTAAGAGCCACACAAATCACCTCCATGCACCACCACCAGGGTTCATTTTGGAATGCCACTAGTTTAACTTAAAAATGAAGCGTAACAATTGTGTTTTAATTGCACAGGAATTTGTTGAGGTTGTAAGAACAGAGCAGTCTGCTCTTGAATTTGTCTTTCGAACACATACTAAATAATGCTAAATGTTGTTACATTACTATGCTTTCAGGTTGATACGGTTAGCAGTATTTAAGCGTTGAATAATCTGACAATGCAATACACCAAAATCCATTTTTCTAATTGGATAATCCTAATCTTAAACTGAATCTCTTATTTTGATGATACTTGGTTCTTCAGACAGGAGGAGAGACAGTATCTTTAAACATTTCTCTGTCCTCCCTTATCTTCCTCGTATTTGTCTCAAAATATTCTTAAAAGTATTTATCCAGATGAATAAAAGTAGGAAACTGAATCATAGGAAATAGACAGTAAAGACCCATAAAAGGCAGATGCTATCGACGGGTATAGGCTATAGAGAGAATTTTGAGTTTAAGAAAATGATCCTATTGGATCTTAAACAGGTGTGTTGTGATTTCCAAAGGAACTTGTGGATATTCCTCAGTCACTGGCCACAAAACAATGCAGTGATTTTTAAAGTTAATTTTGAGTTACACATTGCTGTCATTTGAGAGCAAAAATGATTGCTGTGTTTACAAATTAGTTTTTTACTTCTCCACCTACTTGGATATGTGTGTAAATTATCAACCCAGTCTCACAGCAAAACGTGTAACAGCTACGTTGTGGACCAACGTGGTATTGTCACGCTTTTTGGGGAGAAAGCGTGACAGTACAACGTTTGATTTGAAACTAGGTCACGTGACTATCAACTTTCCCTCAACTCCAAAAAAAGAAAATGGCGGACTGGCGGTCTATTATCTGTGAAAAACACAATATTTTAAGAAAGCATAACCAGTATGCGTTATATTTTCATAATCTTCTATCAGAGAATGTAGAAGCCCTTCCTTTTATTAGTTTCTAGTGACGTAGTACAAGGCAATGTCAATGAATAGGCCACAATAAAACGTATTGTCACGATTTTGGGGAGAAAGCGTGAGAATACCATGTTCCACAACGTAGCTATTACACGTTTTGCTGTGAGACTGGGTTGAAATTATTGTGCATTTACACAATAATGCAAGACTCCTTTGCTGCCAGCTACCAGTCAATGAATGAAAACACATCCGGTATTACTGTAACTACCAACAGCAGCAGATCCGTCATGTTTAGCTATGGTGTTACTCTCCTGTGCTGGTTCCAACGTGTTCATTCTGCTCCTTCCCCACACAGCTAAATCATTCCCTAAGGCCTCCTCCCCCAGTCACAGTGTGTCAGGAGGCTTTTCTATGAGCGCCTCGTCCTCCAGTAGTTATGACTACAGCCAAGATGCTGAGGCAGCCCACATGGCAGCAACAGCCATCCTCAACCTGTCCACCCGCTGCTGGGAGAGACCAGAGACCATCAGCACCAAGCCCAGGGAACCGTGCTCCAAGGTACACTATGCAGCCCGGCTAAGCAGTGCAGGGCGCTCTAATGCTCCTGGCTATTTATTTGTACTGACGGCGAATCTGGACCCTCTAGGAGTCGGACATTGAAGTGGATGAAAACGGCACCTTGGACCTCAGCATGAAGAAGACCAAGAGGGAGGGCGCGCAACCTCCAGAGCCTTCGTCCTCCTCCTCGTCATCCTCTCAACACATCGGAGCCACCCTGTCTCAGAGCCACACTCAGCCTGAGTGGGAGGGGCCGCTGGACTTCACCAAGTCCAGTGGAGTCAAAGAGGAAGACCATGAAGAGGTACGCCCTTGCAGAAATCCTATCGTGAGAGAAGGAGTCCCCATACAAGAGGAGCGAATGACAATGTTTCCCTCCAATGTGACCCGTGTTTCACCTTTCTCCAGGTGGAATATACAGCTCCCTCATACACCTCCTCTGATGGTGAGGAAGGGGACCAGGAGAATCTGGAGGAAAGGAAGTACCCGGGTGAGGTCACCACCGGTAGCTTCAAGGTCAAGTTTCCGCCCAAAGAAAGCAAAAAGGAGATTCTTATGTAAGTCACAACTCTTACCACATGTCCCATCAACACATTGCATGCCACCGCTTAACAACAGGCGCGCTGGCAGTAAGTGCCTCCCGAAATGTTATAAAGGTTCAAGTGCTCAATCACCTGTATGACAAACAATTGCAGTTGACAGTTGCACAGCCAATTCACAGTAGTTTTTTTCCCCCACTCACATTCTAAGAACACCCACCCTACTCTGCCTCGGATTGGCTATTCGATGCTGCCGCAGGCTGGTTGATGCAACTGCTTTGATGTAGGATTACAACATACTTATTTTGGGAGAAAAATGTTGCTTTGCACATTGCCAGTCAGTTGGATATTTGAATTTAAATGTGTTGAAGATCACAAAAATACCATCTCATAACAAAATGGTTGCTCACCACTGTAAGCTGAGTCAGTTATGTGGGACAAGCATTCAACCACCACAATGATGTGATTGTCTGAGGGACCAGTTATTGTCACAATAGGTCCCAGAGACATGGGACACGGAGGACTCAAACGCAGATTTGCAGGTTTCCAAAACAAAAACCACTTGATTAAAGCAGTATATCAAAAATGCCAAGGGGCTAAAACAGGAACCAAGACAAACCAAAACACAGTCTGCAACACAACCCTAACATCCACAAAGACGAGATAATGAACCAACCAGGAGACAAGGGACACACGTGGTGGAGGTGCAGGTGATTGGACACAGCAGAAAACAATCAGGACACGGCAGACAAACACACTCACAGGGGAAAATACACCAGGGCAGGACGTTATTTATTGGTTTGTTTGATAAGGGACAGTGCACATTGCTGTAAATGTGTCAGAGTTAGCCAAAAGGCTATTTCTCATCAGTACTCCACAATGGCAGACTTACAAAATAAACCTGAAACAGAAGATAGAATTACATTTCAAATGTTAAACAATATTGACAACGGCTCTCCAACGGCCCTCCCACTGTCCTCAGCAGGGTCTTTGGATTGATGCCGCTCACAAGGGCCTTTCAGGCTGTGACAGCGACTCTCCCGCCATTCCTTCTGTATTATTGATATTTGGTTTTCCACCTTCAACATCTCCCCAGCGGGGTGCTACAGTAGTGTGGTGGGCCGCACTGGTCTTGGGTTTGGAACCACAGTGTGGAGTCTGCATGTTCTCCTTGTGTCTGGGTGGGTTCTCCCCGGGTGCTCTGGTTCATTGGTGAATCTAAAATTGCCCGTAGGTGTGTGGGTATGACAGTGAATGGTTGTGTGTCTCTGTCAGCCCTGCGATTGACTCACGACCAGTCCAAGGTCCGCCGTCTCTCCCCCGATGTTAGCTGGGATTGACTCCAGGATAAGCGGCACAGATGACTGACAACTCCCCAGCACAAATACCTTACACATCATTCAACATTAATAATTTAATATTTAACTCATAGATCAATTGTCAGCATACATTTTAAAGAGAAATGCTGCACTTTGAGAAAAGATATCTAGATGTTTTAAGCTTTAGTATACAATTTCATCAGGAACAAAATGGTGGAAAGACACAAATGGGATGATCCATCAAAAAGGGGTTGTTGTTGTTGTTGAACAAAAACAGGTCCACAAATATAGTATAGTGGGGGTTTTCTGGCGTGTCAGTATAAGCATCCTCTTGAAAGGCAATGGACTGATGTGTGAGTATGTATCTTGGCCACAGATGTCCCACCCCAGGCTGTGATGGCAGTGGACACATTACTGGCAACTACGCATCACACCGAAGGTAAGATCTGCACTCTGACTTGGAAATGATCAGCAAAGTATGTTTGCTTTACAAATCTATGGTGTGATCACACGGATTTGGTGATTCTGATCAGAATCATTTTAGAAGGAAAAGGGGAGTGACTCCATCAAATCTCCCTGTGCTAAAAAAGCATGAAGCAGGGCTTCAGAGTCCTTCCCCAAATCTCTCAAAACAAATACTACTGCTAATCATTCAGTACAGACACTTTGTAACGAATGTACTAATGTAACACTATAGTCGCTGTAAGTGTTGGATCGAAATAGATCCCTCTTCTGCTCAAACAAGCCACAAGGAGGCCAAATGTGCAGCTGTGTTTAGTACAATATGTTGGAAGTTGGAAAGCTGGTGGATAAGAGCATAGACGTCTGCATGAGCCTGTAAAAGCCTCTCTCCGTAAGTCATGGCCTAAACAGAGGCTGGCAGGTAGCAGAGATATGTCTAAATATCACGTATGCCCGTCACATCTACTTGTATTTCATATCACCAATGAATCTGTCAAATTAATAATTATTGCACTTGCTCAGGCCCCAAAATTGTGCACGATATGTAGGCTGGGAGTCGAGAAGAGCTCCAGCATTGGCATTGTTTATTCAACCTCCACAAGGAATACACAAGGAACATTCATTCAAAATATATGTTTTCATTCAAAAAGAGCCAAAATATTTAATATTATTTGATGCGACTGGTGTTCAGATGACATGGGTCCAAGTGAAAAAAAAAAAAAAACTGAAAGGAAGTTGATGATGTTTTGCCATTCAAATGTGGCATCTTCAGTGCTAATGAGAGGGCTAGTGTCCGCCTGGAGAAGGATCACGAGTTTAAGAAGCGTCTGACCTGCTGAAACGCAGTCATTGGAATTAAAGAGACCTTTTAAATCAGCAGCAAACATAAGCAGTGGATGGTTTCATTTCCACCTGATAACATTCTGCCTGGATGAAAGAGTCAGTCATCTATACACATGCACACGCAAGTTCATCGCTCACTATTTCTCCTATCCAACTACTCCACCACTGTAGAGTATCAGTTAATAAAATAACTCCTGTCCTCCCTGTGTGTGTGCTGCCCAGTCCTGTCCTGGTTCTGTAGTCCAGTTCAGGTTCTGGCTCTTTCTTTCACTCATACTCAGACATCCTGTTCTCAGTCTGGTTTTCTGACACTCTCTCTCTAACCTATCTTCCAGTCTGTCAGGCTGTCCTCTTGCTGATAAATCACTTCGGACCCTCATGGCTGCCCACACAGCTGAACTAAAGTATGTCTGCTTTCTCCTGTCTCTCACCTCCAACATGTTCACTGAGCACTCAGTCTGCAGCTACAGCTCTATCCCTGCTCTCCTTTTAACACTAATATAAAATAGTCACAATCAATTATAATTTAGTTCAATATTGAAAAATCAAAACCCAAAACAATGAGCCCTAATGATTTAGTAAGAGAAGCTGGTCCTGCCTGCAGCTGGCTAATATTGAAAGCCTGTGGAGTGAAAGACCGTCTGTGTGTGTCTCAGGTGTCCTACTCCAGGTTGTGATGGATCAGGCCACATCACAGGAAACTACGCCTCACACAGAAGGTATAGTTCTCCTCCCCTTCTGTACTATCAGTCGCCGTGTGCAGATGGATAATGTGATCGGTCCTCTTTGTGTCTCCCTGCCAGTCTGTCCGGATGCCCTAGAGCCAAGAAAGGAGGGGTCAAATCAACCCCCACCAAGGACGACAAGGAAGACTCGGAGCTCTTGAGGTGGGCAACAAGGCACATCTAACGTTAGACTGTCACCGCACCACCACTGCAAGATGCTGTTCATGAAACTAAAGTGGATATTCATACACAAACAGGAATCCTAGTGTTATATGTGATACCCTCATCTTTTAGATCGCCATCTGGATTAAATGTTGACTCATACACAAGAAATACACCTAACAGGCAGGTTCTCATGACTTAAAGCCCCCTTCAGAATAAAGGCAGGTGACCATGCACTATTCTGAGCATTTTTATGGTCCGTTTTATGGTTTTAGTTCAATTACCTGTTCTCTTTTACTACTCCATAGGAAATGGAAACTAATAGATTAGCGCTAATGACAAAATAGGAAATGTTAGGTCATTCAAAAGTAAATGAGAGTCAAAAAGACTTAACTTTAATTAACCGAGAAGTATAAACGTTAATTAATTTTCCATTTAAAATATACAATTTATTTTTATTTGTGTAATATATCTTACATATATTTGATGACATTGGTCTAATATTGAACCTTCTGGAACATCCCAATTGACTCCAGCACTGTTTTAAGTTACAAATCTAAAACTAGATCATCACATTTGGACTGATTTGTCGGTCCTGTCCTCTTTACATCTCCACTTTCCCTTGTTTCCATTGTTCATTGTTGTCTGCCTGTGTCCAGGTGTCCGGTTCCCGGCTGTGACAGTCTGGGCCACATCAGCGGGAAATACGCCACCCACCGCAGTGCCTACGGCTGCCCGCTGGCAGCCCGCCGGCAGAAGGAGGGTCTCCTGAACGGCACCCCCTTCTCCTGGAAGGCCTTCAAGACCGAGGGCCCAACTTGCCCGACGCCAGGCTGCGACGGCTCGGGCCACGCCAACGGCAGTTTCCTGACGCACCGCAGGTATCCTCATATATGAGGGTCTTAGCACACACAGAACAGTGTCATCCTGAATCTAGCTTAGTTTCATCTTAGTCGAATGCTCTTAATAGAATGTCATGGCTCTTGATCTGCTGCCCCTCTCAGTCTCTCAGGTTGTCCCAGAGCGACAGCCAACAAGAAGAGAGCCAAATTTCCTGGAGACGAGTACATCACTGCAAAGTTCAGAGCCAGCGATGGTAAGAGACATAACTTTCCACTCTGCCTAGTAGGTTGTCCCAGACGTCCCAAAAACGTGTAGTAACAAGACACGGAGACACAAAGACATAACAAGTCCCTTTGGTTTGTCGGGGAGAACGACAGGAAACATGAACAGACTCCGAGACAAACGTGTTGCCCAGTCTTAATGTCCGGTACACTTTGCATGCAGGACCTCTCTGGGTGTGCAAATACAAGTGATGCCTGTGATAAACATGTCTTACAACTGTCCTGATGCTCTGTTTACTAACTGTGTAGTTCTGGACAACGATGAGGACATCAAGCAGCTGAACAAGGAGATCAATGAGCTGAGCGAGTCCAACTCAGAGATGGAGGCGGACATGATGAATTTGCACACTCAGGTGAGCCAGCAGGAAGAGGATGAGACACCCAATAGCACATGAAGGAGACACTGCCATGTGATGAGTGCCTGTGGGCTTTTGGTTTGAGATTTATCAAAGACGATACTTCCTGTAGAGACGGATGGATGGTGCACAGACCGGCTTTGTTGATGCATTATTAGAGCTGGTATCTCTGTCTGCAGGTTTGTCACTAATACTAAAACTGAAAACCCTCTGCTGCCCAAAACCATGTTTTTGTTGTCAAGCTCTTTGCTTTGCTGCTGAGTTGAGTTCTGTGTGTGCCTCTGCTTCAGATCTCTTCGATGGAGAATAACCTGAAGAGCATGGAGGAGGAGAACAAACATATCGAGGAGAGGAATGAGGCCTTATTCCTGGAGCTATCCGGCCTGAGTCAGGCCTTGATCCGCAGCTTGACCAACATCCGCCTGCCCGCCCTGGTGAGAACATGCAATGTCTTTTGGTCTGGTTCAAAGAGGACCTTTGGGTCTCTCTCCCCACTGTGTATATATCATAGTCTATGCCCAGGTGGGCATGCATTCACTGATTAACCTGGAGGGATAGTAGCTGGTTAGAATGTAACAACAAGCATTACGTTACAGTTTCTCCCATTTTAGAATAGAAGTGTATGATATCAATACCATAAATATGAATAATACTCATTTTACTAACAGTAACAATTTACATATGGAAAAATACCTAAATTAGGCATTAAACAATATATAACCAATAATAATGCTGAAATATTGAGATAAGATTCTGTGAGTAAAAATGCAAGAACAGAATAATTAAATAAGCATATTAGTTTAAACAAACACTAACACATAAACAGTGTGAAAAACACTGCCTTTTAGTGGAGTATCCACGAGTGCATTATATATATATATATATATATATATATATATATATATATATATATATATATATATATATATATATAATGCTCTTTTTTATTCTATGGGTCTGTAATTGGTAGCAATGTACCATTACTCCTAAAAGACTTTCTGACCTCTGAACTTGTGTGTGTTCAGCAGGAGCCACCGTCAGAGCAGAACTTTGACAGCTATGTGGACACCCTGACTCACATGTTTACCAACAAAGACTGCTACCAGAACCCGGAGAACCGGGCTCTGCTCGAGTCCATCAACCAGGCGGTGAAGGGCATCGAGGTGTGACAGACAGGAGGAGGACAGGGGGCGGGGCATCACAGTGACTATACCAATCTTTCTTTCCAAACCCTTTAGATACTGTATGTAATTAATTATTCTCATTTGGAACTCTGTCATCTGTTCTTTGCATTAGTTTTCCATTTGCATGTTGCTTTATGATGGTATGAGCGTGAACAGTGTGGCGTGGCGGCACACTAAGATGAAATTGATCCTGCAAGCAAGGGCATCTCAAGGTATTCTGGCAGGCGAGCAGAACAAAGTCGGAGAGCAGTGTACAGCCTGAGCTGAGCAGATCCTCTTAGTTAGTGAACATCCCATCTCCAGTTAATAATGTTGATAGTATTCTATATGAGCATAGTGATGTTTCACCTCCAGGACTAGTTTGTAGATTCATTCTTACTATTGCTGTGTAACTATTTAATAACTTATTCATTCATGTCTGCTGTATTCTTTTTTTATGTATGCCTATTTATTACTCATTATATATTTATTTATTTTTTATTTCAAAATGCTACCAGAGGAGATTATAAATGGTAACCGAAAGAAGGAAATCATTTCCTCTGCATTGTTGAACAAAGAGGAAATATTTTAAGATATCAACTATAAATTGTTTTATATAACTTATTATTTATTTAAAATACTGGGATCTTTTTAAGTGCAAATATTTTGTAACTGAAAGTTTTTTAATCATTTTCTAAAGATTTCTTTTCTTTTTGGTGCTTCTGTTTATATCATTTCCCTTTTTATTTTCACAAACTATTTTGAGTACACTGCAATACACTGGGAATATTGAGCTCCACATATTTGGTATTTATTTGGTGATGAAGAACAAAGTGATGGTGAATATTTATTTTGTATTGTCTTTGTGTTAATGATGGCTGTGTATGGATTAGTATTTAAGTTGCTCTTGAAATAAAGGTAAACCCACAGTATGTGTGTAGTGGACTGATTACATTCATTTTTAGATTCAGTTCTGTTTTATACAGTAAACACTCACTAAAGTAGTTCAAGTGTAAGGTTTTAATATGAATACTAAGAAACCGGGGGAGCTACAGTATTTCCTGATGACTCACCACTTAAGATCATATCGGTGTTGGTGAAAGTTCTAGTTGGGAACGGAACCAGAACCCACTTCGAACAGGATTATCCTCCACTCATCACCAACGCTTCACACCGTTAAGAGTCTAAGCTACAATCTCCACTTACCGTTTGAAAAGGCTCAACACTCCAAAAGGTTATGTAAATTAGTCCAGAACATTTGTACGTACACTTTCTTCATCCATTCTAGACGCTAACAAAGAAAATCAGACACCGCTGTGTTATCCGTAGAATTTCTCAGACAAACCACCAAGCATATGGATCATAAATGCCCCGTTATAAACGAGATACGTGCACAAGCAATTCCAGCACCTTCCACGCAGGTTTTGGGGTTTAGGGGGTCCTGAGCCTCCAGCCCAGACTGTACAGATGTTTTGATACCAAATCCGTCCAGCTGTGCGGTGCTGTACCCGTGTGTGCTGTTCCAGTCTCCCGTTAGCATACATCCTTCAATTAGAAGTGTGTAAATCACCAATACTACAGAGTGTTACAGTGTACAGTATCAACACCAAGAGGGCAGAAAACCAACTCTGAGTCCATAGATCACAAAATACCATGCACGTGATTAAGCAAACAACACTTACACCCCCCCCCCCCAAAATGAAGATATACTCAATGTTTGGAAGATGATGCATCAATCATGCATCCTTCTACAAAATGACAAACTGCTTCCCTTTCAAATTGTGCATTAGGTGCCTTTAGCAGTACAAATGTCCATGGGAATCTGCCATGGTGTTACACAGCTACCTTTGATTTAGAGTCTGAGCTCATCAGAGGCTTCATAGAACCTGCAATGATCACTTTATTTGGTCATGGCAGCTTAAGGGAACCAAAAGTCAAAACAAAAAACAGTGGAACAACATCATTTACTCATTTTAATGGTTAAAAAAATACTTCTTTGGGCAAAGAGACAACAGTAGGTCCCAGTTTAGTGAGGAAACAAGGGACCTAAACAATGACACCCACCAAATGATGACTGGTGGAGCAAGATAAGATGAGGTAAATGTTTTTGAGGAAATAAAACAAAAAAGGCACAATTTACAATCAACCATGCCCTAAATTCACAATAATAATTATGATAATAATATTAATAACAATAATATACAAACAAAGTACAGCTAAAAAAAAAAAATCAGAAAATTTGCACCAACAAAAATACAGACCACTTATATTATACAAGGCAAATCCTGCCTGTGGGGCTCCTTGCGTGTACCCTAAATCAGGTTTCTATACACCCCGGAGCCTTTCGGTCCTGCTGCTGATGCTCTACGGATAGCAGTTCTGAAGTTACAGGTCCTCCGACAAACTATCTCACCACCAGACATGACACGCACAGTTTGGAGGGCCCGATGCAATCGTCGTGGCAGAAGGCACCGCAGCCTTGGCACATGATCATGGCTTTGAGGCGGCACGAACACTTGAGCGCCACCTCATCCGCCGTACTGTCAGTAAAGGCCTGAATACTAAGGGTGGTCTGGCTGGAGGACAAGCAGGGGCGCAGCTGGAGCACACTGTCTGCCATGCTCCGGGAGAAACCGCCATTGTCCATCACTGACACATTGGCCGTGTAGCTTACTCCTCCAACACCACTGTGCTTGGGGAACTTTCCATATAGCTGGAAGGGAAGGGCGGAGGGGGAGGAGGAGGGAGAGCCGCAGGAGTAGGTAGCTTTGCCGTGTTCTTTCTTTGCCATCCTGGCTAAAGTCATTTCCATGTTGAGGAGTCCCTCCATCGCCCCTCCACTCAGGTAGCCGTCCACAGCGCCCCCTGGCTCCTTTTTAGTGACACTCATGGTTTTAATGGGGGCCGATTTGGCAAGAGCCTGGCAAGGGGGCCGTGCACCTACTTCATTTTTTACTGTGGGCGTAGGAGACAGCTGCAGCTGGTGTGATGGATGGGGCTGAATATGTGAGGGTCGCCAGTTGGTCTTAACAGTAGGCGCCACCTCTGTGGGACAGGGGTCTGCATGGGGAGGAAGGGGTCCATTAGGCATGGTTCGGTGGGCTGTCTGGGGCCTGTCTTCATCAACCCCCTTCGAGGGCTGATGACCATGTGAGTCTTTTATAACTGCAGACTCCAATGCGGTCTGAGAGCTAAGGTCAGACTTTCTTCTGGAGGATGAGGAGGGTGGCAGAGAGGTGATGACCGGGACAGCCCCGGGAGCCTGCTGAGACTGAGACTGATACTGCGGTGCAGCTGGGGCCTCCATCAAACAGGACACTGGGCATCCTGTGGGAAACTGGTTAGGTATCTGAGAGGCTGCGCCCTGTTCTGGGCCAGAAGACTGGGCTGAGACCTCTGGCCTGTTGCGAGGCCCTGGGGTCCGTGCCATTGGTGGTCTGGGTTGGGGTCCTGGCAATCGGCTGATCTCCAGCCTGTTGGCAGAGTGCGACGGTAGAACTTTCTCCAGGGACAGGCTGCCTTGTAGTAGCTGAGTGACCAAAGGGTTGTTGGCTTCTACACTGGATACTAGTCGAAGTGAGCTGGCCAGTCTCTTGGATGCCGTGGTAGCAGTTGGCTGAGTGACAGAGGCCTTTAAACATCCATGATACTCCTCTTCAGCAGGGCTCTCTCTGGAAGCTCCGCAATCTTCGCCTGGCTCCATCTTGACCACAACATTGGTGTCCCTCAGCCCCTGTGGGTGGGATGTGGGGAGAGACTGGTGGCCCTGGTAATGACCACTGTGCTGCGGGTTGTGCAGTCCATTGGGAAAGCAGGGCTGAATGACCGTCTGACCGTGACGGCTGGAAACGTAGGCCTGGATTACTGGATGCTGGTTCTGAGGAGGAGGGCTGCAGATGACCAGTGGGCCGTTTCTCTTAATGCTCACCTGGGGGCACCAATCTTGTTCAGGCTGCTGCTGCTGCCCCTCATCCTCCTGGATGTCATTCTCACAATCTGAAGCCGTTTCCGTGGAGTCACTATGTGTCCCAGCGTCGTTGTCTTTCTCGCCACCAGAGTCTGCATGTTGGGGAGAGGATGTCTCTGTTTGCAGTCTCTTTGCGGCTGAGTGAGAGATTACGTCCTGGGATTCCACGTGGTAGGAACCATGATGGATAACGCCCCCCAGCCCAGCCTCCCTCCCATGTACCTGCTCTTTGGAGTGACAGGAGCTTGCCAGTGTCTGAATCACATCCACACCCTGAGCCCCAAACCTAGGTAGAGAATCTGGGATGGAGGTTGGGGCCAGAGAGGGTTTTAAATAACCATGGGCAGTCATCTCTACAGGGGAGGCAGGCACCTCGGGCTTTGGAGAGGGTGAGTCAGCTGCCTGGTCTGTGAGCCCATTGGAGGAGCTCTGAACACCGGCTAACGTTGTTCCTACTTCCTCTAGAACCTCTGACCGCGCGGCGGCTTCCTCTTGAGGAGGGCTTGAGATCTGCGGCAGCTCCAAGGACATGGAGGTTGAGGTAGCGGAAAGGGAGGAGGATGGCTCAGGTGTCGGCTCTACGTTGAAAAGCTGTAGTTGTGTTCCAGACGAATTTGTGCCTGAAGACGATCCCTGCTCCTCCATGCCACCACTTCCCCTTCTTCCTCTTCCTCCTCCTCCCCCCCCTCCTCCTCCTGGCTCGATAGGTCCTGGATGCTCTCGCGCTCTTCGTCCATTGCTGCTATCCGATAACCCAGAAGCAGGCCGCAGCCGGACCCCGACCGTCCCTGCCCCGTCGCCAGAGGCTGCAACAGCAGCAGCGGCCTCCCGCTGGGCCCGGGCTTGCTGAGCCCGGGCTTTGATGTCCGCCAAGGTGCGCGCCCCCCCCGTCCCCGCCCGCCGCGAGCCCTCCCCCGGGGGCACGATTCGGGGACAGATCTGGTAGGTGGGGTGGCCTTTGACCCAGGGGGGTTTGATTCTGGACAGTTGAATCTGGGGCAGAGACACAATAACAGTGAGTTAAACTATCTGGACAACAACTCATTGCTGAACAAGAAGATTGTTTTTGTGCACAGTCTTACCCGGATAGGCGGCACCTTGGGCTCCTCTGTTGTCGGCTGCGGCTTCTCCGAGCGGACACTGTCAATTGTGGTACGAAAGGACTGACGGTCGTCAAGTCGCGGCCTTTTTTCGGGAAAGCTGGAGATGGCCTGAGTCTCATCTGGCCTTCTCTTCTGCTCCTTGAGCTGAGCATTGGGCACAGAGGTGGTGGCTGGGCTAGCGGAGGGGCTACTGTCGCGGCTGCTGGTGGTGGTACCTCCTGTAACGGAGGTGACCACAGAGGCTGTGTCATCCAGTGGATCGGCAACGACGGCGACACTGGAGGATGCGGAGGAGGATGAAGAAGAGTCCAGGCCTGCAGCAAAGACTCCCTGTCTATCAGAAGGTGAGGAGGGTGAGGAAACAGGCGAGGAGGCAGACGAAGAAGAAGATGACGAGGAGGAGGAAGAGGAAGAGGAGGAGGAGGAAGAAGATGGGGAGGAGGTGGACGCCAGTACGGGTAGAGTCTCCTCTGGTAGCAGGCGGGCTGCTGCTGCGGCTGCTTCTGCTTCAGGCTCCTCATTTGCGCTTGGGGACTCTGGGCTGGGAGTTGGAGTTGGAGTGGTAGTCGGAGTGGGAGTTGAAGCAGGAGTAGGAGTTGGTTCAGGAGTTGGTTCGGGGGTTGGTTCGGGGGTTGGTTCGGGAGTAGCAGTTGGAGTAAGAGTGTCAGTTGGAGTGGGAGTTGGAGCGGGAGTGGCAGTTGGAGTTGGAGTTGGTGCGGGAGTGGCAGTTGGAGTTGGAGTTGGTGCGGGAGTGGCATTTGGTGCTGGATGGGCAGTTGGGGCTGGCAATGTGATTGGCTCCGGGGTGGGAGAGGCCTTTAGCTCTATGGAGGGACTCTCAGTTGGGAGCTCCACACCACACTCAGCCTGCAGCACCACCTCCCCTTGAACAATCGTGTTGTCAGACATGGGAGAGCCAATAGAAACTGCCGGGCTGTCCAGTGCAGCACTGGCCTCAGCTGCTTCTGCAGACTGCAGGGCCGGAGGAGTGGGCTTGCAAAGGGTCCGACGGGCCCGCCGACGCAGGTCAGCTCTCGTGCGTCTCCTCATCCTGCCATCTCTCCTCCGTCGACCAACGCTGCGTCTCTTGGGCGCACCTGTTGCCACCGCAGCCACATCAGTGTCCAGCACACTGGCTGCAACTTCACTGGCTTCACTCATGGTGAGCTTTAGAGACTCTTCTTGTGTCAGACCAGACCTACAGGTACACAAACAACATTTTAGAAATGCATACATTTGTCTGCATAATGCAAAAACCCTGTAACCGAGTTATCTAAATGACATGGCAGCAAAGAAGATGGAAAAACAGACTGACATATGGGGGCAAAATGATTATCAATATCTCAGTGTTTCTAAATGATACCGTTGACCCATATCTGACAAATTAATATGGCTGTTGTATGAACAGTGGATATAAACTTGGATGAAATGGGTTGGCTCTTACTTTTGCCCATGGTACTCTTCAAAAAACTTTTCCTTCCACGCCTCTACCTTCTTCTCTTTCTCCATTTCCTGCCGGAAACGCACCTGCATCTCGTGGGTGAACTCACCTAAATGTGTCAAACACGTGAAGATTCAAATAAATAAGTGTATAACCTCAATAAGTCTTGGTAGAAACCTAACTTGGCCACCATTGCGCCATTAAAATAAGCAGCTCATATTCATTTGCAGTAATGTTCCAGGACAGTGCTAACAGAAGCAGTATAAAGACAGGATGTTCCCCAAATCAGATCCCTGACTCATTCACCAAGATCATGCAGCGGTGCTTGTTATTGTACACACTTACACGGTATGGCCTATTACTCATTCACAACACGGCTCTCTGCTTGCATTTGTGTATTTATTATTTTGTTGTCTCTATCCCACAATTAAATACCGGAACTTGTTCATGATTGGCTGATCACATACCCTCCGCCAGCCTCTCTTTCCAGCTCTGGGAGGCGTGGGTGAAGAACTCATTGTTGAGAGCTGAGCTGCTCAGTCTAGCCATACCATCTGGTCCAATCTGTAAGAGCACAATGTATCAACGGCAATAAACACCAGAGGAACCGGGTGGCCTGGAGCTCACATGCGTCTTATTGAGAAACACAATTCTAAAAAATAAAAAGGCTGGCGCAGTCCAACAGTAATAGTTGTTGCCTTGCCCAATACGTCACAGATTGCAGGTCACTATTCTGTCAACACAACAGACTAATGTGTGTTAATTACACGTCAAAGGCGTATATACAAGCAAGCTTTGTGTTTGAACTTTTTTCTCTTTTTATCAACAATTGCTACCTATTTAAGTTTTCAAAAACCCAATTGTTAATGAATCTTTGGAGGTAAGAAGCATATAGCAATGGCTATGATAATGAAAGTTGGGGATTAACTGAAAGGACAGAAAGAAAACATACCTGGCGGTCCACCTCTGGCAGCAGCTGCAGCAGCTGCTGCTGCGAGTGGGCGGGGAAGGCGGAGAAGGTCCGCACGTTGATGAGGGCTCTGATGTTGGTGTTGACAAGGATTGAGCCTGGTGTTTCAAAGTCTACGTCCACCCCGCCTCGATTCCTCTTCATGGGGCCTGACACAGGAAAAAAAACACATGATTAACTTAGCATCTCAGCCGGATGCTAAAGCTAAATGCAGGTCAATGCAGCAAAGCACAGAGGGACATGTTTCCATCCCATAATGGGCATCTCTACAGGGCTGTGCTCTTACTGCTGGTCGGATTTATCAATTATGATATTGAAGAGATATTGACGGTTGGGTCCATCCGCATTTTGAATGATTGCTTTCATTACACGTGTGTTGTCAATGCAGACGTTTTCATGACTAAATGATGCTTCTTACCTGAGGGGACATGCTCTCCATTCACTTTAAGAGGGGTGAGAACAACGCGAGGCATCATGACGGCTTTCTTCCTCTGCCTCCCTGACTGTAGCACAATGGACAGGGGGACAACGGAGACATTATGTTAAGCAGCACTGCCATCCTGTCCCGCTACAAATCAAGTCCAAACGCATTTGCATGACAGGGACACATGGCTGATATTGTCAGATTGGACCTCCTGCGGGGTGCTGACCTGTCTTGAGCGGCTCAGTCTGGTCTGAGTGTGTTGAGCGTGTTGGGTCTGCTGGGTGTCTGTGCGTCCTTGCTGTCCTGCTGCCCTGCTGAGGCGTGTCTGGGGCTGGTTGCTGGGAGCCGGCACTTCAGCGGAGCAGGATGCGCTTGACGAGCTCTCGTCCACCGAGGCTTCAGGTCAGAGAAAAACATCCACTCAGTCACAAATTATGACCTACATTGGCATTCAAATACTATTGGCATTGTAACTGTTGGAATCATCAGGCTGATTTTATGCTATATACCTGTCCAAGTTCAAAAGCATTTTGAAATAGTGTTTTATTATAATGGCACCCCACCCTCCCCCCTCGAAGGGGAGGCATCTGGTGTTTGGTGTAAGTTTTACCGTCATTGTCTCCGCTGGCAGCAGCCGTGGTCTCCGTGGAGTCGCAGCTTTCCTGCTCAGGAGACTGTGTGGGGCCGGCAGAGGCCCCGCCGCCTGCGGCCGCTGTGCTGCTGCTGGATGCCGGGGCTGCGGTGCTGCTGGCCGGCTCCGCTGCAGTGTCGGACTCGGATGTCGTCTTTGTCCATTGGAGGGCGTTCTTCTGCAGTGCGGGAACAACAACAGTCTTCTCTGCATGTGTGATACATATCAGACATTTTCCTTCAAACTGATTTTAGTGGCTGTGAATCAACTATACGAACCAATATGTGATGGAACAGATTGGACGTACTCTGTGGTGTATTTATGCCATTACGCCAAACAATGTAATCAGATTACCTGACTAGTCCTACAAAAACAGAGACTGTCTGTATCCTCTTCAGGAGTCTTAGGAACTAGAGCATTACATCAATGCGTCAGTCCGCAGGCGGACCAAAGATATCTCGCGTGGAATGGTGTACTATATGGAACTTTTTGAATCCATATAGCACTGCCACAACTGATGATGGTAATGCAACGTAAGCAACAAGCATTCAGAGTGAAGACGATCACGTTTGTGTACCTTGAGAGTGAACAGGCTCATCCGCCCAGGCAGCTTGAAGAAGATGCTGTTCTTGACTCGGTCTCCCCTCACCTGGGAGTGCAGCATGGTGACCAGGCAGGCCAACGGTGCTGTGCCACTGCACACAGTAACAAGTCATGTGATCAGATGAATCAAAATGAATATCTGAAAACATTCTACTAGATCTACCTGGTTTTCATGCCTGGATTAAAATTAAGGTCGGTTGCCATAATCATTGAAAAATAATGTTTGGCGATTTGACAATACACTGCACAGGGATACAAACATCTTGTCAGAAATATTGCCACATTGTTTATTGTTTTGTTAGCCGTGAAATGGTGACTATGACATTCCAAGAATTAGCGATGAGCGCATTGTGTTTGCCTCCATCATGAAAGCGCACTGTGCCGAGAGCAAGCATAGGCCTCAGGGAAAAAGAGAGAGCATGACCAATGGAGAACGTTCTTTGTAACACATGTAATAAAACCTCTCAGAGCCTCCAACCTACCTCCTGTTTTGGCCAGCAGCAGCACAGGTGCATGTGGGAGGCAATAAGAAACATCAATTAGAACCACACAGAAACACGCCTTCAGTTGATACGCGATTATGACATCAGTACAACGGCCGCTGAAAAGACTGGACAAATAAATGATGAATGGACTTTTGTTGTACTTCTCTTTTCTAGTCTCCTGACCACTCAAAGCACTTTAAGACTTCATGTCATCATTGATGACCTCAGTGCCACCTGCCCATCAGTAACTAGCATTCACACACTGTAGTTACAGCTGCAGGAGCATGATACCTTTTTAAATTTGATATTCAATCAAACGTAATGATCCACTCTGGACTGGGATGGACACAAGCCTCACTGTCACTGTGACGGGCTTAGAGTTCTAACCTTGCGCTACACCGTGGCCATAAAAGACTCCTTATTAGTTACAGCAGTATGGATCTTAAGGTACATTAACATTACTACGATGATTATGTGTGCGTTTGTATCTGACCGCATTTCCTTGAGGCCCTTGGTCTGGATGACATGGAGGATCTGCTTCGGAGTCATGGGTGCATCCGAGAAGTTCTCCAAAACCTGGAACACAAAGAAAAAGATAATCAGCAAGAAGCAGCGTTTAGTGGAATGATATACAAACCGCTTTACAACCTGATCAGATTAAAGTAGTATTTGAAAAAGTTAAAAATGTATAAACATTTAAACAAAAGAATCAAAAGGTGTTCTTAAGTGAGGAGCTGTAAAGGAAACTGTTCATAACCCCTATAAGATTATAGAGATTACATTTTTATTAGTACATGAACATTAAGGGACTAAAGATAAATACACTTCATTTGCCTGAACTCCTGTTTTCAGCCCATTGCATGAGTGAAAAAAGGTAAATCAGGAGAAAATCAAGTCATGTCCCGTTTAAAAAAGGAACCGAGTGTAGGATTTAGGGTCGTCGTGCTGTGAGGTTGAAGACTACAACCAACTGAACATCCCCTTGCTCACTATTACTTTTCCAAGCACGTCTGAGAGCGCAAGTGGCCTTTGTGTGACGCCACCACGTGAAAACCTCTCTCTTGGGTTTCTGTTCTGTGCTGCTGCAGACAGTTGACAGGACCAGCTCCCTGTGAAGGTCTGAAGTGCTTCTTCTAAGCTCATGAAAGCAAAAGGATTGTACACGAGTGAAAAAGTACTTATGAATATTATATACATCATATTAAGACATGCCTACTTAATCATAGCTTATAGCGCATTGCTCTTGATCTGTTTGAGGGTTTGTTTTTTAAACTTTATTAAGTGAAGCTTAATTAACATTACTATGGAATGAAATAGGATGCAATCTGCAATGTAGAAGATTATATTCAAAAAGAGTCTTGGTATCGGTATCAATATGTCAAGATATCAGTTACTGAAACAGAAAAATGGACAGGACGTCGCCTCAGAAGTGATTCCTACCAACGACGTCAGAAATTCTTCTCCACATCAACTTTTCCTACACCCGCTATCTGATGGAACAGCAATGTGCTTTCACCTGATGCTGCAAAGAGATATGTTAATCTGTGCTGCTCATGGATCCATAATGGTCTGTTACTGCGTCATTCTCCAGGCTTCTGACGACTCAAAGCGCTTCAACACAGACGTCATCATTCAAACGGTTGACATTTCATGTAGCGAGGTTAAGAGGAGAGCAAACGGATTTTCTTGAATATGCATTATTGAGGGTAAAAACTGTTGGAATCCCTCGATCAAAAAAGACTTAATGGTTAGTGCAAGCCCCCAAAACAGATCATCTGTATGCCGTTAACTGAAAGTGTTTTCATACATTTACCACAGCAGAGTGAAATCCGGTTAGATAAGAGGGCAAACAATACCATTACCTAAAATTAAATAAATAATAACAGCTCCATGTCTCAGTTGATCACATTTAAACGTTGCTGTAATCAGAGAGACTGTAAGGTTCATTGTGACACTAGTAACCCACCTATCCATCTTCCACCGTGGCCACACAGAACACCGACTGACTACTGTATACATCCTCTTATTGGTAACAAAAAATACAAATAGATTCAATAGACGCTTGAATGTTGAAGTGTTCTGGTTTATGTTGGAAAAACTCTACAAGTTTGAAAGATTTGCATATCTGAACATAAAACTGCATAACGCACACAAAACGTGTATGGTGCGTTTGATTGTCATTACGCTCTACTAGTTGGACTGCATGTAGATAGTAGGCACCCAGGGATCGGCTTGGCCCAGGACAATTAATTAAAAAAAGAAATAGAAACCAGCAGGGGCTTTCTGTCCCCTGTAGCATAATGCTAATGGCTGCAGCCACCGTGCTGTCAGACAATGAGACTACCGGGGCTGCGCAGCTTCGTATTGGACTCTCAACACAGTTAAGCCATAAGGTCGAAACTGAACTTTGTTTAAAATGCATTTCACTTGGAGGATGCAGGAGTTGTGTCTTTTGTACCACAATATTTGTATTTTAATATGAGTCTTTGTTCTTTTGTTTCTGGTGACCGTAGTGCAGTGTTTACATCCACCAGCATTAAATTGAGATGTGAACGGACGTGAACATGGACCATGTACTTAATCCGGTCAGTATAACACAGGGATGGGCTTTAAAAACAACAAACTACTCATTTAAATTAGTTTCCTACACACAGGAATGAATGGAAGACGTTTGATTCTATGCAGGAACCTTTTGAGTGTTACAGCCAGGAGACAGAGTGGGGTTCTCTTCTCCACCAGCTGTAGGAGCAGAAAGGGCCTCTCCGCCCAAAACAGAGCCAGGTAGCTAACGCAGTGCACCCAGTACTCGGACATCGGCGAATTAAACCGAACCAGCATGTCACACGAGCTCAGATGGAACGGTACTAATCCAAGAAGCTCCTTCAGCCAATTGCCCCCAAATCATTTACGTTAAGTAGAATAGATTTACGTTGGGGAAATAATTCCACCGGTTTTCTAGTGGTTAGCGTTCGGCTTTAACTGTTCATGTGACAGCATAAATGTCCTTAATACCCGACTGCTTTCTTGCTGATCCTTCGCAGAAGCTTCGTCGCTTTAACGTTATCTGACGTTGATGTGGCTTCTGATATTCCCCTGCAGCATTCCGTGCTCATCTGTATTCACAATACAGCCGAGTTGGCTAACGTTAGCCGTTAGCTTCGCTAACGTTAGCGTGCTTTATGGTCAGCAGACTCATCTCCGTTACCTCTAATGAAGACTATTGAACAACGTTAGATGTCCCAGCCATGTTAGTTTAACAATGTCAGGTTTTATTGACGGGCTGGTTCACAATAAGTACATAGAATGGTCGCGGATCTCTATTTGTTCAGATGATAACTAGCGGAGGGTTAGCTAGCCTGCTGCCTAGCAAACAAAGAGCACAGAACAGGAGAGGTGGATGTTAGCGTGCTACCCAGCGTTAGCATGTTGCGTTACGTAGCTCCTCAGGACAGCAGCCACACAGACTTGCAGCACACTTAAAATGTACCCCCAAGTGCCTTCAATCTAAACATAGCCTTCGTTCTGGATGGGCTAGCACTGCTAATAGCGAACCGATCCGATTTCACAGCACATCCTAAGCGGTGGTCGAGAGAAGAATGAACACAACAACACACATGGATCCATCACTTCACATCAATTTATACACAATTTACATGCAGCTAGTCAAACAGACGGTTTACCATGCGAGCTGCCTCAGCCCAGGTCCGCTCCTTCTTTCTCTTTTGTTTGTCCTTCATTTCCTCTGCGCTGGTGTCTGCGGCTATCCTGCTGTGTTTCTACAAAGCAATGCGATGGCGGTTTAGCTGCTTAGCAAAATGGCTAACTAATGCTACGTTCTAGGTTAACTGCGAAGAGCCAGAACAAGGCGATCTTTTTTTCCTCGGGACGATGCGATGTTGTCTGCTAGTTGTGCTCTGATAATTATCGCAGTGCCTCGTCTAAACTGGCTCAACACACATCGTCTCTCTCTCTCTCTCTCTAGCACAGGAGCAGTGTGAGTGCAGGGCTGGTGCTGCTGCAGGACAAGCCTCTTTGGAATGCAACAACCAGGTCAAAGGTCAAACACTCCGCAGGAATGCAACAAAACAACGTCCAGCCCTCAGCATGCAAATAGTACATTTGAACAGATGCTGCATACTCGTCATCATATTGTATTGTTTCAGATTGAGCCCACCATTATCCAGCACGCACATATTATATATTAGCCACATGCTGTATAAAAATAGAGTGCATCTGTTCGAGCCCCAAAATGTCGTTTGATTCATAATAACAAAACTAATACACCGGGAAGCCACAACAATTATATAATTTTAGTCAAGAAAACAAAGAATTTTTAATTGTTTTATTACTTTCAAACAATATTTAATCTAAACTAAGATGAATGTGATAACTGGTGGAAAAATTACCTTTGTAGTTAGATACAATTAAGTCTTAGATTAGGTTAGGGTTATGCCATTTCATTGCACATAGGAAAGAGCCTTTCACTTAGCTGAACACCATTAGCCAGTTAGTTGGTTGGAAACACAGAGTCATTGACAGAAATTTGACAACATGATGTGGGCTTTTGGAAATTGAAATGGAATCGGCCCACTGGTGCAAACATGTTTAAATGTATATAGAACCCATCCAGACCTTGATGTGTCCAATACCCAACACAATCAAACAAACGGCTATGGATGATGATTGATTCCAAAGTCAATTTAGAATGTTATAATAGAAAATCTATTTACATTACCTTGGACAGACCCCACCATCATTTTACTTTACTTTTGTGTCCTTTATTCTCTTATGTTAGTTTTTTTTTATGAATCACTTTTCTCTCTTGATACTGATAAAGGCTGTGTACAGTCAATAATTTAGGTTTAATGTAGTTTTTATATATATCATGGCCTTTGTGTTTGCTTAATACCTCATGAATATATACGTTATTATATATATAAAATAACGTATATATTGAATTATGTGCACCTTTCAAAGACAGACCAAATCTTTTAGTTTTCACAGCTAACAGTATTATGCAGGGAGATGCTACAGAACTACTGCTCAATGAAGGACGTGTCAATACTGCATAAACCAGGATGTCAAGGGTCTTCGGACTCAATTTCTTCATAAATCATAGAATATCTAACATCGTTTCATTTGGCTTTTACATTTGGAGGTTTATTTTGGTATGTTTCTTTATACTTCTTCTGTTAGATACTATGGTGTGCGTGTGCGCGCGTGCGGAGTGATGGATCGGGTGTGACGTCACTCTCCCAGAATGCATGGCTTCCAACGCGGCGCCCAGCAGTCCAGGCCCGAACTCTTAACAAACATCGTTTAAACTTGTTCTAAAATGTCCACATCGAGCGGGGACGGAGGCTGGAGGGGGAGCTGGGCTGAGGTTCCGTCGGTAAGTCGCGTTGTGTCCGTGTCTGTTGCGCTGAGCGAAGTTTTACCCCGCTCGGTAACATCTACCGGAGTTAGCTCCCGTAAGAACAACTCCGAAACAACTTGGTGAGCCGCTCATCTTTTGTTTTTTACCCCGCACGCTGCTTCAGCGAGCCCGTTACACTCCACTCACAGGCACGCTGGCGCTGCTGCGTGGCTTCTGTCCACGTTAAACTCGCGCCTTATATGTTCCCATCCGAGCGTTAGACCTGCTTTGCCTCCGCTGCCGAGTTTAGTGAGCCGAGCCGGGCTAGCAGTGAAATGTAGCCCTGTCCGGTAATGACCCCGTCCCACCACTCCAAGGCTGCCTGCCAACGCTGCATCATTCCCGGGGAGCTCCTATCAGCCCGCCTGGGCGCGTTTCCGCTCTTTACTCTTCTACAACGGGACACGTATGTTCGCGTTTGGTGAAACTCGAAGGCAGAGGGCTGAAACGCGAAAGGTGCGCGGATTAAAGCCGTTTGCCGGCTGCATGCTGAGGACCCACAAGATGGCACTACCAGCTCCACAGGCGGTGATCTGCGTACAATAGCACGGAGATATCTATTCCGATAGAATATATACGCCAATGATCTGTAACAGAACATGTCCATTTGAACGTACAGCCCTCCACCGTGGTCTGTTCCAGGTAACGTTAGCGATGCCAAACCGAGTTGGATCAGACCAACAGGCTGAAGATGAAGCATGACCACTCCGCTGATTATCGCGCGAACTAACTTCTATTTGAAGGATTTGTGAACCTTTTAGTAGGTTCTCACATTGAGGCTTCAGCAATGCGCCAGGTTACTCCTAAAATGTACATTTGTTGCTTGCATTGTAATTAAAACGTTCTGCTGTTGCAGTTCAAGAAATACCGTTTGTTTCCATAATGAATAATGGACCACGGTTAATAAAAAAAATTGTCTTAAGTGATGACTATTGATGAGGAAAGAAACCGATGAGCTGTATTCATAATGGTACAAGTATCGATAACATCCGTGTGATGCCTATCCCAGTGGAACGGTGCAATTAAGTCTATGGGTTATTAGTTGGTTCCACTGCTGATGGGTGTCCACCAGAGTAATGCATGACCCTGGTTCTGGGTGACAGTTACTCACGGTTCTGACCCGGTATCCCAAATGACCCGACTTGACACATGGAACCGGTTTCCTTTTACCATGTTTTTTGGTTGTACATCTTTTGCTGACATGACACCTAATTACTTTTATGATTGCGTTATTTATAGATCTACTTTAAGATGTACACAATTAGGCTGGAATTTGACCTATTTTTAATACAACAGAATAGATTATTATTATTTTAAATTTTCCATCTGTAATTAATGATGCCAAACTCATCCCAAAAGTGGACACTGGGATGGATTTTAGAGCCTAACCAACCCTGGATTTTTGGGGCCGACACTACGGCGTAAAACATTTAGATATCATGATATTGGGTGATGGGTGGAACTCCCCCGTCCACAGAGAGCAGTGGAGAATTGGAACCGGGGGGGTCAGAGTTATTTCACAATGAATTTTCCAAAAAGAGAAATACTCTGTTATCTATATTTTTCTTAGTGGCAATTAAAAAACCGTGTTTCTCATGTGTTTGGGGACCTTGATAAATATTAAAAGCAACTTTTATCCTTATTTAACTATAAATGTAAGAAAATTCATTTATATAACAGTATCTCCTATTTATAGTTCATCCAGTTCCCATTTTGAAATCTGTAATAATAAATATCGTTGTGATTCTGCTCAATGCAACTTTACCGAACGTGCTCAACTGCTATGAACGTCATGTTGTGCAAAAATGTAACTGGGAAGAATGGAAAGAGGTTTCATAGTAAAATATGACCAGATATAGCTGAGTGAATAGAATATAAAAATGGCCTCAAATAAACGTCTTGCTCGATAGCACAACGATTTATGTTAAAAAACGTCTTCCAAAGCGGTCGTGTAGGACAACGTGATTCAAGAAGTTTCATTAATCTAGAAGGAGTTAATGTGCAATCTGGAAGTGCTTCCATTCGACAGGCCAAATTTGGCCTAACTTCCATATCTGGAATCTTGCATCATTTCTTTTGATAGAAAAAATGTTGATGTGGCGATTAGCTGTTAGATCGGAGTACTTTGCTCAGCCATTCTAACCCTTTTTAATTTACTGGAATGAAGCAGAAAGAGAGCCTGTCCCATCACAAGAGGAGCCCCTTTCGGTTTCGGCTCTGGGACCACCTTGCATTGGGAAGCCAGAAGTCTAGTCGAGGAGCTGAGGAAAGTTCCTACCCAATAGCAGGAGGGTATACACCGTCAAGCTCTTTCACCTGGACACTGGAGCCTTTTCTCAGATACACCATCTATTTGCCCCACTTAACTCATATTGCACGATTGGAGGTGATTAGGGCTGCATAGGGGCGCCAAGTTATCAGTAAATCTCCGGGGAAAGTTTCCATGGGGAATTAAGCGTGGGAATTTGGGGAATTTTTACCTTATTTTGCAAACATCCTCTTGCATCTTCTCAACATATCCCGCGAAATTTGAAAAAAATGTCCAGGGGAGGGAGGGGACATTCAGAATCTTTGTAGAAACTGTGAAAGGCAGATCATCCTTTTCTCCAAATGTTACACTATTAATTGCATATTTCACTTTAACTGTATTTGTTCTGTTAAGTACTTTTTCATTTTTTAATTCAAGCCAGTGGATTCCTTTGACTTCTCCCACCACCGGGGTGGAGGCGAAGTCCTGGAGAGGTTTTTACTGCACGCTGCTATCTAAGGGTTCGTTAGGGAGAGTAGCTCCCTGCTGTCCGTGGCTGATACCTTGCTGATCATTTCCAGATCTGTTTCCATTGTCAAATCAGCGGGTATATTTTGTAGAGTCAAATGTGGGAATTGTGTGTCATTTTATAATTATTTTAAGGTCTGCACATTTACACAAAGTGACACTTTTTTCCCTTCTGTTTTCAGGTCTGTAAAGATATCAAGCTGCCTCTGTGATTCAGCTCGTGCTGGCATTCAGGGCTGCTGAATACTCAAATAGACGGTGCACCAACACAAGCGCTCTTCTCAGGAAGCACACAGACCCAGTCAGCTTCCACAACTCCTCATCACCGCAACCCTTTTGGGGTTGCTATGGCAGCTGCTGTCACAGAAACCAAGTGCTGGACACAGGCTTGCCCCAGTGAGGCAGGACAGACCACTAGTCATTGCCACAAGAGACCATCAAACAGTCAACAAACAGCTCTTAGCATCAATTCTAGCACTCTAAGTTAACAAAACGACAAGAGGTCTGTAGGCTGATGGTCAGCTCTCTGGAGGATCCTCATGAGTCTGGCCTGTGTCTGCCCCGGCTCTTGGCCAGAGTCCATGTGCAGCAGCACCAGAGCCAATACTGTTCCTTCTGTTAGACCATGTTTCACCAGCAGGACCATCTGAAGAGCCAGCTGCAGGAGAGCCACCCAGCTAGCAGGCATCTCTTCCACTGCCAGGAGTGTGGAAAGCAGTACAACACCCAGCTGGGTTATAGACGCCACCTGGTGGCAGCCCACAGCGCGGCATCAGGCCTTCCCTGTGCAGAGGGGCCGCAGTCCCTGCTGGAGCACCTGGGCAGCCACACTGACAGGCCTCCACCCTTAGATGACAACTCTACCGCTACTGTGCCAGTGAGAGAGAGAAAGTACTCGTGTGAGCGATGCGACCGGCGGTTCTATACTCGTAAGGACGTGCGGCGTCACGCCGTGGTGCACACTGGGCGCCGGGACTTTTTGTGCCCACGATGTGCACAGCGCTTTGGCCGCAGAGACCATTTGACTCGCCATTTGAAGAAGAGCCATGCCCAGGAGTCAGGGTTGATGCCACCCTGCACACCTGGCTGCACTCCTGTGGCTGAACCGACCGCTGGCACTCAGTGCTCGGTGAAGGAGGAGCCGAGCCCTGTGGCGTCCGATGTAGGCCTGGGCTCCAAGGAGCCCATGGAGACATTCTCCAGGGACATGTACAACTCCTACCCCATGGCCAATCCGGTCCCTGGGATGGGCCACCCTCACAGCCTCATGCAGGGCTCCTTGTCCTCGAGTATGGGTGTGGCCCGCCACATGCCCCCCCAATCTTCTCATCCCCACCACCATCACCTGCAGCCCCCGGTGGCTCCACAGCAGCAACCCTACAGCAACATGGCCAGATACCAGCATGGATCTACCTCATACCCTCGCACCGATGTGGACAGTTTCCTGCTGGACCTGCAGAGTGCCCCCCCACCTCACCTGAGTGCAGTCAATTCCTCTACCTCTACATCTGCCTCCCCTCAGAGAGAGGTGCTGGGTGAAGGCGTGGGTGCCGGCGGTGACCCCCACCTCCTGTCCAGGAGCCCTGCTATCTCTTCATCCGAGCTGTCCTGCACCACTAACATGGACCTCGGGCCTCTGCTGGGCTTCCTGCCTTTCGGCCTGCCACCCTACAGCCCTCACATGGGGATGGGAGGGTTAATGATGAGCTATCCACCTGCAACCACCACCACTTCCCCCACCGCCTCCTCCTCCGGGCTGTCTTCCCAGGCACCAGGGCCTTTCTTCTTCCAGCCGCCACAAGCTCATGTACCACAAGGCCCTGGAGCCCATAACCACAGCCAGCTACCTCAGGCATACAGCAGTCCTGCTATGAGCACTTCCAGCTCCCTACCTCACTACTACCAGGCCTTTCAGCAGTAAGCAGCTCAGTCCCGACAAATGTTGCCTTTGAACCCTGCAACAAATGTGACTTTAGCCTGTCAGTGCTAATTATGCTAATCTTAGTTTTTTTTGTTTTTTTTTGTTGAACACAACAAATCACCTCATCAGTATTACCTCATTATTTAAAAAGGAAGTTTGAAAATTTGAGAAAAAGTAGACTGTCTCACTTCAACCAAAGTAGAGAACTACTAACTTTGCCAGACCTGTTGTCAACAGCGGATGCACTCAACACACTCGCCACCGGTGCTGCACCGTGCTGTGAGGCATCTGGTTTTAGGTTCTCATGAAAGATGCTACTGTTTTTAAGGAATGTCACTTTCCTTATGGAAGCTGACGCTCAATGTTCTTGTTTTTAGAATTTTTGTTTATGAGTATCCTTAGAGTTGGAGAGAGGTTGGTGAACGATGTACTCTGTTTCTTTTAGTGACACTTTAATGACACTGCAAACTGCACCGTTTGGGTTTGATATCCGGAGGTTAACTCACTAAAATGTGCAGGTATGAGTTCACCATCCAGCATTACACCCACTATTGTGTATATCATTAGATGGAGAATGACCATTGATGAAATAACCAAATGTTATCATCAACCATTGTTTCAAGGGATGTAAATCTAACATTGTTCTTTCGAAATTAGACCGTGTTAGAATTTGGCCGTTTTTAGTTACAGTTAACAAAAACTGTAAAGCACTTACTATTAGAACTAGTAAATCAAGTGTTACTGAAAGTGCACTGCATAAGTGAGTAATGGAGTGTGGGTAAACCTTTAAAAGAAATGAAAACACAGAAGCGTGTTGCTTAGAAACTGTTTTGCCTGTATTTAATATACTGCAGTTTTTGTGACACTTCATGGATCACCAGCTAGCTGCAAGTGGCAACCACACAGAGTACCGATGAGGGCTGCACGATATCTCTGCACCGATATGGGGATGTTTGCAACACGTCATGCCACAACTTCTTTGCTTAATACAGAAAGACTTTCCCGGGACTGCGACAGGTCACGTAGGCTCGCCACAGTTTGGTTATGAACTGTGTTTTTACACTAGGGGTGTCGCACTTTTGATTTTAAATCAAACGTAGATCGAAATGAGCTCTCCCAATGCAGGATTTGCGATTGTCCCAGTATTATGTTACCTCCATCCCTACCTACTTGGCACGTACAAAGAAAAAGAAAGGGTAAAACACTTCATACAGACAACGTGGCGTAGCCCAGCGGTTGCCTGCCCTGCAGCTGCACTTGACATGACACACCGGTTACTCATGGCCAGAGATGACAGTGAAGCAACAGAGGTGTAAAATCCTGCTTCCCTGAAGTCACTTCTTGCAGTTTTGCCTCCTCTGTGAGTTATGTTAAGTTTATGGATTTAGGGCTGCAGCATCCAGTCTAGTCTTCCCGACTCACCTGTCAAAAAAAGTCAAAGCAAACTGGATTTTGAGAATGGCCATGGCCCCCTATTCTTAAAAAGGGGGATGCGGAGTGTGAGAATCCTCCTCTCCAGTGCCCCCCCCCCATGGTGCTGCACCACCATGTCAGGCTATACTCGATTGGCTTTGAATGGCCTGGGTCGAGGCGACTGGTGGCTTAAGAGCCGCTTCCCGAGCTGTGTCCCCTCTGCTTGCGTGGTCTCCGTGCAGCTGTCCACAGCCTGAGGGGTCCGCGGTGATCTCGGCAACCCACCTGACCTGTCTTGAAACGTGAAGCCTGCCTTTTTTGCTTTGGCATCACATTTATATCTCAACCAATTTGTTTTGTAATTAAATTCTTAGGCTTTTAGAGTACTAAATTGTTTATCTAGCCTCTTTAAAATGCACCAAATTGGTGCATTACTTTTAAAATGCTCAAAATTTCAGGCAAATGTTTTTTTTTCTTTTTATATAAAATGGCTCTTGAATTGTGAGATTTTTCCACTATATTACAGGCCTGGTACATCTGAGATTCCTTCTATCTTTTGGATTGTTTAAAGTCACATCTCCTGTGATGCTGCGAGCATCCTCCGTGTGTCTCGCGCCTCTGACTGAATGTGGCCTCAGAGAGCACTGCAGCAGCTGTTCTCCTTTAATCCATTGAATCCGCTGTGTTAAAAGCGCCAACTGTGAACCCCCGAAAAGTACATTTGAATTTTGGACTTTTGGATAGATTATGAATGATTCTACAAAGGCCTTCAAGAGCACTTGTTTGTTTTTGTAGCTTTTACTATGTATTTACACTTATTTTTTTCCCCACGGTGGTGGTCTTGGATCTCAAGAGAATCTAATTAGGACTAAAAGGTGACTACCCCCCCCCCCCCTCCCCTCTCCTGCAAAGGCTCAGGAAAGCCAGAGAAGGGAAGCAGCTGAGGAAGTGGTCTGTTGAGATCACGCTTCCTCTGCCAGAGTTACAGTGCAGCACAGCAGGAGTAATTCATCCGAACAAGCAGCCTTATACTTATGGATGCTCCACTCATGCCATTGGTTGGGTAGTAGAGATGGAGAAGTCCTCCAGCTGGAAGTTCTGGGTAATAGATATGATATTGGAAACAAGATCTTTCATGGAGAGATTCAGACGCTTTTCTCTTTTCTGCCTTAATTCCACCAACTGTATTTTGAAGGACTTCCATTGTAACCAGCCTCCATGTCTTAAAATACTACTGCTGTGCCTCTCTAAGAGTGCCTAATCTCCTGACTGGGTTTAAGCACTTAATAACATTTCTTAAAAAAAAAAAAAAGGACGAGTTTGATCTGTACCTCAAACACAGAACAGTGGGTTTGTTTTATTTGTATTTGATTTGCAGTTATTTTGGCTCTTACCTGTGCCATTAGATACAAACTATAAAGGTAGATTTTTCAAACCTAAACTCTTTATCTAGCGACAATTTACATTATAATTTGGTCAAATGTTCTACTTTCATCATGTCATATATTTTTGCGAAAACCATTAGAAATAGTTCTAGCCTGTAACTGTTTTTACCACTGTTGAGGATGGCTGCATACTCCAAATTCAACTTTTTAATACAGGGTACACACAAGTTCTGGTGGTGTATTCCAGAGTCAAACATTGTCCTCAATACTTGCCTTTAATGATATTTCTACTTATTTACTACCTCAAAGAACAGATGGGTAACTGTCCATCTAACTGCAGAGAAAATGTCTGTGTAGAGTTTTATTTTTGTCAGAACAAGCACATGTACTTTGTAGCTCTGTAGTTTTTTACCGAGGTTAACTCACTGCTGGATGATGTTTAGTGCAACAAGTACCACACTGCATCAGTCCTGTTGTCGATGTCTCTGCCTCTTCAGTCTGGAATGGTTTACTCCATTTATGAATCTGTGCCTCAGTCTAAAGGATTTCTCGTTGCTTGTTGGAATGTACCTGACAACCCTTTGAGACGCGGGCTAGCTAGGTGAGGCTTGTGTGAAGAATGAAAGGGAGCTCCACACAGCTGGCCGATGTGTTGTGACATTGGATTGTTTTTCGTTTAGAAAATATCAAATATTGACTGACTCCCCCATCCAGTGTTCCAGTTCTGAAGTACAGGGGTTTCCAGATGTGCTTGCATGATCCAACAAGTATTCATTCAGAAGCATCCTTTTAACCCACCAACCACTTGAGTCATTCACGTGTTCTAGTATGTGGTGAATGTCACTTCCGGCCTGGCTTAGGACATGTAAAACAACACTTGAAGCATTCCAGACTGAACTTAAGAGGCGGTGCGGAAGGTTCATTTCAGTAAATGATCATCCAGTACTGTTGTGTTGCTTGCATTTAGATCGGCTCTGAGAACGACTACAATGCAGGTTGACACCTTTTAACTTAGATATATTTTTCATTAGGTGTTTTGTATTATCACTTAATAGATTTTAGAAGGCAGTGAAAAGCAGTTGTCTTTTTCTGATTGTCTGAACATAATAGAAAATAAATGAATCTTTTGATTTCCACTGTGTCTGTTTACTGAAATGTTATACATTTGGAAGGTAGTTTCCTAACAAATGAGAAGTATACATTTTAAAAGAAACCTGTCACATTAGACCTCCATATACTGCCCATATTATATATTATGATGTCAGCGTGGACCAATTTGTCAATACAAATTGAGAAAAAACGCTTTGAAGAGAAATTGTGGAGCGGAACTGATATTGTTAAAGCCATATGTTTAATATGTTTGTGTTATTCAGTCTGGGAGATATTAAGCTACTGATTGAACCGACTGGGCAGACTTCATGCTAAATAAAGGTCACGTGGAAGAGTGATGTCATCTCAGAACATTACAATGACAGGTCATGTTAGACCTTTACCGAAAAAGATGTCCCATTACACTGCTGCAAAGAAGGTCATAATAGACCACTGCAAAGAGAGGCCATTTTTTAACATTACAATGACTCACAATGAAGAGTCACGTCATACCACCAAGGAGTGACTGCTATCTCAGAACGTTACAATTAGGGAGATCACGTAACATCATTTAAACTAGTAATGTCATGTGCGAGGACCGTCCTCCTGTGTCAGCTGTCCTTGTGGTTTTGGTTGTTTGTTGCAGATGCTGATTGGAGGGTCATGAGCTGGATGAGCCACACCTGACAGGTGACACGGTCTTAAATATCTTCTCCATTTGGCAACCAGGGGGACTGAAAGGAGACCCGGTGTCTCTGGCGTGACACTACTGCTGTGTAGGTCTGTCTTGTGCTCACTGCCATACACAACTACACTACTGATGATAACTGATACCTCAACCTTACAGTGCTTGATTGATTTTCATAAACAAACTTGTTCCTTCTTAGTAGCTCACTTATTTGTGTCTGCAGTCAGGTTGTCACATATAAGGGCACGTCCATTCCTTGTAGATCCGGTGGGTTTTTCAATCTTTTTGTTTAGGGAGTGATTTGTGTCTGTAGGTTTGCTGTTCAGTTGTGTTATGAATAATGTGTCCTGTACATTGTGAGTTAAGGGCTGTTCAATTCATTTTATTTTGTATAGCCCAAAACCGCAAATTACAAATTTGCCTCAGAGGGCGTTACAGTCTGTACACATACGACATCCTCTGTCCCAAAACCCACATCAGCACAGGAAAAACTCCCTAAAAAACGAAAAAAACCTTCCAAGAGGGAAAAAAGGGAAGAAACTTTAGGGAGAACGTCAGAGGAAGGATCCCACTCCCGGGATGGACAGACTACAATGAAAACGGAAATGTGAGACTCCGTAAAGGATGTAGTTAGCAGACCAATCACAGCCTTGTGCGCTGCGGGAGGCTTGCGTAGCTTTAGACCCTAGTCTAGAAAAATGGGTCGACGCATTCAAGCACGCAAGAAGGGGTGAAGGGACACGTGTCCTTGGCTCTCTCTGAAAACGCAGAAGCATAATCTAGGCTTAATTTATGACATGCACTTTTCCATATGCAACCAACCCACGGTTAAATCTACTCTTCCCGGCACAGTGGATGATCCCTGATCATCTGTTTTTATGACCACCGAACTTTTCAGTTAAGGTGCGTTCACAAAGACACGGTGTGAATTATTCGCGCTGCGAGTATGAGATCGTCCTGCTTGTATTTTGAGTGTCTCTTTAAAACATCAATTATATGAATTATTTCAAACGTATCTTAAATGAACAACATGAACATATAGTATAACAAATTTCCATGACTTTTCTAATTCTTTTCCCATGACTTTTCCAGGCCTGGAAATGACAATACGAACCCCTGTTCATTTTTCATCTGATGCCATGTACATATTTTGTCTCCCATATCAGTTATTGTTGACAAACAATAACTATTTGAATGTGTTGTACTTTTTAATGCTGTCATACACGGTAGTCTAGTGCGCTTGCCCATATACTGTGTATTATACGGTAGTTGACACGGTGAGCCATTAAACCAGTGCGGCTAACTAGGAAGCCTCTAATGCTTTTATTTACAAATGCCATTTTAAATTAATCTCATAGCACTTGATTATTTTTTTTGCTGTACTTAGATGTGGTGTTTAGTATTTACTTGCACTACAATAATAATATTTCTCAAAAATTACTATTATCTTCAAGGTTGTACAAGTTGCTACTTGTACTTAGTAATTTGCAGTTCTGTTTCTTATCAGATTCTCAAATTATTATCAAAATAATCGTTAGTTGCAGCCCGAATTGATACATTAACACATGTTCATGCATTAACATGCCCAGCCCTATTTATAACATCATCTGTAGTTAGCAGATAATGACTTGCCATTGCTGAAATTCTTCATCAATTTGTAATGGAATGATATGTTATATATGTAATTACATGTAATACAGGTGTGTATATGTTATTATATTTTATGATAGCATTTCCTGGAATTAAAATATTTCAATAAGTTTGTTCTGTAAAAATATTTACAAATATACATACAAATATAAATTTGTAATGGAATATTAAAAGTTGTCCTGAACACATATACATCAAGTATTGTTTGGACTTATTGATTCTTTATTTGGTCTCTTTATTTTGCAATTTAAAATCCAAAAATCTTTTTGGAGTCACAAAAATAGGACTTTTACCTTGGAAAATTCTAAATTTCTACAGTAAAGTTAAATTTTTGTACAAGAGTGGTCAGAGATGTCCTTAACACATGTATATTAGTCTTTGTTTGGAATTATTGAGAAATGTATTTTTATTGCAGTTCAAACGTTGAGAAAAAATCAGTTTGAACAGCAAGCAATTATAGGGCTATAACTTTGTGACTTTGTACAGTAAAAATATTTATATTGGGCTTTTACTTTGGAAAAATCTCTAAATTTGTACAGTTAAAAATATTTTATTTTGTGAAAAAGAATAGTCAGAGAGGTCAGGAGACACCTACTTCTATCATTGTCCGAAATTTGATATTTAAATAGCCTTTATTTGGGTTACATGTTTAATACCGTAAATGTCAGCATATACGTGTGCTAATATTCATGTGTCTGGTGACCACGCAAATCCGAGCGTCTGCTGAGTCGACCGCAGTCCTCAAACTCTATCATTTCTGGTCCATTTGCATGAAAGGCATCATTCTGGCTAGATGCGACTGAGAGGGGGAATGGCTTATCACCGGAATGTTTTATACAGCTCGAGGTAACCACACACAGCTAACGTTACAATTAATTAACGTTAGTAATAATTAAAGTTAGCTAACTTAACGTTAACAATCAATATTATTGTTTCACAGGACATTTAGAAAAATATAATTTAATCAAGCCAACGCTCATGGAACCCATTGTTGTAGGAGTTCGTTGGTAGAAGCAAGCGACCGGCTCTATGGGATAGTCAATGGGCTGGCCTCTTGATTGCAGAGACCAGCGGCTCCGCAGCTGATATGTTCCCATTAGCACAACACCTTTTCTTTTATTAAATACTTTTGATTTAAATTTTCATTAGAAGATGCCTTCTGTCCGTCCGGAGTTTCTTCATTTTTAGAACATAACAGCAGCTAATGCTAGTTTGGGACCTAACATTAAATGTTTTTCCTAATATCTTTCTTAGACGGTATGGAGCAGGAGGAAATCCCCTATCGGAGGGACACCTGCTATGACTACTTGTCCGCTTTCCTGACCTCAATCTACGCTCACTGGCCGGGCGCATACGCCAAAACATGGGGCCTTGAGGCCACGGCTCACTCCTGCACCATCCCCGCCACGCCCGAGGGTGTTGTCTCGGTAGGTGTACACTACAAAAATTCCCCATACAACTGCGTTGACCTCCGATCCGAAACAGGGCGGCTGTTACGAGGCCAGCTGGACGCAGTCGTGATGACCTGGTCCCAAGGGTGCTAGAGGTCTACAAAGCTTCAGACACTAAATACATTTTGAACTGCCTCGAGAAAGCTGTATGGAGTTGCTCATCATCTCTAAATGGATGAAGTCCATTTTCATGGTTTACATGGTTTTTCTGTCTGAACTTTTTGTGGATATTCTGTTAACTACACTGAATATGTTGTTTAAATAATGTACAGAAGTTGTTAGATATCTGCATGTTATAATGTAAAATATTTATTTTCATGTGAGAAATAAATATAATTTTTGCAACAAGACATAGTGTTTCTCATAACTATAAATTATCATTTGAAACAATGCATACTTTTAAGTAAAGTGAACTAGGAAAGTAATTTTAACATTTCCTACAAATAAAAAAACTAAATAATAATAATAAACCTAGTTAACATGAAGTTAACTGAACTAGAAACTAGATGAACTAGAAAGCATGATAATAAGTTGTACATCTTTTATACTTGCGTTGCTGAGTTGAAAGTACTACTTTGTACAATAGATGATAATAAGTTTCTTTTAAACATACGCTGCTAATTGAATATGTACTATACAGTCATGAGAAATTACACAAGGAGAGCAATCTATAGCTAAACACAAAATTATGAGTTGTACCAAATTGTAAATCCAATTTGACTACTCAAAAGTGTAAGGCATCAATTGAACGTTTTTAAGATGAACCCCCTTGATTTTTACAGTGTATTTTAAGGCTTTTGCTTCTCGGTTCTCTTGAAGTAGAGGTGCTGGGTAGCATCAGGGTACATCTGAAGTACTCCGCAGTACCACATCTTGTATTTCTTTAATCCTCAGTTTAATAAGACCATAACCAATTGTCTGAGACATTTTTGGTGGATACCTCGACAATAGTCTTCATGAGGTGTGATAGTTTATCATAGAGAATAAAGTCTACTCAAGGATGGATTGAGTCCTCTCTTTCTTCATGGATACTTTACTGATGCTAATCAATTTTAGACAGGAGATGGCTAGGTTTTGAATCAGCTCTTGGAAAGCAAACTATGATGATCATAATCATGTGAGCAGATTTACTGCAGACTATTGAATCAGAAGAATTGAGATACAGCAATAAAATTGCAATACAGGAATGTCATCATGCTGCAATGCCACCACTAATTCTCAAGGTTTATGAGTATTTCACTTGCTAAAGTATGACACTCGTGTTAATGAGCACACCTCTTGTTGGTACCACTCTCCAGCTACTGATGCATCGGCTAAAGGTCTGTGGACAGCTTCTTTGGCCATCCTTCGCTGGCCGAGTGACTAGGGATACCCTTCCTTATAATAATACTTTTTTCCAAATAGTAACAAATCTGACGGCAATACAACTGAAGTCCTTTTTTTGGAATGCAGCCTTTGACCAACATTACATTTTCTCATCCTTTGACCTCATCGGTTTAACCATTCAATTCAAGATTTAGAGTGTGACAAATAATGATGTAGGTTAAATAGTTAATTTTATTAAAAATGAACCAAACGGTCTGTTAATTTTAATTATGTATTACATCGTGACCCAGAAATAAGTATAAGGTATGTTTGGTTCTTAAATTAAATAAATATAACAAGTAATTCTATGATGTATCTACAATTGCAAATTAATTAAAAAAATGACATAATTAAATGCATCTGTAATAACCTTGATAAATAACAAAAACACAGTTAAATATAATTAAACATATGGTTTACATGCACGTTTTCTGACACCTACTGGTAAAGGCTCTGTTCACTGAAGCAACAGCTTAATACTTGGAAAATGAATTGACTGAGAGGGTCTTGCACTAAATGTTATGGAAGCCCATTTCCGCCCTAAAAAAGAAGGGTTAGAAAGTTGAAATTATCTAATTATTAGCTCCTTGCAGCGGGTTGTTGACGTCACTACGGTCACAGTCGTTTGTGTTTTAACAACGTCTCGGTGATGGGCTATTGACCCGGGAAGTCCGAACCTGTGAATATCTTGCCAACTTTACCAAACTGTAAACATTCTAAGGACACTGACTCACTCTACCCTTATAACAAACAGGGAGGGACAGGGACATCTGATGTACAGTGGTCCGCTTTTGGCGGAGTCTGAATTATCTTCCGAGATCAATCAAACTTATTGGGAGATAAAATACGTTCCTGGTGGTATTATTATTATGTAAAGTACATGTACAACTACCAACACAACTTTATGGGTGAGCGAGCTGCCCGTACCAAGATGGCCACCATGTGCGGACGTTCTATACTCTGCCGTAAGACATCTAGCTTCTAGATATATCTATGAGTGGAATACACGAAGAAGTCATTTGAATCACAAACTTTTAAAACAAATGTCGGCCAGTGGCTCGTTTTTCGATTTGTTTTTTTGTTCTTGGTTTCTCAATTGAATAATAGAAAAACAAATTGGTTTTGGTTTTCGGTTTATCAATTGAAAAACGAAAGCACGAATGATACGCGGATTCACTTCCGTTTTACATCTTTTGATTTAAAACGAGAAAACAGTGTTTTCGCTTTATGTTTTTTACGGTAAAACGGAATTTCAAAAGGTACACAGACTTTACATGTACCAAAAAGCTTCCCTGTAATGCGCTGGAACAACGGACTGTATGGGAAATGACGAGTTTGGAATACTTCAATGTCCGGAATCAGCACTGCAGCCTGTTAACAAGCCGGAAAACATTTAGCGACGCCCCCTACAAGTTGGCGCTGGCGTATTGGGGAAGGCTGAAGGGGTGTGCTGAAAGCCACACGGCGGTTGTGGCAACTAGGGAGTGTTGGGAGAGGGACAAGAGTAATTTGAGGATGTATGGTGGATAATTGGGCAGAAAGTGATAGAGTATGGCTTGGAGGGGATAGAGATGAGGCCGGCGACTGCATTAGGGCCCATCCCTCCGTGGATGTTCCAGATGCCAAGAGTGGATGTAGGCATGATGGAGGAGAGGAGGGAGTGGGGCAAGGGGGACGTGAGTGTGTGTGTGGAGAGCTATGTCTGTAAACGGTGCATGTTCCTGAGTTCAGTGTGAGTATCTGTCAAAGAGTCACTGATAATGTGTCGGTGTATACAGCAGAGATGGTGGCTATGATCATTGGGTTGAGATGGGTGGAGGATGTGACACCATGTAGGGTGCTGATATGTTCAGACTCAGCAGCAGTGTTATGGATGGTAGGTCTGACAGGGAAGACCTATTGAGAGAATTGATGGGGATATTGCAGGGGTTGGAGAGACAGGGAGTAGAGGTGAGGTTCTGCTAGGTTCCTACACATGCTGGAGTGGAGGGTAATGAGGTGGCTGACATGGTGGCAAAGAGTGCTGTAAGGAGGACTGATGGTGTAAGGGTGTCGTTAGGGCGCAGGGAGGTTAAGTCGTTAATACGGGGAGCAGGGATTGCGGAGTGGGAGAGACAGTGGGGTGAAGATGGTAAAGGGAGGCACTTCCGGGGTATAAATAGGTCAGTGAGGGAGGTTGTGGGAATGATGGGGTGTAGGAGGGAAGAGGTAGTGTGGAGTAGGTTAAGGGGCACACAGGGTTGAATGGCACGCTGAGAGTGGTAGAAAAACATGACACAGGTTTGTGTGATAGATGTGAGGTGGTGGAAACGGGAGAGAGACGAAGCGGGGCTGGGACTTAGGTGGGGTGCTTGGGGGTGGAAAAGGGAAGGAGGCAGTAATGAAGGCAGTATTTCTTTTTCTCAGGAACACGGGGCTTTACAGCAGGATATAGGAAGGGAGGCCGTAACCGGCCTCACACTCCAGTGCAGTAGGTGGCGGTATATGCACCTTTAAGTTGGTTGCGATCTGCCAGTAAACGAGAAGAAGAAGAAGCGCCGCCCCCTTAGCCTAGCATGGCTAACGTTAGCTACTGACGTCCAGCCGCGCACTGACGATAGCAGCTAAGTAGTTAGCTTGTAGAGATTCGGAAAGCCAAGGGGCAAGGATGCTAGAAGATTATTTGTGAGGAACGACTCACTCCACGGTAAGTCGCTACCTGAGACCGTTGTCAGTCTGTTCGAGGGTTTCTGGAGTAATGTTACACTGACATTAGCTAAGGTTAGCTGCTGTTTGAAATGGACTTATCTGGCAGGCTAGGATCCGACCCCATTGCAATGCATTGTAGTGCCAGTCAGGACCATTACCTAACCGTTACTACCTATTGACGCCAACACAAAACAACGATTGTTGGTAATTTGGCTGATATTGGATACATACGCTACATTAGTTAGATACGTTTTAAGCTTGACTTCAGACAGCTTGATGACTTGGACCTTGACAGGCTAGCTTGCGCTGACTGCAATTACCACTCGCGTCGATTTCTGCTCAATGTGTCCGTCCCGCGTTTCCACTTTAGTTTGTGTGTTTAGTCAGTTACGTTTTTAAAGTAAAGTAAAACGAGTGCCCCACACCATGAATACAGGTACATTCCAACTGAAAGGTCACAGCTGAGTAATGGCCCTCAGACAGCCTCGCCATATGCACACATACAGTTGGACCAACGTTAAAAAACTGCTAGTGTAATGAAACTGAGGTACCGGTAACGTTAGTTAACGTTACATTAATAACGTTACTGCTCTCGACAAGATTCATCTATTCGGTTTTGGGTTTATTGACACTGTCCGAGAGCCGACTGCGGTCAACTCAGCAGACACTTGAATTTCAGTGCACCGAAGTTAATGATATGCTGACATTCACGGTAAACGCATTCAAACGGCCTGAGCGCAGAAAGACTAACGTAAAAACAAGATGTGCATAATGTGGAAATATGATTTAAAACATGTTAACCTCCTAGTAGTGTGAGAGGTCGTGAACACGTGTATATCAGTCATTGTGTGGAATTATTGAGAAAACTTTTTATTTCAACTCCAATACTGCAAAATTAGCATTTGAACGGAGAAAATCGTTTACTGTACATTTCAGCAAATAGTTTGGCTAAAATCGCTAATATTCAAGTGTCTGCTGAATCGATGGCCGTGACAGCTGTTAGCCTAAATAGTCATTTCTGAGGTTTGTGTTTGATTGTACCGTAAAGCGTTCCTTTTTTTTGTTGTTCATTCTGTAAGTCCAGTTTAAGATTCAATGTATTCGTTTATGAAGAATGCAGGTTACAATGTTGAGTGATCAGGAGTTATGGGCCATTTAAATGTGGGGAGTATGGAGCCAAATCCAGGTCAAAAGTTGTGTGTTGTTGAACATTGAAGAAAAAAAAAGAGTAGTTGTATTTTTCAATCTTCACTTACATATATATATATATATATATATATAATATATTATTATTATTATTATTTTTTTATATTGACTATTATATTCTTTGGTTGCAGATTTTATATTTTCAGATGCAAAACTTATATTTTCACTTTCAGATCTTTTTTTCTCGTTCTCTTTTTTTCTCTCGTTCTCAGATTTTTGACCCTGATGTGGCATAGGTGGCGGGGCATGTAATCATGAGTGACGCTTAACAAATAAGGCTGAGGACAGATTCGGACGTCCCGCTTCAATAGCTCGTCAGCGAAGCCTTGTTAAAACACAAACAACACCTCCCTGTAACCGTAGTGATGTAGACAACCAGATACAACCACAGCTATTTTAGGAATACAGACTGGTCTGCGAGCTGGACGAATCACATTGACCTTAATGTGCAGCCGGGGCCGTCTGCGAAGCGACATCACCATGGTTACCGAGGGGTGTCGTTTGTGTTTCAATAACACTTCGCTGACCAGCTATTAAACAGGAAGTCCGAATCTGTGAATATCTTTCCAACTCTACCGAACTCAGAGGCCATCGCACGGATGCTGCACTGAATTCACAGCTGTTTGTGGAAGTGGGAAACTTCAGAGATTCACTTGTGGTTGATGAATGGTTCATTCTGAGACCGTTAACTGGTCTTATTCAACCGTTGTCAGTCCAATCTACATGTTGAAGGTGTTTTCCATAGAAATCCCGTTGGCCCTACTCCTGCGGTTATGGTTTAATTGTCTTTCACTATCCGGATTTCTGTCTCACTGATGTTTTATCCCCTGTTCAGTGCCATGTCTTTGGTTTTCCCACGACCCAACACCAACGCAGTCCACGGCAAGAAGGATAAGAGACTGATGGCGGAAGTGAACGCATCGCCACTCAAGCACTTTGTCACAGCAAAGAAGAAGATCAACGGGATCTTTGAACAGTTGGGGGTATACATTAAGGAGAGCGCTTCCTTTCTAGATGGTAAGCTGCTTTCTGCATTTACCCTCTAACCTTGTCACACGTTATGTACAACGACAATGTAAATAATGCATTATTATCTCAATTCGGGTCTTTTACTTGTAATAAACCATAAAAAAACTAGTACAAAATAGGGCTGCACAATTATGAGCCAATATCATAATCACAATTATTTTAAACAATGTTGAGATCACAATTATTTATCACAAGTATTCATTTATTTTAGGGGCAACTTATTTTAATTGCACTTAAATGAACAGGGACACTGCTTCCACTTCCATTATTGTGCTACATTCTGGATAAAGTACACATCTTTGCAGCGCACAGATTCTTATTACAGAGCATCTCGTAGAACGAAAATAGGAATGAAATAGTATCAACGTGTTTTTTTACCCCAAATTAAATCAACAGAGCACTGCTTTCAGTTGTTGTTACATTCCCTATCGTGTACACGTTTTTTTTGGTGGTGGAACAAGTTAGTTGTATAGCTATTTGTTGTATAGACACAATTCTAACGCGCTCTGCATATGCTTTGTTCTTGGTTAACACCACTTGCCCTAAAAATCTCCAGACAACAGAAAATGGTCCTTTCAGGTACTAGCTCCTCTCCTGCTCCTGAATTTACCTTTCACACCGTGTAGTCTGCTCCCTGTTCTGATGTCTGTCTCTACTCTTCTACTAATACCGGAGTCTACTGCAGACAGAATTTTGTTTGAGGCTGCAGAGCGCGTGACTCCTCCCACCTTGTTCTCTGCCTGCTGGTTGGCTGACGCTCGATTTGATATGTAGCAGAGCACACATTTTATACCTCAATATCGCTGACGATCTTGCTCATTTAATTGAGGGCAGCTAAAATTGTGATCGCGAAAACATAATATAAAGAGATCAAAATTTGATTTAATTGTGCAGCCCCAGTAGAAACACAGACCAGCATACTGTGTCTGTACCATTTTATTTTTAATGTTCATCAATTCCAAAAACAGAATTGCTAAATATGAATTTATATTACTAATCACTAGCTCCGCCTTGTTCTCAGTCCAAAAGGACCGAGAGAGCCTCCAGCCTCAACAATACATTTCACCCAAAACTATATTATCTCACTCACTACTTTATGTAAGTACCAATAACATGCTGCGGGAATAACTGGTTCTAGGGAACGCTAGTACCAGACACGACTGGGTTGGTAAAAGTTAACAGCCTGCATTGCCATTGGTTTCTCTGTGTGAAAAATCAGTCTCCTTACAGCTCGGCTGCTTACTGCCATGCATAGTTTTACTTCACGTTACTGTACAGGGAAAGTCAGCGCAAGTTGTTGTGACTCTTTTAAATGCTTGAATTATTTATCCCATGAATTAAATTAATACATGTCCTTCAGAGGCTTGCTGTAATTATCACATTTGAATGTAATCTTCCACGTGTTAAGATACTCACAAAAATGAAGAGCTGGATCCAGTCACCACAGAGGAGCAGGTCCAGGAGGTCCGGGGTTACCTCGCCAAGGTGGCAGGGATTGGAGAAGTGCTGGCACGCAGGCATATGAAAGTGGTCTTCTTTGGAAGGTTTGTAAAACTGCTTTCCTGCTTCCATTTAGAACTGTATTGAATAAAAATGACTTGGTTTTATTGTAGCCACTTTTGGTTTAATGATTTGTACATTTTTTTTAAATCACATAATGCAAAATGCATATTTTTATGGCTTTCGAACATAAGTATGTGTCAAAGAGCAAAAAAAGACCATGCATCCATTTTCCATCAGAAAATCTGTGGGAAAAAATGCTAAAATCCAGCAGATCCGTTTCCAGCTGGATCACTAGAACCACCTCCAGCCAGTTGACCCTGTCCACAACCGGTAGAGAAGAATGAAGTGGCTTATTTGACAGCATGTCAACATAGTCTACTGCAGTTGTAGAAACTGCAGGTACATTAATGAACCTTAAAATAGGCAAAACTATAACTTTTCAATGTAGCTTTGTTAAAAAGCAACTTGAAGGAAAGCTGTAGAAACACTGTAGCCATTGCTGAGAGTTGTGCTGTTTTCTCTCTATAGGACCAGTAATGGGAAGAGCTCGGTGATCAATGCCATGCTGTGTGACAAGGTGCTGCCATCTGGAATAGGACACACTACCAATTGCTTCCTGAGGGTAGAGGGCACCGATGGCAACGAGGCTTTCCTCCTCACTGAAGGCTCTGAGGAGAGAAAGAGCATAAAGGTTAGCAAGGCTCACACAACTCCAGTGTGTGGGAGTCGAGTGTACGTTAACCTCTCTGATGCTGCTGATGTGTTTACAGACTGTGAACCAGCTGGCCCACGCGCTCCACCAGGACGAGGACCTGGACGCCGGCAGCTTGGTCTGTGTCATGTGGCCTAAAGCCAAGTGTGCTTTGCTCAGGGATGATCTGGTGTTGGTGGACAGGTTAGATACAAGTTAATAATCTTTAATCAACAAATGTCCTCACAACTTTGTAACATAAACTTTTACAAATGGTAAATTAGCACTTTAACACTTCATGTCATCATTTACACACTGATGACAGGAGCTACCATAGTGACCACCAGTAAGCAGCATTCACAGACTGTAGTCACAGCTACAGGAGCACTGTTGGGGTTAAGTGTCTTGCCCAAGGACACATCAGCAACAGGGCCCGGGATCAAACTGCCAATCCTCTGATTGGAGGACGACCGTGCTCTCCACTCACCCAGAGTTGCCCCGTTGAATGTGAAAGTGTCTCCAAGCTAGTTTATGTATGCTGTTAATTATTACGCTCTTATTATGCTTATACTAAGGTGGGATACGCTGTACAAACTTTTGTATATTTCATTTCACTTTTCTCTTGCTTAATTAAGAGCCACCATGCTTCATTGTCTGTTTTCCCCTCCAGCCCAGGTATCGATGTTACCACAGAACTGGACAGCTGGATCGACAAATTTTGCCTGGATGCCGATGTATTTGTTCTTGTGGCGAACTCTGAGTCCACACTGATGCAGACGGTGAGACATGAAGGCTTTTTGAGCGTCTCTGAAAAGTCTGATTTATGACACACGCATCAGAACTGTTATATGATGAGATAGTGGAATAATGTAACCGTTGTAAATGATTTTTTCCTACAGGAGAAGTCCTTCTTTCACAAGGTCAATGAGCGTCTCTCCAGTCCCAACATTTTCATCCTTAACAACCGCTGGGACGCCTCAGCCTCAGAGCCTGAATACATGGAGGAGGTTAGTCAGCTGACAAAACACCTACAAGTGGAATTACACAAAGAAGTAAAAAAACACATCGTATTTAACATTTTGTAGGTTGAATGCATAAACCAACCACTTTGACCACACAACATGCAAGTTGATCATGGCTTCAAACTAAGACAACCCACAAAAGGTTCACCCAGTATGTATTTACCGCTGAACTGCATGCTGGGTACACAACAAGAAGAAACTCTGTCACTACAAAAGAGCGAGGAACAACGAGAGACCAGTGATGCACCAACACAATTAGAGAGGAGCTGTGTCGGTTTGGAGGGTTTTCGGTTTTGATCAGAAAACGATTTTTTTACAGTTTGTCGACCCGCAGGTATTTTCTCTGGTGGCAACACCAGCAGCCACAACAGCTAACACACTAACAAGTGATCTCTCAGCTAACACACTAACAAGTGATCTCTCAGCTAACACACTAACAAGTGATCTCGGGCCAGTTGAAAGCAGAGAACAGCTGGTCAGGTGGCCGGCAGTCATTTTTTCTTCTCTACTCTTCTGATCAATCCCACAATACAATATTAAGACAATATTAGTATTGCGATATATTACCCTTTTTCAACTGAAATTTACATATTTTATCAGTTTATTTAAGTTTTCAGCCTGTTTATCTCCCATTGCAGCAAAATGGGATTATTAAGCAGAACAACTTTCCATTCAATTCATTTTATTTTCTATACCCCAAAATTACAAATTTGCCTCCGAGGGCTTTACAGCCTGTACACATGCAAAATCCCCTGTTCCAAAACCCTCACATCACCACAGCCTTTTATTGGGAGACAAAAGGGGAGATCATTTTCTCCATCCACGTTTGAAGCCTTTGCAGTGACCCCAGTCTGATCTAGCCATATTCATATGGGAATCTACAGGCCCTTTTTGCACAGATTAGGAAATATATGCTGTCAAAATAATACTCAAACCCAGTTCAGTTGTGTGTTGTTGTTGTGTCAGGTCCGCAGGCAGCATATGGACCGATGCACCAATTTCCTGGTGGACGAGCTTGGCGTGGTGGACCGAGCCCAGGCTAGTGACCGGATCTTCTTTGTCTCCGCCAAAGAAGTGCTTCAGGCTCGTGTACAGAAGGCGCAAGGAATGCCTGAAGCAGGTGGGGATGTTAGTCATAGTCCACCCTGATGGTCATGAAAGGTTTGGTTTCATAGATATGTTCATGTTATTTATTGATCAGCTTTCAACATGAATCTTGTAATAACCATAGAATAGTATAGTACACAAACCATCTCGCAGTTTAGTTATTCTCTTGTACTAAGCCCACAAGGACATTGTCTGGAGTGATTTATGCATAGATTATGAAAAATAACGCGATCAAATTTGGAGGCCCGGTTGGGGAAATCTGGATGAATTCCGCCAAACAACTTCTCTCGTTCTGGTAGATTAATTTTTCAGACCACAAGTCAAGTATCAGCGCTGCGTGAGCAGTTCTGTCGGCCCGCTGGCCAGAAGAACAACGGACTAACATCAAGAATAACATTATGTTTTGTACTTGTTGTTGGATATAGAAGAATAGATTTCTATTGGCCCTAAACTGGCGTCGAGGAGGAGCAGGTCCTCTCGACTCAATATTAGATCCAATCACATACAATGTGTGGTCGCCTGACATTGATGTAACTGTAACAAACATAGCGTGAGTGTTGAATTGGTGTGTCTCTAACTTTCCGCTTTTGGATTATCAATTATACCTACCGTTGATTTAATAACACACAAAAAAGAAAGATGGAAAAAGATTCTCCTGTTTTCTCCAGTGTTGCATAATATTGTCCTGTTTCAGGTGGAGCGCTTGCTGAGGGATTTCAAGCCCGAATGTTTGAGTTCCAGAACTTCGAGAGGCGATTTGAGGTAAGACCCTTGTGTCTGTACCAATTCTGAATGCGATTCATAATGGGTCATTGATTTGAATACAGTAATGCATACTCCCATAGTCTCATCACTGTGACATCCATGACACTGCAGCATCGTGCTAAAGTAGGCTCAACAGGTCCTGTGCCTCTGTCTGTAATTGGACTTTGCTGGGATGGCAAACCAACATATTGTCCTACATTTGTCCTAATATTTCCCAACACTTTCTAAATGATCAATTGTTGTATGTTATTTATTGCGTAAAGTTAAAAAAAAAGAATCCAGATATCTAACGTTGACTTCAGTTGGAGTTAAACAACCCGTTCATTGGTTTTAAGTCTGTCTGCATTGTTGGCTTCCCTGGTGCCGTGTGTAGGAGTGCATCTCCCAGTCAGCGGTGAAGACAAAGTTTGAGCAGCACACAGTGAGGGCCAAACAGATCTCCGAAGCCCTGCGCCGCATTATGGATTCTGTACACATTGCTGCACAAGAGCAGAGGTGAGTTTGCTATTAAAAAGTATATTAGACAAGAAGGCTACATGGATTGAGACACATGTACTCTGCCCTCAGAATTCATACTTTAAACACTCTCAACCCATAGATGGGATAATTGGAGAAATTATTCAAAACGGTTTTGTAACAAAGACACTTTATGTGCAGTGTTGTCAAATAGCAATTGGCTGTCTCTGTGTTGGTAGGATCTACTGCCTTGAGACCAAAGAGGACCGTCAGGACCGATTGGAGTTCATAGACAAGCAGCTGGACTTGTTGAGCATGGACTGTAAAGCCAAGATCAAGAAGATTACTGAGGAGGTGGAGAGACAGGTAAACACCAAGAGCACATTATCGTTCACTGGCCTTTTTAGTAGCTCCATTAAAACAGCTGGGCTTTAGTTCCTGAATCTTAATGGTGATTTCAAAATAATCAAATTATTTCCTCACTTAAGAAATAAAAGTAAAAGCGTATTTAGTCGAGAAAAAACAACAACCTTAAATGTCATGTTTGTTTTGAAGTTCAGTTTCACTTGGTTCCAACAGACTGCTTCTGTCTGCTCATATGCAGGTGTCCAATGCCATGTCAGAGGAGATCAGGAAGCTGCATGTGCTGGTGGATGACTACCACATGGACTTCCACCCATCACCAGTGGTGCTTAAGGTCTACAAAAATGTGAGTTTAAAAAAAGATTCTACAGGAATCTTTTTGCTTAATGTGAGCTTCACATGGTTGGCTGAAACTGAGGCCGGACACAAACACTTGATCAAGGTGTCAATATAACAACTAAACAATTACTTTGAACTCAATATTGGAACATTTCTTTTCAAGACAATTCTTTCTTTATAATGATGATTATAAGTACAGATTTTGTCAAGCAGGGTCAAAAAATGTAATCCAGTGGTGACTGGACTTTAGGTGCTTGTCAGTCACAGGTCCAGCACCTGTGCTCTTCTCTGTATTTGGACCCGGAGCCGGTTGCTACTTGCAAGAGAGAAAGTGTTTCTCTCTTCACTGAGCATTTAAAATTCAATTTGAATTTTCAATTAATTTTATTTTGTATAGCCCAAAATTACAAATTTGCACAATAGGTATTTACAGTCTGTACACATACCAAAACTCTCGCATCTGCACAGGAAAAACTCAAAAAAATGAAAAACGATCTGATGGGAAAAAAAGAAACTTCAGGGGAGGATCCCTCTCCCAAAATGCAGAGTTCGCACACAAAATACTTTAATAGTCCAAAAGGCAACAAAACAAAAGGCCAAGGGGCAAAAACACACACAGGAACAGGGGGGGCAAAAGGCGGGCAGGAACTCGGAACATCCAGGACGATAGACAATGATGCGACAAGTGACAGGAGACACGGCTTAAATACACTAGGGAGGTGCAGGTGATTGGACACAGGTGGAAACAATCGGACAATCACAGACGATGACAGGACAAGGCAGGAAGTGAAGTTACCCAGGGAGACAAGAAGCTGAAAACTACAAAATAAGACAGAAAATAAAACCACACCGTGACAAAGCCAGGTGTACGGAAGGACCAGTGCAGGGACAAACACCATCAGATGTGACCGCTGTCGGATGTGATCCCATCCACAGAATCCTGTGGGGAGGGAAAGCACAAAGACTAAAAATATGTTTCATTGTGATACTGTGGAGAAACCAAAATACTTTTGTAGGTGTTCGTCCCCCCCCGCTTTACACTACACCCATAAACTGATGGCAAGAGCCACCATGCAATGTCCTTCAGGCCCAAACTAATTCTCACACACAGCCTTTGGGGGCCATTTGAAGATGTTGAGCCCACATCTTGCCAATCGACATGGACCGGAGGAACTGGGGGCTGAACTGCTGATCCTTTTATTTTATTTATCTCTTCTTTGAGTTTGATTCATTTGATTCTCACACACACACACGTACATCTCTCTTCTTTAAGTTTGAGCCATTTGATTCATTTGATTCTCACACACACACGTACATCATAAAGTAATCAGTAATCATTTAATGGCACAAAGTAAAAAATTCTGCACCTGCTGAATCCTTCCTTCACGAAAAAAACAAACAGCAGGACTGACTGAAACACTTTAATTGAGGACAGTCTGCCCCTCCCACAAGGGATCCTTGACCTGCTGATTTGGGTGCAAACGAACCACTTATAAGGAAATTAGTTCACTGATTTATTGATTTAGTGTTATTGGAAAACTATTGTGGCATTTTATGTCACATTCCGTTTGTTTTAATAATTTTTGGAAGCCAAAATATATAGCACACAATACAGGTTCAGGTGATGGTCGCCATCATTTTTGTGGTCCAGCACTTCTGAATGAGCAGGTGTGTTGATGACATGTAAGGAAACCAAACGGCAGCAGTTGATGTTACAGTTTTGGTTGTTTGCTTCAGGAGCTCCATCGGCACATAGAGGTGGGTCTGGGCAAAAACATGTCGGAGAGATGTTCCACTTCCATCACCAGCGCTCTGCAGGCCACACAGACCGACATGATCGGTATGACAACCACAAACATTCCCCTGTGCTTACTGCACAGTATGACATAATGCATGTTACACAGTTTACCATGACTCCCTACAACTAGATGGCACTAAGATCTGTGTTAAGTTGTAACTGAATTGAATCTCTGGATTCTTCTGTGCAGATGGTCTGAAGCCGCTGCTGCCCAACCCGGTCAGAGAGCAGGTGGACAAGCTGGTTCCTCGTCCGTGCTTCAACCTCAGTTATGACCTAGCCTGTGACAAGCTCTGCAGTGACTTTCAGGAGGACATCAGCTTCCACTTCTCTTTGGGCTGGACCATGCTGGTCAACCGCTTCCTTGGTCCCAAGAACACGCGGCGGGCCCTAATGGGCTATAGCGACCAGGTAAGACCTGCAGGGATGTAAACGCTCTCTCCCAGATGCACTGGATATCCTTGTTGGACTCAATCAGTTGAGTCTCTAGAAAGCCAGTATTCTTACACGTTGTTTTGCATGTGGCGTTCATAATGTTTTCCACATCCGCTTACACAAGAGCCTTTTATATTCTTCTCCTGAACTATTTTCTATAAGGTTTACTTTTTCTGGTCATTGAAGGCCACTTGTTTATACGTTTCATAAGCTGGTCAAGATTCTAAGTGAAAAGACATTCCAGCCTTATAATAACCAAAAAAAAGTGAAGCATTGAAGGAGATGTGGGCTCATTTTCAAAATGACCATGGACTCAGAAGATGGGTGTCAAGTATTTTTGCAAACATCAAGATAATCATCTATCCCTTGATGCCAAAGTTGAAGAGAAAAAAACCAAACTTTTACCAGCTACCACAGCAAACTGAACCCAAGCCGTTTAAAGCTCGGCTGTGACTATATTTCACAACTCCTTTTCCGCCTTATGGAAATGTTTGGTGATGATAAATACTACTACTTTAGTTCATTAGAAAAATTCAGATTAGTATTTCCTGGGAAAATAATTATCATAAGACTATTCATGTTGACATCACTAGTTAAATCTAAAAATGTATTATTTATTTGTATGTATCATGTTCAAACTTACGGAAGGTATGGTGGTGTGGTGGTTAGCACTGTTTCCTCACAGCAAGAAGGTCCTGGGTTCCACTCCGCCCACCCCACCCTTTCTGTGTGGAGTCTGCATGTTCTCCCCTGTGTGGGTTATCGCCGGGTACTCCGGCTTCTTTCCACAGTCCAAAGACATGTTCTGGGGATTAGGTTGATTGGGGACTCAAAATTGCCCATAGGAGTGTGAATGGCTATATGGCCCAGTGATTGGCTGGCGACCAGTCCAGGGTGTACTCTGTCTCTCTGTTGGCTGGGATTAACTCCAGCCCCCCCTGCGACCCTGTGTGCAGGATAAGCGTTTGAAGATGGATGGATGGATGTTCAAACGTAAAAACTTTAAAACGTTTTGGATAATGCTGTGCCTGACAAATTGCCTCCTTATTCATAAAAGCATTAAAGGCCTGTCAGTAGCACGCTGTGCTCTACACACCTGTGTTCTCCCTGCAGGTCCCTCGACCAATGGCCCTGACTCCAGTCAGCACCAGCATGCCTCCATTCCCTCAAAGCTCCGTGACCCAGGAGGAGCTGATGGTCTCCATGGTGACTGGTCTTGCTTCCCTTACTTCCCGTACCTCCATGGGTGTCCTGGTGGTTGGCGGCGTGGTAAGGACACACACACTAAAACACTAACTGCCTTTGTAAAAAAAAAAATATATATATATATATATATATATATATATATAATACACACATTTCATTTCATAAAACAGAACCTATAACTTTTATTATGATTACTCAAGAAATCGACCTGTTTCTCTATGCTTGGTCGTTTTCAAGTCATTACTCTCGGATAGCTTTTGTACACCCGGTCAACCCGTCAACCAACAGTGATCTTAACGGAGCTGGATCAGCTTCAGCGTGTGTAGACATCAGAGGTATGAAGGTACCTACAGCTCTGTGGACGTGTGCAGGTCTGGAAGGCAGTGGGCTGGCGTCTGATCGCCCTGTCAGTGGGTCTGTACGGACTCCTCTACATCTACGAGCGGCTCACCTGGACCACCAGGGCCAAGGAGAGAGCCTTCAAGAGACAGTTTGTGGACTACGCTAGCGAGAAGCTTCAGCTCATCGTCAGTTACACTGGATCCAACTGCAGCCACCAAGTCCAGCAGTGAGCAATGATAATGCTTCCAATCTATTGAATGCTTTGCAAAAAAGTTCCGATGAAAACTCTTAAATACAGACGGAAAAAGATGAAATGGCGTCTTGTAGGAAAAACCGATTTTGGAAGTTGAGAGTGAAGAGTTTCTTTATTAGAATGCTGTCCCACCTTGTGTCCCTTCTCTCTCTGGTTAAAGGGAGTTGGCAGGTGTTTTTGCGCAGCTATGCCAGCAGGTAGATGTCACCCGTCAGAACCTGGAGGATGAGATCACTGACATGAACAGCAAGATCGAGCTCCTGGACGGCCTACAGAGCAAGGCTAAGCTGCTGCGGTGAGAACCTCACATCAATCAATCTGAAAATGTTTGCCTCATATTTTACTGTGGAGTACGAACACCAAGGTTCTGAAAGGTTGTATATCAAATGTGTACCCACTAAGAAACCGTTCAGAAGAACCTTTCGTTGCCTCATTGTCTCTCTGGCCTCACTTGTTTAATTGCACGTATTCACTTGTTTAAATACATGAACTTGTATTTACAGCCCTTTTAGACGGACTCGTTGTTTCATAAGTGGAGATATTAATGTATTTGTGTTGTTGTGTTAGGAACAAAGCGGGCTGGCTGGACAGCGAGCTCAACATGTTCACGCAGCAGTACCTCCACCACAGCAAGTGAGCCGCGCTGACAAACCACTGCTGACGTTTCCCTTCCCGCTGACACACTTGTGTTCGGTGAAATCATCAACGCGAGGAAATCTTCCACAATTTTGTGTATGGTTTGGTTATCTGGCTGGAGGGAAGGAGTTACCAACATGTTCTGGAGTCGGAGTCATGTGGTCTGCTGGCCACATAGTGACACAATAAAGACTGAATTAGCTATTTGATAACAACAAAGGATTTAACCATGGACTCCAGAACTAAACATTCCCTTAGTGTATTTCCTGATGCGCTTCATCGTTTTCAGTTGGGGTGATAACAAAAACCTCCGGTCACCAGAACGCTAGTTGATCTGATGCCAGGGCAGTAGTACAGTCCCAGCTCCCCTTGCATCTTTGTTATAGCCAGCATCTGTCACAACTCCCACCCCGTCCTTTAAATCTGACGCCAATTAACTCTTCCATCTCAACTCGTGTCGATTTGTTATTTATACTCTTTGAACCCTGGCAGTGCCATGCTAAAGTAAAAGGTATTCACCATGAGGCAATCAAAGAAATGATCTCATGCTAGCTGGACAATGCAACATTATTTATTTCTCCAGCCGTGTATACACATTTTTCCTTTGTAAGCGTTGTGAAGGAAAGCTGCTTGTTGTTTTACGCTTAGTTCTTTGAGCACTTGGAACTGATCCAGATACCTTAACTGTAGGCGATTTGTGAAGTGCATTTCCTTTATTGTTCTCTGAGAATAAACCTACATCTTCATTTTTACAAGGGTACATTTTTGGGCATTGAAGTAGTTGAATAGATTTTAGCTTGACAGTTGTAGTATCTTGAATGGTAACTTAAAGGGTAATGGTAGACAATGGGACACTGGCACAGAGGAGTGAGATACAACACAACTCTTTCAGCATTGGTTTGGTCCACTCCGACTGCGCTTCTGTGATAGATGAGATTAATGAGTTGCAACATTTAGCTACAGAAGACAAGGAACTGACTTCAACATCAGAAGTCCAACATCTTCCTGGATTGCTGTTTTAAAACGTTAGCGCCTATGAGGTGTATCTGCATAAACCATCCAAGTAACAGTACAGCAATTTCAGTTATTTGGACACTGTCTCCATTAGAGTCAGTCCCTCATAAAGCTCTGGAATTAAGAGTGAAGAGAAATGTGTTTATGTAAAACACAGGCTCAGGAATCAGATTTCATATCCTTATGACATCAAATCTGAATCAATCTGAATACGTCGGTCTCTGCTCTGACGACAGTGCTCTCACTGACCACAAATGATCTTGGGCCCCAAGACGTATCTTGTATGTTATATGGCCCTGAGTGTCTCATACATATCTAATAAAGCCTCTCTTTCTAAACCACACGTTTGGATGTGGTGTGGAAGCGTCTGGGGACTCAGCACTATTTGTTTCTCTTGCACTGAATGCAGATGTGGACCAGGCGGCATGGCCTTCTTGCTCTCCGTCTCTTTCCATATAGATTTCACTTTAAAGCCAAGAACTATTCACTTGAATACATGTGTCTAGTGTTTTGATTGGGCCATCCTGTAAATTATATCCATACACTGTCCTGCCACACCTTTTGTTAGAGCTAAAATATGCACTTTATCAATTTGCTGCTTTTTGAATTTGTTTTCCTTCCATAAAGTAGTTGTGATTGGCTTGAGGAAGTGTAGGCACCTGCATGCAGTGGCTATTGTAGTTTGTCGTCCAGTTAAATCCAAATGTATGTATGTATGTATGTAAAAATAAAGACATCGTGCAAGAGTGCAGACTATTGATCATTTTTTTAATGATTTGCGACTCCAGGCCAAACTAAGTTCTAATGTTCTAATCTAAGATGTAAACTCACCGTATTGATATGCGTATAATACTACATGGTATCCACCCATCACACACAGCAAGACTCTTCACGCTAAAGTAATAAGTTATGAAACTTATTATTTTAGCGTGAAGAGTCTTGCTTGACGACACATTGGCATGGACCCTAGTGGAGCTGGGGATCAATCCATTGATTCATTGAAGGACAACCAGGCTCCCCACTAAGCCACAGTCACCCATCTGAGTGCCTCTACCTTTACAGGGGGTGAGTGTGTTACTGTGGTATCAGTATCAGGTGAGAGGTGTTCAGTTCAGGTGACAATAACAATTGATGACACACTTTTTTTTTTAAACCCACAACCACCATCAGATAGAACCATGATCAAATTTAATCCGTAATAAATCTTAAATTAAAGTCAGATGTAACCACTATGCACAGAAACCTGTGGGGGGGAAGCAGAAACGCAGCAGGAGAGATGCGAAGTCGGTAATGTTTATGATGACAATAGTAATGATATTGATAATGATAGTGATAGCAGCAGTGGGTCCAGATAGAACCGCATTCTATGAAAAATACTCCATGGAAGAAACAAAGTTAGTGATGTGCATTAGTGAGATGTGAATTCATCGACATACTACAGGATGCAGCGTTTCTAAAAAAGGTTCAGTATATTTATGCCAGCAGGTGGCGTTATGACATCACTGATCACATGAGTAAAACCCATGTGGTTGGATTATAGCAAACTTAAATTGACCCAAATTGACCACATGTCAGAGCCCCTTTCTGTTGATGATGGAAGGTTCATTTGTACCGTCATCCTCATTTATTGGGTTTCTAAGCATTAAATAAATAAAGATGTGAAAGAAACACCTTCAGTTCAAGCTGTTCATTCCCTAAACGAATTAACTGGAAATGTATTTATATCCCATATTTATAAATGTTCATTTACAATGGAACTGAGGAACATAGTTCAATATATTTCGCTCAGTTTAGACATGCACAACAATTGGTGACTGTATACTGACTCAGTACATTTAAGTAGTACAGCTCCTTGAGTATTTTCCTGACATAGAACTTTGTACCTCAAACTGAACTGCTTGTTTTTTGCAAATGAATAGTTTTCTTGCAAATCAGATGATCGCCTCATATTATGAAGTATTGGTTCGCTGTAACAATCTGCTTGTAAAGTCATTTCAGTCAATATTTTAGTACAAATATTTAGTACAATCCACCAGTGCAGTAAAAATATTTCGGACTGTCTTCATTTTGCATTTTTTTTTTTGTTCAGCAACATGCCTCAGTTGTAATTAGTTAATTTAGTTAAGTAAAATAAAAAGTAAATGTACATTATTCGCTAGTTTTACAAAAATAAGGAATCTCTTATAGCTGTTTATCTTCAGGTCTACATTTTTCTGACATTTCTTGTAAGATTTTTATTGTAGCACTTTCAGTTGTTTTTCTATTGTTTTATTATTAACGGTAAAGGTCTAAAGATAAAGTCTATGTACAGTTCATCCAACTTACTGCTTTATAAAATGTGTAGTAGAGTGAGTGTAAAAACGATGAGATCAAATCTGAGTTATCAATTGTAAAATGAAGACTGAAATGCTGTTCAGAGCTCAGAAAACAGCTCAATGGGCTTTTAAGTTTATGTGATTTTGCCACCTGATCCCTGATTCAGCTTGTCTTTCACTTTTGCTTCTGTTGTATTTTATTTTAAATCATTACTTATTTCTGGTCAACAATATATAATCAAAGTAAGAGTATTTACATGAGGAAGATATGTTTCGCAATGTGGTTTTCTAATGATTGATATTAATTGATTGCATTTTACATGTTCTGTTCTCAAAACGATGATGGTGTTCAATCTGAGAAGACAAAATGGTCTCTGGCTCCTTTCTTCCCATTCATATCTTCACAAAGAACCTCATTCACAGACATACGGGAGGATTTGGGGATCCGAATACATTGTGATGACTTGGGTCAGTAACATTACAAGCTTTTTCACGGCACTCACTCAGTTTAACTTATCGTGTCATTTGTTTTCAGGACTGATACTTCTTGATAAATCAGAATGATATATGATTTAATAGTTTGATCAGTAGATGGTCCGATAGATGTAACACAAATATATGTCATGTCAAGTCTGAAAGCTGACAAATCTGTCCTTTGTGGTGAAGTTATATGAATAAGACTGAGCTTTACATTTGAAATAAAGATATTTGAGTAGCAGCGTGTAGTGCGACTGTGTGATTGACCACCTACAATATACTACTAATATATAATATATATACATTTTCCCAGTCAATTCAATGAGTGTGTGTCCAAACTTTTGACTGGTACTGCATATTACAACATTTCCAGTAAAACAAGTTTAGAAATCTATCCAAATATAGATTATTTATAATGCAACAACTTGACATCCACAAAAGTGGTTATTGCCACGTTTATTAGTAAATGTAGACTGTAGATTTACTTTTTGTACTTCACCAATCGGATTGTATTGTGGGTCAATAGCCCTTTTCAAGTCATCTTTTCCCCCTTATTGTGAAATATAATATTGATGCACACAAACACATTTAGGAGATTTCTGAAAAAGAGTATTCATCTTCAAAAGCCTTGGTCATCATTCAATTAAAACAACAAAATAAGAGACAGCACTCTGATGACAGTGAAAGATTTAAACGCTTTAAGGAAATGACATAAGGGCAAAACAGGGTCCATGGAATGATAGCTAGCTCTAAGCTAAGCTCATCGCCAACATCCAAGAGAAAAGGTAAAAGACCACACTGGGTGCAAATGAATCACACTGCGTAGACTATTTAAATCGTTGCAGTTTTTATCTTAATATCCTCTTTTATTTTCCTGTTCATCTAGCCATGTTGATTTGTTGCTTACCTTTTCTGTCAGCTGTTTGTGTTTCATTTTTGTGTCTACTTCAAACAAACCGTAGACCTTTTGTTCTTACTATTAATAATAATGCTTATTTTAAGACAACATGACCACAGCTACAACAAAGTCACATATAAATGTAAAACCTTTAAGTTAATTCATATAATGCAAACACTATACCAAATGTAGCCGATGGATCTCGTGCAGACTGGAGATGTTATTCAACCACTCCGCATCATCACGATATCCACTTTTACTCCTGTGAAGAATTGCTCAATGAATGGCCAGTTCAGACGGCTATTTACAAAAATAAATGCATCTTGCATGGTGGATCTGTGCTGCTTAATCAACAAAATGGAAACATTGATCCCAGAGGTGGCTCTCAGCCTCATGAAGGTCCCATGCTCTGCTGGCCTGTGAGCCCGTCTTGTTCTCGCTGTAATCGCCTGTGAAAAAACAAGTTAGCGATGCTCTCGACAGAGCCGTAACATAACAGCAAACAGTGAAAAATATCTGACCATAAGAAATTAGCTATGTTTCCAGTGGCGTCTTCAACATTTGGAAATCTTTGACTTTATTTTTGTATTAGTCACTGGGCAGTCTGAATGATCTGTATCTCTCGCTTTGGTAAAACCATCCACTAGAATTGCTGATTTGACCGCTTGGAACATTTACAATTAACCAGAAGTCTCAGTGTTTCCTCAGAAACCTCAGTGCTGTCATCTGTATGGTCATGTTGCTGGGCCCTTCAGTTGCGAGACACTGCACATAAACTCAGTTTGGAATGTCAGCCACACACATCAGGCCTGGTTTGAAAAACTCTTGTGGAACTGTGAAACCCAAAACCCTGCAAACGGAACGTTTCTACACCATGTCTCTGTATCTAAATGTCCACTCATAGTCTTTAATACTGATGTTTGGCTGTGGTGGAAGAAGTATGGGGAAATTGGAAATGGAAATAATTCCTGTCATTTTAAATTGTATTAGCGTTTAAGCAAACATTTGGGTTTCTGATGGCAAAGGGAAAGCCACGGCTTCAGCAGCATAATGCTGAATGGCTGTTGTACATCCGCTCAAACATTGGAACGTAAATACAAGGGAGAAAAGAAAAAGAATAACAGGGAGAAGAGAGTGAGACCCTGGTTTTACAGTGCAAGTGCAAAAATTGTCCAAAAAGTGGGTCCATGGGTCACAATTTTTGTTATTTCCCTTTTGCACCAATATGTTACCTATTCCGGAATAAATGCATCTCGTCAAAGGACTAGACAGAAGGTAAGCGTCCCACTGAACAGAAAGGGGAGGGTTGTGGCGTTAGTGGGGACCAACAGCTCATTGAGCCGTGATAACCTCTGCTGGACTGGCCTTTCCCAGCCATTCAAATCCTGCTTTGTTGGAAGATAAACACTTGAAAATAAAATAGTTTGATGAAAGTAGGAACCAGCGCTTTCAGGGCCCACATTTCTCCTTACCCTGAGTGAGGTTGTGTGGATATGAATATATAAGAAAGCATAATTATAAAGTATTAATACGTTTATAAAGAACATACTATATTTGTATGTTTAATTTCATTTCAATGGAATTGTTTTACTTTAGGCCAAAATCACAATTTGCCTTAGAGTATTAATTGGTACTCTTTCTTCAGGGCAAACACCTTGTTGTGTGGAGCAGGCCGGCCTGGCTTTTGCTGTGCGGTGAACTGGTGACACGTGGGGCATCAGACGATCACTTCATGGCTTAGTCCTCAAGATCGATTAAGTGAAACCAATTGTCACACTGCGTGGTAAATGGGGGGCTGCTACTTTCATGTGGCTCACACAGACTCTTTCTTTTTGCCATTGGTGCAACCAGCCTATCACATGATATACAGGCTGCAGTGCATGTCAGTGTAGGACATGTGGACAGACGAAACACAAACCAGTTTGTGAAGCACCCGATGTCACGCTAAGATTATTACTATTCTAGAGACCTGCGGAGGTCAGAGAAAATGATATCATTTCTTGGATTAAACTATTTTTGTTGATGTTTCATTATCCTGTAAATCATCTGGCAACCCGTCAGAAATCACCTTACCATCTCTTCTTGTTGCCCATATCCAAATTGTATTTTTGTAAAGAAGTAAGTCTATTAAATCATTGGCTGTGTAATCTCCATGTCAAACATTAGGATAATGAATGTCCCAACCTGTTGAGGAATGTCACACCAGTGTTAAGGGACACAACTTTTAAAAGGATTTAGACTCAAGCTGAGATAAAACCTGAATTGCCAAGAGCAGCCTTGACAATGCATCTGTGTAATCCTAAAATTATAATCACACATCCAAACTCAAATGATGAATGGACTGTACTTGTATCTCTCTTCTCTACTCTTCTGACCTCTCAAAGCGCTTTAACACCTACATGTCATCATTCACCCATTCACACACTAGCTACCATGCAAGGTGCCTCGTGCCAATCCGGATTATGTTACATTCATACACATTCACACAACGCTGGTTGAGCCTCCTGCAGAAGGACACACAGACACGGAGGAGCCCATTGATGGTAGTGAGATGTTGCTAAAAGCTCCAAACAACAGAACTAAAACAAGTGGAACTTGTGATATGATTTTTAATTCAAACTGCTATTGCCAAGTTTCAGTATGAACCTTCAAGCGCAGGTTGCTGTTAATGCTTATTTAGGGGAACAGGGAAGTCCTGGAGTTTACCTCTTGCACACTTGCCTGTTTTAAGCTCTAAACAGGAGAACATCGAACAGTCTCAAACCCACACAGGGTGCTCCTCGGGACATGGCTCCTAAGAGTCCCCCCGAGTGGAATGTTGGGATTCAATAAGCAGACACTTCGTGGCCATGATGCTGGCAATGCTTATCTCCATTATAGCTTTTTATAGCTTTTCAATATTGGGCGACAAATTGCATGTTGAAATTTAAAATAGAAGCAAATGGCTGCAGTTCCGAAGAAGAAATATGGAATTGGCAAACAATAGCCCTCATATAGAAGCTTGTCATGGATGGCCATAAGGGCCATATGGGAATTTTGTGAAGCGGTAAAAAACACTAATATTCATGCAGATGGGACGCCAGTAAATTACAGGTAAATTACAAGTAAGTTATAGTAAAATGGAGTCTCTTAAAAATACTGTAGTTTTCCATTTTTAAATAAAGTTTTTACTTTTCTATTTTCATAACATCTCCAGTATCAGTCGAAGGTTTGGACACACTTTCTCATGAATGAGAAAATGTGTCCAAGCCTTTGACTGTGTATATATGTTGCTTTTTTCTTGCTTTTCTCCCCTTTAATTAAGGAAATTACAACACTCAAACACAATTAACTTACCTATGTGGTAGAGCACATGCTAATAATACAAAGAATCTGCCATTTTTTTACAAGAACACTTGTAGATTTTTGTCATATTTAATGCAATACGATAGTTCATGAAATGTATTTACTTTTAGGGAAATGTCAAATTTCTGTTTGTAAAATTTGTACTCAACGTTATAATTACAATAATATTAATTTAAGGTCATAGCCAGTGTAGAATGAGTTTTTACATGCAAGTCTACACAAAAATCATATTTAAATATTAAAAAGCTTTTAGCCACCAAACACAATATCTCTCCCTCTCCTCTCTTGTGTGCGCAGGCAGGCAGGAGTGGGTTACTATGGTAACGGGCATCGGCATCACAAGCTATTTCTGTCACTTGAGTGTAGGCCCAAATTTTTGGAGGATTCAGACGTAAACTTTAGTTCACTTTTACTTATAGGTGGGCTTGACACAGCAGAGCATGTTTTGGGTTATTTCTGTCAGCAGATGAAGACAGAGACGAGAGACAGACATGAACTGCGTCTGAAAACTGCAAACCCTGTTGGAATTCCAATAACATCCATACATTTCAATGTTTTCAAGTTTCTGGTAATATGCATCAAGTATTCTGTTCAATACTAACATACTAATGACTAACAACAACTATAATTCTTACATTCTAACTCATCATTTCTCACAAGAGCTTTTAAGGATGTTTAACATGTACAGTGATTGAAACATGTAGTTTAAAACAAATGTCTGTGTATTAAAAAAACATAAAAATAGAACTTTTAAAATGTGTTTTGTACCCCTTCGATGTGCAGACTTTCAGTGGGCATGTGTGTGTTTTCTATGCTAACGGTACATGCACGTGTACGTGCATGCGTGTGTGTGTGTGTGTGTCTGCGTGTGCATCTGTATCCCTTCGTTCCCATTGGCTGCTGAAACTTGTTGGAGCTTTTCTCTCTGGAAAAAGAGAAAGCTCCAAGAACCTATCGGTGCTCGCGAGCAACCCGCCCCCCTTCTTGCCGCCCGGTCCGCACTTTTCCAGGAGAGCGTGAAAGTAGTCCAGCCTTCACACCGGTTAAATAAGCTCATTCCAGAGACCGAGCATTTGTATATTGTGCGCACCCTTGCACCCCTCACACAGCGCGCGCTCAACGTGCTCTCCAGCCGCACTGCCCCACGAGGCCTCATTCCACCTCGTTATTCTCCTCGGCCGCGCGCTGGATCCGTCACACATTCCCACCTGAAACACTTGTGTGACCAACAAGTCTACTTGAACTGGACATCTAAACAGTGTCCGTCTTTTTCGCTTTTATTTTCCTTTTTTTTTTTTTAAATGGTACAATGTCGTCTTTGCCAGGAACGGTACCGCGGATGATGCGCGCGGCTCCCGGACAGAACTATCCCCGCACCGGATACCCGCTGGAAGGTATGCTCCGTGGTTCCCAAAGTGCAGCCACTTTCCTTTCGACATGTAGGCCTCGTATTAAAAACATTTTCAACTTATTGATTATGTATTTGTTATGTCCACAAAATTGTTGTACAAGCGTTCATAAAAATATCTTATTTATTACATTTATAACACCCAGTGACCATTTTGTCAGAAATATTTATACAATTGTCTAACGTTATTCCTAAATTAAACTAAATTAAACCGAAATGTCTGATTACCCTGCGCATGGAAATCAAATCAATCAAATAGAAAGCGACCAGGAGAAGCTGCGGATTACATCAATATTTGAAAAGCGTGATGCTGAATAATAAAGACGCATAGAAGGGGCTGTTCGCCTCCTTTTCAGACTCATATGAAACTGTGAAGTGCCATCCATTAATGCAGTCTGTTAACGAAAATGTCCATTTATTGCTACTATTGGGACGCCTGCTGAATAACTGTAGGAATACTAGTTGGCCGATGGGATTATGTGGAGGCCTGCATTTACCTTCCAATCAAGCCCAAAACATTTGAAGCAGAATATTTCCCTTCAAGTGCAGGAAGATGAAATGTTGAGTTGGACCATGTGTCGCCCGCAGTGTCCACCCCCCTGGGACAGGGTCGGGTCAACCAGCTGGGAGGGGTCTTCATCAACGGCCGGCCGCTGCCCAACCACATCCGACACAAGATAGTGGAGATGGCCCATCACGGGATCCGGCCCTGCGTCATCTCCCGACAGCTGCGCGTGTCTCACGGCTGCGTCTCCAAAATCCTCTGCCGCTACCAGGAGACCGGCTCCATCCGGCCCGGGGCCATAGGAGGCAGCAAGCCCAGGGTGCGAAGACCCGCATAATAATACTAATACAAATAATATTACATTGGTACTGTTGTTATTGATATCGTTATTATTGGTGTCATTAATATTAATGGCATTAGTGATGTTATGTTATGCATTTTAAATTGTATGACTATTGAGATTAGTCTGGCCTGATATGCTTTCTTTTATATATTCACATAATTCTGTTGAGTATCTTATTCTTTCCCCTACTCACCGCGTAGTGTGGATTTTGTCCCCCTGCAGCAGGTAGCCACACCGGACGTCGAAAAGCGGATAGAGGAGTACAAGCGGGACAACCCCGGTATGTTCAGCTGGGAGATCCGGGATAAACTGCTGAAGGACGGGGTGTGTGACAGAAGCACAGTCCCTTCAGGTGAGGCCTCCTCTGGTAAGCCGCATTTAATTAAACCTTTCATTCTCTCGCTGTTTTTCGATTAGAATAAAAATGGAGACTATGGGTGTTAATACTACTACTAATAATATTAATGATAATAACAATAATAATAAATACTTGTGACAAAAATATCAGTAAAAATATTATTAATATAATATTATTATGTGTTTGCAGTGAGTTCGATCAGCCGCGTACTTCGAGGTCGATTTGGAAAAAAGGACGATGAGGACGATTGTGATAAAAGGGATGAAGACGGAGAAAAGAAAAGCAAACACAGCATCGACGGCATCCTCGGCGACAAAGGTAGGCCAGATGAGAGCGCACAGCTGGACAGCGGAGCGCGTGAACAGCTGCAGGTTGGCTGCTGTCTACGTTGCGAGTTGTACAAATTGGGCCTAAATGAGCGCTTTGTCGCGCGGGGCGTCCGCCCGCAGACCCCGAGCAGCTTCATTATTTATGAGGAGCGGGGCTCCCGCGGCGCTGCTTAAACGCTCCCCTGAAAGCCATGCTGACAGATGACCGATGTGCCAGTCAATATCAATTACAGGCCGGCTGACAGGGAGGCCCCTCTCTACCGGGGTCCAGGGGGCCCGGCCCCTCACAGCGGCGTCAAGTTCAAAAAAACATTATTTACTTAGCGCATCGAAGCAAACGTTTAATTAAATAGAAGCAGAATAATTAATGCAATAAACCGACAATATCAACATATATTAAATTAAAAAAATGTAATGCCACCTGAAGAAAAAAAATCCATAAATTGCTTTTACTCAGTCGTGGATGAAACTCATTTTAAACGTTTTGGCAAGCAATACTTGAAACGTGCACAAAACAAACCAAATTTAGCCATTGAAAGTAAAAAAGTAATTCTGTTAATATTTTGAAGTAATGATAGCTTAGATGTAATTCAAGTTCAGTTTCTGACATGTGTGACACTTTATATTTATATAAAGGCTATAGCTCATGTTGGAGCCTCAATATATAGTGCAAACACAATCACAATTTCATTTTATTTTTCCAAAGATTGCTGCAGACACAGGATTTTGGGTCAGTTTTCGGCGTCAGTCTCACCTAGTATGGCTTGGCTGTTTGATTGGAACCTTTTACCAGGATCAGCTGGCTGGTAATTAGACTTGAGCTCCCCATTTCCTGACCACTGGTTTGTGACATATTTTTTTTCAAAAGCTATCAACGGTCTTCCTTTTCATGTTCTCCAAAAGATCAGCATGTCTTTCTATCTTCCAGCCCTGGCATTTAATAATTTGAGACTTAGCCTATTACAGCTGGTAATGAAACCTGTGTCTGGTGAATAGGCGTCTGTGTTGGAGAGGGGTGTAATAGCTTGAAGGCATGGTAAGAAATATATTTATCCCCTATCAGCCCTCACTCTCACATTTCCAGGCTCATGCATTCTGTTGAGGGGTTTTAAAGCAGATTAAATTGAGCCTTTTATTTCTTTTCACTTTCATCTTTCAGCACCTCACTTGGTGGTGTGGTGCCCGAGGCACATATTCATGATATTTTAAGATTTCCTCCTGTGTTGTTTAGATTGTATTATTACATTTTCATTTAATTTGCTTTTATGGAATTGTTTTTGGTGGTCGGCTGAATTTGGGGGAGAGCTAAAACAGCTATTAGGCTGAATGAAGAAGGTGTGTCTGAACCAATGCAAGAGGAGGCCTTGTAAACACTTTAACTTTTCCCATTAGATAGGCTGCTCTTCTTCCACGTGATATACTGCAGGAAGTGCACTGCATGCAACTGTAGACACGTGTAAACCACTCAAGGGCTGTTTTACAAACACATACAAAAACGTAAAGAATATATGGTTAGTGAATAGCAGGCATAACATTTGTATATTAGGACATGACTCAACATACATGCATCTCACACATAATATCACCCATCATATCCCTGCAAGAAGATGCTGTGTATATGACAAAAAATGTTCTAATTTATGATATATTCAGTTGTGATAGATGTCCATGTTTTGAGACAAAAAGCTGCAAAACAATCATATTCAGTGGATTGCTGCAGTGTGAATACACGTTTTAGAATAAAGGATCAAATGTTACAAGCATTTTTTTGATATACGAAATACATATTCTTCATAAGGGAAGGTGGAATGGATAGTTAACCTCTGTGGCCAAAGCCAAACGATGAGGCTCCCAGTAACAATGACTGACACTCTTTTCATCTGGAGTTGAAGGCAGCATTTACTCAATGTGCTGTTTGCCAAAGATATGCATAACCTGTAGGGGAAAGAAATAGCAGTGTCAATTTTGGAGTCCAGAATAAGCCATGGTTAAATGAAAAAAAGGTTGACAGTGAGGATGGAAAGAGCACTTCAAACAAATCCAGTGGAATTGATGAGAAGCAGCTTTACAGAGAGCACAGGCTGTGGGAAGAGCTATTGCTGCTATTAATACACTTTTCCCCGGGCATCCACACTTGCTCCACTCCATCTACACTTTCTCCCAGCTATTTTGCCGGGTTGAAATTGAGGGAGACCCAAATGTTGGCTGAAGATAACACAATCATCACAGCCGCGATCCTGGGCTGTGCATCAGTGTATTAAACTGGGATTAACCTCCCCTTTCTCCCCCGCTGCCTCGCACCAAAAATTCACATTTTTAAAAAGACAAGGGGCTGGAAACCAATGAAAACCAATTTTACAAACAGCAAAAATGATGATGGTTGTCATTGCCATCATGATAAAAAAACTAGGCATGGGCGTTGAAATTAATATTACTAAAAAAAATAGTTCAAATGCACAAAATAATATGTATTTAATGTGCATTTTAACTGTAGCCCTAATATTTGGAAACATTTCTTTCATTAATCAAGAAAAAAATGAGTCATATTAACGTCAAATAATATTAATGTGAGTTGAGTGTTTTTGATAAAACATTTAAATATATTTTTAGTCTTCTGTTTGGATCAAATTAAATTACGATAAGGATTAATCAGTAAATTCAATAAAAACATGCTGGACAAAAATCCAGTATTTCCAAACAATTATTTAAAAGGACAGATCCAGCGTAATAAATTGAATAGAAAATCTATCACAATGTCAAACCATGATGTCGATGTCATTATATTTACCACGTTATTACAACTGGTAACATTTGTAGATAATTGTCACACCACCTCAAATTGATTGTTCTTTCATTCACTACCATTTAACTCTCTGAGCCTTTGCCTCTAATAAGTCATGAGATGGACACCTGGCGGAAATCAGCAGGTTTTTGGCGTTTTGGTGCAACTTTACCATTCAGAGGTTTAGGGTCTAGTGAATAGGATTGTTTTCATTTTGAGGCGGGGCTTTGATGCACTGACTGAATGGTTTTCATGGGCGCTTCACGTCCAGCCTTATGTTTTGTTTGGAGTATTGAGAAAATGAACACTGCATGATGGGGAGCTGACCTGAGATTTAGGCTGACCTGAGGTTTACCTGAGACGTGAGCTGGGTAAAGGTTCGGATCCTTCTCTTGCTTTGGTTATCAGAATCACAATGATTGGTAATCACAATGATAGTTCTTTTTGTTAGCTGGTGGCGTCGCAGATTTCAGGCTTGCCTGTCTTTTAAATAAAGCCTGTTTACCGCTTGAGGACAGAACCTGTCTCGGCCTCTGTGCCCTCCTCCCCACGGCTCAAAGAGATCAAATGTTTGCATGCTTAAAATGTTTATGATGGTGATATTGCTTTATCCATATTGTGAACTCCCACTACTCCTCTGGACATTTTCATTGAATACAGCATGAATGCGTCCAGTTACAACTCTCGGTCAAACTTTGTCTATATTAAGATATTTATTTGTATCTCCTTATCTCATGAAGGACGCTAGAAGATCACACTATGATCTGTGTGAGGATCGGAGTCACTGTTTCAGCAGAGGATAAAGCAAAGGAATACAGGACATACATGCAGAATGAGAAACATTTAACATTCAACTTTCAGATCAAATCAATAAACAAGCACGAAGGAGTTGCAACCCCCAAACATGTGAAGTAGAATTTTATTTATAATAAATCTGTAGTATTCAAGATATTCAGCAGAAAAACATTTACAATAAAGAATTTAAAGTATATTTCATGTGTAAAATAATCCATTCCAAATTGAACGTATTGTTAAGTACACATATTTGTGTGTACTTAATGATTTTTGATTAAGATATTTTCTAATGTCAGGAAGTATTACAACTGCATAAGAATACCATGTCTCATATCAAATAATCAACCTAATGTCATATGGTCAACATGGGACCAAAGAATATATGCAGTAAAACCATAACTAATTGATTTAGGTGTGCACTGCTCGAATATTGCATGGTAGTATGGTGGTAGTCTGCATGTTCTTGCTGTACCTGCGTGGGTTTTCTGCAAGTACTCCAGCTTCCTCCCACAGTCATGCACAACAGCTTAATTGGTGACAAAAAAAAATTGCCCGTAGGTGTGTGAATAGGAGAGTGAATGGTTGTTTGTTCTATGTCAGCCTCTGATTGACTGGCAACCTGTCCGTGTTGTACCCCGTCTCATGCCAGATGTTAGCTGGGATTGATCCACTCATATGTTCTTTCAAAAATGTATTGTAGTCTATCTATGTCAGCAATCATTAGCATTTTTGTCGGCGCTGATCTACTACTTTTACTTTATTTCTGGTAACACTGGACTTCTCAGTGATGTCTTTGAGAAAACCCACATATATAAAGAGGAGCTGCAGAACTGGGAGGGGGCTTTGAATGGGAGAATGGCAACCCACTTCTTTGCCATGGAGTGTTCAGTAGCCATCCCTTAATCCTCCTTTCATTTCGCCGTCAAATGCCAAGAATCTCGTCTGGCGACCCAATGGGAAGCTGATCAGCCAACAAAAGAGGAGCACTGCACAAAGAACAAACAGGCGAAACGGGGTGGAGGGCAGTCAGAGGCCTCGGGCATCCCATTAACAGCCCATTTGCAAAGGATACACACAACACAATGGCAAACAGAGAAATGACAAAACAGAGCACAAACAATATGGTAACAACAAATTAATAAAATGTTGACACTTTGCCCTGAATGATTGTTCTCTAGATAGCTCCTGCAGTGTAGCTGTACAGATTATCAATGTGTCACCCATACTTTTACTTTATGGTCAAAAATATTACATTACAGGTCATTTTAGCAGACGCTTTTATCCAAAGCGACTTACATTACACTTTAAACCCATGGCTTTTTCACATTTTTGCCCAGGGAGCAATTAGGGGTTAGGTGTCTTGCTCAGGGACACTTCAACATGGAAGATGGGGCAGCCTGGACTCGAACCAC